GGACACACCATCTACCAGAAGAAAACACACACAAACCGATATCTGCACGCTCTCTCACACCACCACCCAGCACAGATCAACTCTGTAGCCAAGACACTCATCTCCAGAACAAAACGCTTAGCTGATAAACAACACCTAAAACCCGAACTACACACTCTCACCAATGTACTAACATCCAATGGATTCCATAGAAATAAGATTACAAACCTAATCCAAAAAGAAACCCCCACTAAAATCCAAGACAAAGAACAAAAAAACGGCAAAGCCCTCCTCCATACATAAAAGGCACCACAGACAGAATCAGTAAGATCCTCCATAAACACAACATCAAAACAGCATTCTGCACAAACAGAAAAATATCCACCATCCTTAGAAACCCCAAAGATAAAATTGAATTAGAAAATCAAGGAGTATAAGAAATCCCATGAACCACTTGTCCCACCACATACATCGGACAAACCAACAGAAGAATAAGTGCACGCATTGAAGAACATAAGAACTCAGTCAAAAAAGAGGAACCAACATCTTCCCTGGTCCAACACCTTAAAGCAACAGGACATGAAATTGACTTTAAAAATACCAGAACCATTGCCAAAAGGGAACATTTTAATAACAGAATAATCAGAGAAGCCATCGAGATAGAAAAACGCCCACACAGCATGAACAAGCGAGATGATACCTCCCGTCTACCAGCCATTTGGAAACCGCCCTTATGACAACGACTCCCTAACACCAAAATCTTAAACCCCTCTGCAACTCAGACTAACCTGAGCACAACCAAACAGAACACTCCCCCAGCCAATCAGAGCAAAGCCAAGCCCCTAACCATTCAGAACACACCTCCACCCAATCAGAACACAGCCAAGCTCCCATCCAATCAGTTCATACCCTCACTGGCAGTTAAAAGGAAGAAACAGCTAAAACCACACATTGCTGCTCAAAGCAAGAAGCTAAAAACACCAGCCTGAAGATGACGAATGTGACTTCGTCGAAACGTTGCCAAGACACTTCCAATTTTACGCGGGAGAAAACCCGAACAACCAAAGACCTATATATATATATATATATATATATACACACTATCTGTACCCAGCCACGCGTTGCTGTGGCTCAGTCTGGTTAAATGGAAAAGAAAGAAAAGAGAAAGGGCATGTTTGTAATATGTTTAATTTCAAAATGCTTGTGGGTATACAATATTTTTTGTTGTTCCATTGTCTGTCCAGATATAGAGATTGTCTGGTTTGCCGGCGCTGTTTTTCAAAAAAAGCATGTTTTTACCTGTCACAGGTGTGACATCTAGTAGGTATTTAGAAACGCGCATATTTGAATGCAACGTTGTGTCAAAATTTCAAAGCAATCGGTGAAGAACTTTCAGAGATTTAAGACTTTGAACAAACGAACATTTACATTTTTATTTATATATAATAGAAGAAGATATATATATATAAAAATATAAGAAAAACAAACACCAGGATAAAAATAAAAAGGACCATTTAATATAAACAAGCCTGTGAGTAAAAAAGTTACTTACTCAGCTTTCATCAGCCATCAGAGTTAGATGACGTCAGTAGTTTGGCTGATGAAAGCTCAGTAAGTAACTTTTTTACTCACAGGCTTGTTTATATTAAATGGTCCTGTTTATTTTTATCCTGGCGTTCGTTTTTCTTATATTTTTATTGATATGCCCAGGATTCGCATTTTTAATGATAATTAAGAATATATATGGAGAATTTATCGCTTTTTCTTTTCCTTCAGCACCCAGCCGGGGTGGATCCCACATGTTAAATTTAATTCATCGCTTTTTTCTCTTTTTTGTACATTATTTTTTTTCTTTTTTGTTGTTGTTGTCATTAAGGTTGAATGTATGCTTTTGTTTGGTTTCATTTTGTTTGTTTTAGTGTTTTATATTTTATTTTTATGATTAAAATAATCAATAATATTAAAAAAATAAAAGTGGAAAGTGGTCATAAGTCACTTTTTTTAGAATGGTTGTAAATTGAGGATGACCTGTAACCAGGGAAGTGGTGGGCTCCACTTTCCTAGACCTCTTCCCTTTCCCTAGACCAGGGGTAGGCAACTTTGGCTCTTTTATGACTCGTGGACTTCAACTCCCAGAATTCCTGAGCCAGCATGGCTCAGCTTGGAAACCTCTCCCTTTCCCCTCAGCATGGCTGGCTCAGGAATTCTGGGAGTTGAAGTCCACGAGTCATAAAAGAGCCAAGGGTGCCTATTCCTGCCCTAGACAGGCAGAAACTAGACTAAACTAAACTAAACTCAACCTGCATTGAGGGTTGTATCTACTGGCCCTTCCAACTCTATGATTCATTATCTTTGGCCTTGCTAGGAAGCTTTCTGTTATGCTGGGAGGTGTGGTGCCCTTTCAGGATTGCCAAGAACTCTGATGAATCTTTACAATGCTCGTTCTAAGCAAATGCTGCTGATAAAGATGCTTGATTCTTGGGGTTTCCGTAGATGTTTTTGCTGAGATTTATGTATTTATTTATTTCATTTAAGACATTTACACAGCCGCCCATTTTCTAATCAGTTCTGAGCAACTCCCAATCAAGTTACTACTGCAGTACTACAAATTAAAATCTTCCCATGTAGTGAAGTTCCCTTGCTCACTCTCTGGAACCTTCTCAGCTAGCAGCGATCTGCCATTTTGTATGCTTTGCTTCACCAAAAATTGAAATACTTTTTAAAGAGTTTTGTTATCCCACCTTTATTATTAAATAAGACAGAGAAGATACCTAATGCTCCTTCCTCCGATTTGCCCCATAATAACAACCTTGTGAGAGGGATTGAGTTGAGGAAGAGTGAGTGGCCTAAGGTCATCCAGCTGTCTTTCATGCCTGAGAGAGGACTAGAACTCAGAGCTTCCTGGTTTCTAGCCTGGTGCCTTAATCACTATACCAAACTGGCTCTGTTGTGGCAAAGCAGGTAGAAGGAATCATAACCAAATGTAAGTCTCATATTTTTTTAAAAAAATGTTCATTGTTTAAATATATCAACAGTATCTTTTTACTACTGGATTTTAGGTGAATTTTTTCCTTTCCACAATTTACTTCAACTTGTATTAATTACTAATTTATTTTCATGTAAAGGTTTCATAATAGTGGAACATACGTCTGACTCCCAAACCCCCCATCCCAATTTTTCCCCCAGGGTCTCTATAAAATAAATTGGACTGAAAAGCAAAATATACACTCAAAATTTCCCTGGTTCACGGGTGTCTTACAGCTTTCAGTCCAAAATTCTAAGCTCTGTTCTTACCTAGTGTGCTTGGAGACTTGGGTCTGGGAATGGGCCTTGGAAAAGGGCATGGAGGAGAGCCACTTTAGGAATTTCTTGGAAATAGAAATTTCTGGAAAACAGTAGCTTTGGAAGAGTGGAGAATTAATTGTACTCATTCATTTCCCCTTCATCTCTGATCCTAGTTTGAAGAGCCATGTCAAGTCAACTCCTCCAACCTCATACTTTGCAAGACACCAGCAATTAAGCCATTGTCCCACTCCATTCAAGTAAGACTGGAGTTTGTCCTGGATAATCTCAGCTTTGACTTCAATGCCTTCCAACCCACTGGCTTTTCTTACGAAGTTGACCCCTTCCTGAAGCCCCTCAATACGGACGATATCACCAAACCCTACCGTCACAAACCTGGAAGCATCATCTCTGTAGAGGTAAACAGAAGAACTTGTTCTCCATAAGTGGAGGCAGCGTCTCTTCTTTGGCTATTGGCTGCGATTATCCTGCATCATTCCCTTGGTTTTGTTTCAAAAAATTGCAGCTGAGATTCTCGGGGTACTGTATTTTATTAATTTTACTCATTTCTGAACCGCCCCTTAGAGAAGGAGTCTGGATGGTGCACAACAAATTATTTTAAAGTATATACAAGTTTTTAAGGTATTATTTATGTATAAATAATTATTTATCAGCTGTACATGCATTTATATATTCATTTGATCCATTCATTAATTTACATTGCACATTTCTACTAGGCCAGTGGTGGCAAACCTATGGCAGGGGTGCCAGAGGCGATACTCAGAGATCTCTCTCTGGGCACGCACACCGTTGCCCTAGTCCTAGGCCTTCAGCTGGGTTTTATAAAACCTTTTCGCTTTAAGCCTCCGCTGTCGTGTGCAAAAAAAAAAAAAGGTTCAATCAATCAGTCAATTTCAACTTCTCGTGGGGAAAAAAAAAGATCTTGCAAAGTTGGAATTGATTGATTGAACTTCTTAGTCCCACCCCATCTGCCATTACCACTGCAGCCACGCCCACCCAATGGGCCACACCCACCCAATGGGCCACACCCACCCGGCACCCGATGATGCATAAGTGGGTTTTGGATTGCAGTTTGGGCACTCAGTCTCTAAAAGGTTCGCCATCACTGTACTAGGCACACATGGTGATATAGCTAGTCTTCTGTCCCACTCATTTTTTTCCCACAGCTACAAGCCTGAGAGAGAAATGTCAGACTGACATTAGTTAATTCAAAATCAGCTATTAATTTCTATGGCTGATGGTGGCTGGAATAGGGCTATGCCTGGCCTTAGCTAATGCATCTTACTGAACACTGATGAGCTTTAATAAAGCAGGAAGAATATTATTCCTTCTGCTTTACAAATCGTCTGCCTCAGGCTAGGATGCTCTGTATAACCCGTAGGGATAATAATCCAAGATACCATTGACCTCTTCTACTTGCATAAACCTGATGAATTAACCAGAGAAGAATTGAAGTATGGATGTGATTAAAATATGGATGTGGTTCGTTTATGGGGAGTTAGAAACTTATGTAATATGTGCATGAGGGGTGCATCTGTGCCTGATGCCTGGAGGAATGCCACTATTGTTCCTTTATACCTGTGTTTTTCAAACTTGCTGGCTGGAGAATTCTGGAAATTGAAGGCCATTTACCTTAAAATTGCCAACTTTGAAAAACACAGCTTTATTCAAGTGGAAAAGTGGGAAGAACAAATGCTAACACTGCATGGAGCTTGGTTTGCTGATGTAGCCTGGGAATGTTTGACAGAAGTCTGGTTTAATGGATACAAGGATGACCGTGAATAACATTTGGGAAATGAAGTGGGATTCTGCACCGGGCAGGGGATGCATAAACCAATTTTTTTTTTTTTTTTTGCTCTTAGCAAGTCTTTGAGAAATGTGTGAACATGAGAAAGAAAGATTAATGCAGGAAAAGTTTTAACTGTCAGAAAAAATAATCATAGAACAAGCAGGTTTGAATTAGAGTGTATTTTGTATGGAGTTCAAATCTGGTTATAAAATGTAATAAGCTATGATGGAACAGAACATGTTTGATAATAATTGGAATTCACAGACACCCCAGATCCTCAATCTCTCCTCTGCCCTCAGCACACAAATGTAACTGGAACTTGCCTGCCCCTAGCAAGCTAGTGGTTATTTTATTTTTCTTTTTAATTGCTTATTTATTTGCAAACTGGAAATGAACAGACCAGGGTTCCTCAAAGTAGACAATACTGTAGTGATGAAATAATGCAAGGGGTCAATGTTCTTGTTATTGTTCTTTCCCAGCCTATGTGAGTCCCTGTTAACTCACAAGGACAAACCCCTCTTTTAACAAGTAGGTTGGAAATGCAGGGAAAACAAACCCCCTTTTATTAATTAGGTACAGACCTGCAAAATGTTCCAAAAGCAAAGGCAAACAAAACACGATGCAAATGGAGAACTGTCCAAGGCAAACAAAACACGATTCAAACGGAGAATTGTTCACAAGCAAGACAAACAAAACATGATTCCATGAATCTTGAGTCCTTTGCAAATGGTTGCCTTCAGCAACCAGCACCGCCCACACCTTCTCTTTTTATTATGCAGCCCCAAGGCGTGGCTTCTCAATGCCTTCTCCTCCTCCCTTGGAGTCACCCCATTGCCCCCCTCTGTCCTGCTCTTGTTGCCTTTCTGCGTTTGCGAGCGTCTATGATGTCTTCCAGCTGTGAGTCCTCAGAGTCTGACTCAGCTTCTCTGCGCAGCTGAGTCTCAGCCTGAGCACGATTGGAGGGGCCAGGCTCTTCATCAGATTGTAAGTCCTGGAGCTCATCAGAGCCTTCCTCCGACTCTGATGGCTCTCCAGGCCCCTTCTCCTCCTCCTCTGATTCCTCAGACTCAGCTGCTGGGTCCCCTGACTGGCACAGACTCACAACAGTTATTAGTATTATTCACAGTACTATTAAGTAAAGTAGCATTTGTTAAATTATTTCATATAATAAATGTTTGGAGGTCAGCAAACCATCTGAAACTCCATGAAGGAGTTGATGAGCTGTTGGGGACCCCCAGTGTAGAGTAACCAAAGGTGCTTTTTCCAAAGGCAACTTGTCTTTTTTCCTTGAAGTTGTTTCGCTTCTCATCCAAGAAACTTCTTCAGTTCTTTAAATCCTTCCGTCTCCACCATTCAGTCAGAACCGAAGAAGCTTCTCGGATGAGAACTGAAATGTTTTCAAGGAAAAACAAAGTCCAGTTGCCTTTTGAAAAAGTATCTCTGGGACAACCATGACTTGGATAATTGAGAATCTCCATCGACATGGTGTGGAGTACCTTTTCACAAGAGTGTCCTTATCTCTGTTCCCCCCAGGGAGAAAATCTGGATCTGGCCATTTCTAAAGATGAAGTAAAAGCCATGATTGGAGTCGGGGTCTGCTCAGTCAAGACCCTCACGAAGAACCACCTGTATTGTGAGCCTCCCACTGAACAACCAGCCCCTCAACACCGGGCTAAGCGGGAAGGCACTGATTCACTGCCAGAATTTACGGTAAGAAGTAGCCTAGGGATATTGAGAATTAAATTCAATCCAGAACGGGAAACTTGATTTAGGAACTTGGCGTTTTGCTTTTAAAATCACAATGTAATCTGTTCCAGAGGGAGGGAGGAAAAAAAAGAAATGAAAATTTTTGGTCAGTGGTTTCTCCCTTCTCCATCAGCAGCTTTGAGGGTATATTGCATGGGTCCAGCCTTTTGGCTTCCCTGGGCTGCATTTAGTGAGGAGGAATTGTCTTGGGCCGCATAGAAAGTATATAATATAGTTCATGTGTATAAATATTGCTAAAAATCACATAAGAATATTAAAAGTTTACGATCTTGTGGGGCTGCATTGCTAACTGTCCAGGGTTGCATGCAGCCCATGGGCTGTGGGTTAAGCACACCTGGTCTATTGGATAAAGCCGCTCAAATTCTTGTCAATAAAATGAAAATTCGGAAAATAATGCCAAAATAGAATTCTTTATTGGCCAAGTGTGGTCAATAAGATCTCAGTGTACATACAAGCAATAGTGATAAGTTATGATCAACATAAAATACATTCATCATAAATCATAAGATACAACACATTCATCATAAATCATGTTGTTGTTGTTAGTTGCGAAGTCGTGTCCAACCCATTGCGACCCCATGGACAATATTCCTCCAGGTCTTCCTGTCCTCTATCATCTTCTGGAGTCCCTTTAAGCTCATGCCTACTGCTTCAGTGATTCCATCCAGCCACCTCATTCTCTGTCGTCCCTTCTTCTATTGCCCTCAATCTTTCCCAGCATCAGGCTCTTCTCCAGTGAGTCCTTTCTTCTCATTAGGTGGCCAAAGTATTTGAGTTTCAACTTCAGGATCTGGCCTTCTAAAGAGCAGTCGGGGTTGATTTCTTCTAATACTGACCAGTTTGAATGCCTTGCAGTCCAAAGAACTCGCAGGAGTCTTCTCCAGCACCATAGTTCAAAGGCTTAATTCTTTTGCGCTCAGCCTTTCTTATGGTCCAATTTTCACAGTCATACATTGCAACTGGGAACACCATGGCAGTCGCCATCTGCGGTGATCTTGGAGCCCAGGAAAATAAAATCTGTCATTACTTCCATTTCTTCCCCATCTATTTGCCAGGAATTGAGAGGGCCGGATGCCATGATCTTGGATTTCTTAATGTTGAGTTTCAAGCCAACTTTTGCACTCTCCTTCTTCACCCGCATCAAGAAGCTCTTTAGTTCCTCTTCACTTTCTGCCATTAGAGTGGTATCATCTGCATATCTTAGGTTGTTGATATTTCTCCCGGCATAAATAAATCACAAGATGTCATAAATCATAAGATGTTGTGAATTGAAAGGAGCAAAAATAGGACAGATGGTTAGTTGTGATGCTTGAGAAATTGTGATGGGATTTCGTGAGGAGGTAGATTTCCCAGGAGGGAGGGGGTGCGTTCCAGAGGAGTAACTCAGCCCAGATATTATGTGTGAGAGAAAGAGGGTGAAGACAGCCCCTCCCCAATAGTTCACATACTGTAGATGCAGATCAGTAGAATGCTCAGTCTGGCAAGATTCTGTCTATAGGCATGAAAAGAACTCAGCTTGGAAGACTTGCCATGTGCCATTCTTGGCTTTTGGACCTGACAGAAATGTTACGTTTGTCCAATGCAATGAAATGCGTATTTCCCAGGCTGGCGTATTGACACGTTTGTCCTCTTGCAGGTTCAAATGGGGAACAAGAACTTCTGGCTCGGTCGTGTGCAATATGACACAGAGAGTCAGCTCACTTTCCCCCTGGAGGCCCAGATTGGCTTGGGAGTGGGGACCTCTTTCGTGGCTTTGATTGTACTCATCATCGTCTTCATCTACAGGTGAGAAGGAGGTGGCAAAGTGGATTTCCTAGCAGAAATAAGATTAGACTCGGGGCCTGCCCGTTTCCCCAAGTAGGATCCTATTCCACATGTCTGGTACCGACCTAGAGAAGCAGCAGCAACAGATACACCCACTGTCTTTGCCATCCCCATATCTGAGTGAGAAGGAAACATGTGGAAGACCATCTCCTTTATATGCAACAGATCCTGGTCCTGCCATTTAAAATGGATTTAGTAACTAGTGAGGGGAAATGACTTTCCGTGAGATGGGCGGCCGTGTAAATTTGATTAATAAATAAATAAAATAAATAAATGATCTTGTTCAGCTTGCTGCCAGTTTAAGGAGACAGCACAGAAGAAGATGAATAAATATTCCAATGATTCAATATCATCGTTTACATCTGTATAATATATAAGTCACATGCATGCTGCCCACATGCCTAATTAATTTCTTTTAGCAAGATAGGAATATCCCAGGGGTAGGCATCCTTGGTTCTTTTATGACTCGTGGACTTCAACTCCCAGAATTCCTGAGCCAGCGTGGCTCAGCTTGGAAACCTCTCCCTTTCTCCCTTTCTCCCTTTCCCCCTCCCTTTCCCCTCAGGAATTCTGGAACTCCACGAGTCATAAAAGAACCAAGGTTGCCTACCCCTGGAATATCCAAACTCTAGCATTTTTAGCCAGTTTGCGCTTGCAAACTTTTACTGATTTGGCTAGTTTGCAGATAGTTCAGGGAAACAGCTAATCCTCTCCCATCATTTATGCACTTATCCTGGATCTCAGTCTGTGCACCTTGCCCCACAGAGACTTGCCAAAATAAATTTTACTTCCACTGTCTGAACTTTTATCACTCCAGCTGAGGTTTGGTGTTCAACGCTCTACATTTTCTGCAAATTCCCCTTCAACGAATTCCTTTTTAAAACAAAAACTTTCTCCTTTTCCCTTGCTCCTGCTCTCCAGATTCAAATTGTAATACAAATTACACACTCCGCCAACATCTCTCAAATGATCCAGTAGTGCAATTTCTGAGGATTACATCGTGCATTTTTTTACTCCGCTTAATCCAACAATTATTTTGTCCGTGTAATTGAAAGGAATAGCCCAATTCTCCAGCACAGAAATAAAGAGAGAAAAATGTGAGAGTACAGGTAGTCCTCAGCTTATGACCACAATTGAGCCCACAATTTTTGTTGCTAAGTGAGACATTTGTTAATGAGTTTTGCCCCATTTTACAACCTTTCTTGCCACAGTTGTTCAGTGAATCACTGCAGCTGTTAAAGTAGTAACACGGTTGTTAAGTGAATTCCCACTGACTTTGCTTGTGACGTGACCGTGGAGATGCTGCAATGGTCATAAGTGTGAAAAATGGTCGTAAATCCCTTGTTTCAGTGCCATTGTAACTTTGAACAGTCACTAAACGAACTATTGTAAGTCGAGGACTTCCTATATATTCTCCAATGAAGGGGGAGCCTGCATAACATTTGGGAAGAAAAGGACCAGTATGGTTTTATTTTCTTTTTTTCATGATAGGCGGAAGAGCAAACAAGCCCTGAGAGATTACAAAAAAGTTCAAATCCAGCTCGAAAATCTGGAAACAAGTGTTCGGGATCGGTGCAAAAAAGAATTTACAGGTAAAAGAAAGCACACTTCCCTCTCCTTCCGATTCAATCCTTTCTTACAGTCACAGATCAGAGTTAAAAATTAAAACATGAAAATAAAATAAAAAATAGAGCAGAACAAAACAGGACTTAATATTGCACTACAGTCAGTGGTGAGATCACCAATGAGTGGCCAAACTCTGCCTCAATTTATAGGCACCATAATAGAATTTAACTACATTCAAAGAAATTATCTCGTACGGATCTGATAGTGACAGCTGTACATAAAAGAGATCAGAATTTCCAGGATATTTTACCAGGTAAGGAGTCATGAGACCAAGAATCCTTATAGAACAGGGGTCCCCAGCCCCCGGTCCATGGACCAGTACGGGGTCATGGCATGTCAGCAACCGGTCGGCACAAATAAGCAAAGTCCCATATGCAAGATGCAGGCAGCATACAAAACCGTGCACCTTCCTGTCCACGGAAAAAATCTCTCTCCAGGGAACCAGTTCCTGGTGCCCAAAAGGATGGGGGCCTCTGTTATAGAGAGAACAGTACAACAGCATATGAGCGGTGGCTTTAGTGGCCCCTTGTCCATAACGGCACACTCAGCTCATATGGGACGTTTTCATATCGGGTCTCCAGAACTGCTGTGGGAGAACATTACAACATGGTAGAGTTCGTGCCCTTTGAAATTTAGAAACAATTACATAATATAGGTATTTTGCTGGTTTATGAAGAGGGTCTCAAGAAAGCATTCTTAAGTACAGCATATAAGTCCTGTTGGATCTCCTGGTCTTTAATATGTTGTTTAAATGGGGACTAGAACAACTTGCTGTAACCAGCTCGCCAAAAACCAACTTGCCACCGCTGTCTTGCCACGGCCAACCCGTCATGGTCATCTCGCCACAGCCATCTTGCCGTGGCCAGCTTATTGTAGCCAACTCACTGCAGGACAATTCACATGGGATAACTCAATGCAATGTTATCCACCACTACTTCTTCTACCTTATTTCCATTTTTGTCAATGAAAATAACAGCAAAGAAAGAATGGCAGATAATATTTAGCGTATTGAATTATTCCCACATGGAATTACCCCAAGGCGAGTTGTCCCCTGGTGACTTGGATGTGGCAAGACGGCCATGGTGAAATGGCCACAGCAATATGGCTTTGGTGAAATGGCCATGGCAAGATGGCCGTGGTGAAATGGCTGCGGCAAGAAGGCCGTGGTGAAATGGCCGTGGCAAGACAGCTGTGGTGAAATGGCCACGGCAAGATGGCTGTGATAAAATGGCCACAAGATGGCCGTAGTGAAATGGCCGTGGCAAGATGGCTGTGGTGAAATGGCCACTGCAAGATGGCTGTGGTAAAATGGCCACAAGATGGCCATAGTGAAATGGCCGTGGCAAGATGGCCGTGATGAAATGGCTGCGGCAAGATGGCTGTGGTAAAATGGCCACAAGATGGCCGTAGTGAAATGGCCATGGCAAGATAGCTGTGGTGAAATGGCCACGGCAAGATGGCTATGGTGAAATGGCCGCAGCGAGTTGGCTACAGCGAGTTATTCCATTCTGGTTTAAATGCCCTGAGTGCACGCTCACAGATAAAGAAGACACGTTCGCTCAGTTCCTGATGTAAGGCGGAAGCATTTTTAGTTTTCTACGTTTATGAGACCCCTCTCTTCTCAGCTCACTTCCGTATGACTTGTGTGCTTCCTCTGTTTCTAGACCTCATGACTGAAATGATGGATCTCACCAGTGACTTGGTTGGCACTGGGATTCCTTTCTTGGATTACAAATCCTATGCAGAACGCATCTTTTTCCCGGGCCACCGGGAGTCACCCCTGCAAAGGGACCTCGATGTGCCTGAATCTCGGCGGCAGACGGTTGAACAAGGCTTAGTGCAGCTCTCTAATCTTCTCAACAGCAAGCTCTTTCTCACCAAGGTATGTTTTAAATAAAGAATCAAGTCAAATTAACCACGTAAAACACAGTTCTACCATGCAGGATCCAGGCCATAATGAATAGGCTAAAAGGAATAGTATACCACTTTAATATCACTTTACAATGCCTTGGAATACTGCATCCAGTTTTGGTCACCACAATGTAAAAAAGATGTTGAGACTCTAGAAAGAGTACAGAGAAGAGCAACAAAAATGATCAGGGGACTGGAGGCTAAAGCGTATAAGGAACGGTTGCTGGAATTGGGTATCTCTAGTTCAATGAAGACAAGGACGAGGGGGGACATGATAGCAGTGTTCCAATATCTCAGGGGCTGCCCCAAAGAAGAGGGAGTCAAGCTATTCTCCAAAGCACCTGAGGGCAGGACAAGAAGCAACCGATGGAAACTAATCAAGGAGAGAAGCAACCTAGAACTAAGGAGAAATTTCCTGTCAGTTGGAACAATTAATCAGTGGGACAACCCGCCTCCAGAAGTTGTGAATGCTCCAACACTGGAAGTTTTTAAGAAGAGACTGGACAGCCATTTGTCTGAAATGGTATAGGGTTTCCTGCCTGAGCAGGGGGTTGGACTAGATGACCTCCAAGGTCCCTTCCAACTTTATTGTTGTTGTTGTTGTTATGCTATGGCTAGGTTTCCATAATGCCTAGGTCTGCTTAAGGCCTACAGATTGCACTCAAATAACATGCTAAACTTATTTGGTTTCAACTTGGCTTGTTTTTTTATTGCCTTGGCATGTTGTGCAAATCTCGTCTGTTCGTTTAATTTTCAGACTAATTGTGCAAAGGCAAAAAAATGGGTAGCCCAGTAACCAAGTTAAATGGTGTTGTGCAAAGTCAGTGGATGTTCACTACATGAAGCATAAAAGCAATTTCCTAGTCACCAGGGTAGAAAAATATTGGAAAGCTTATTAGCAGTTATTACAAAACGTTTTCAAAAAAGAATCTCCTGAACATATGACTGTTACTCAATGCAACCTAGGGTTTTATAGCAAAAGCCTATTACAGGTAATCCTTCACTCACAGCCAGTTGTCTGAAGTCCCAATGGACCTATTCGGATGGTACTTATGATCCATATTCTAACTTCTAGGGGTTGACCCAGCCTAGATAGTCACAGGACCATTCGCACTTGAGAATTGGACCACATTTATGGCCACCTGCAACGACCTACAGTCAAGTGACAATGTTTTACACCACATTTGCTTCTGATTTTTGGCAATCCCCCCCCCAATAGCTAACCATTGATTTGCTTAACGATCGTGGTGGTCACTTAATGACATTTTATGCCGTAGTCATAAAATGGGGTTAGCCATGTGAGCAACCTGCTTTACAACTGTCATATCTTATGACCATGATGGGCAGGCCCCATTATGGTTATTAGTTGAGGACTGCCTGTAAAAATAGCAGAAGCAGGATACAAAATAACGAAAATGATTTTTAGAAAATGCAAACTTACCCAGTCTGCGTGTATTCTTTCATTGGCATATAATAAGCCATGGAATTTTTGGCTTTATTTGTTCCTGCTGAATTGTTGTTGTTGTTTGCTTGCTTTAACTTTTTATGGAAGTCACAACCAATCAATTAAAATGCCTGTCCCTCTCCCCCTCCCCCCAGCCAAGAAATAATTGCCTAACTGCAGTGTCATCTTAGATCATTTCCCTTTTGTCTAGTTTATTCACACCTTGGAAATCCAGCGCACATTTTCTCCAAGGGACCGGGCTTACGTCGCATCACTTCTCACAGTCGCCTTGCATGGGAAACTTGAGTACTTCACAGATATCCTCAAGACCCTCTTGAATGACCTGGTGGAGCAATATGTGGCCAAGAACCCGAAGCTGATGTTGAGAAGGTGAGGTCACTGTCAGAAAAAAAAAGCCTGGGGGAGTTAAGACAAATTTGAGGAGAAGAGTAAATGCATCAAAGCTACTTACTGCTCATGATAGTTGGGGGATACTCAAGATGGGGGACAATACAATGGGGAAGTTTTATTGTCCTTGTTCCTGATATGCAGATTTTTTTTCTTTTTGTAGGCATCTAGTATACCTTTGTGAAACAGGATATTGGATGCAAGAAGCTTTTGCTTCTTTCTCAGATTGAATAACCTTCTCTTGATTGCTGGCTCATAGGGATAAACCTGGTCTGAACACGTGCTGTACGAAAGGCCATCAGAACTAAATCAGAACTGGAATATTTAGTCCGGTGTTCTATTTCCAACAGAGACCTGCTAAAAAGCTTAGCTGTGGCCAAGAAAATAATACTCCATTCCCAGCATTTGCCAGCTAGCGCAATAGGCCTCTAAATAAGAAACAATGGCCTATCACCTCTTGATACGAGAATGGGGTAAGAGTCTTTTCTGCAAAGGCTTTCCAGTTATGGAATCCCTCCCATAAGAAGCTGACAGTGTCCACCTCTCACAAGAGATTTAGGCAGGCATATTCTGCATGATGTTCAAAGAATTTTTTTTTTAAGAGAACTGAATTTACCTCTCTTCTCAGTGTTAAGTTTTGATTTTTATTGCCCCTTGTTTTAGCTTTCTTTAAACCAATTGGGAGGTTTATTAGGGCTGAAGAACAATGTACAGTGGAGTCAAGGTTGAAACAACTTCAATGTCTCTTTCAGGACAGAAACTGTGGTTGAGAAGCTGCTGACCAACTGGATGTCCATCTGCCTCTACGCGTTTGTCAGGGTGAGGCATCCATCCATTATACCTAGAACAGTCATGGCGAATCTTTTAGAGACCGAGTGCCCAAACTGCAACCCAAAACCCACTTATGCATCGTCGGGTGCCGGGTGGGTGTGGCCCATTGGGTGGGTGTGGCCCATTGGGTGGGCGTGGCTGCAGTGGTAACAGCAGACTAGGTGGGACTAAAAAGTTCAATCAATCAATTCCAACTTTGCAAGATCTTTTTTTTTCCCGTGAGAAGTTGAAATTGACTGATTGATTGAATCTTTTTTTTTTTTTTTTTTTTTGCATGTGGAGGCCTAAAGCGAAAAGGTTTTATAAAACCCAGCTGAAGGCCTAGGACTGGGGTGATGGCACGCGTGCCCACAGAGAGGGCTCTGAGTGCCGCCTCTGGCACCCGTGCCATAGGTTCGCCACTACTGACCTAGAAGGTCAACCTATATAACATGTACTTCTCAGCTAGATAGCTGCATAAACCTCTGCTCTGATAATGCCAAGGACCCCTTAATTCTCAGCTGTTAGCATCTTGATGGAGGGGTACAGAAGGCTTAGTGAGACATCCAAGACTCCAGTGTCCTCTTGTGCATTAAATATTGCTAAAGTGGATGAATAAGAGTCTGAGTTGGCTTTGGATCAGGAACAAGACATTCTAGCCAAGTGGGTTTTTTTTTTAAATTAACGACATGATGACATACTGGGAGCGGTCAGACCTGTGAAATAGGAATCTATACCATGCCTGTTTTTGGCACACTAGTGCTTAGGCTGAGCCCAGACTTTTTTTTAATACTGCTGCAAGCAGGCCAGCTGCTGACTGAAACAGATTGGCTCACCTTATGAATTGAACGTTGAATGTCCTTATGAATCTTTCAGGGTTTCAGACCCAGGTGATGCCTTTCCTAAGAGCCATCATTTTATAATAAGTTTGCATGTTTACTAATGATGCACATCAGACTGGATTTGTTTGCCGGATGAAAGTTAAACTTCGGCCCTGAACCTGGCCAAAGGCTTCAGTCCTCCCCCTGATCTAGTTCTTATAGACCAGGGGTTCTCAGCCTGTGGGTCGGGACCCCATTTGGGGTCGAACGACCATTTCACGGGGGTCGCCAAACAACGCAGTCTGCCATTTTTTTCCCCCTTTTCCTTAGCTGTGCTACTCCCTTTTATTCTATTGGCTTTTGAAAGCCAATAGAATAGACTCTCTTGAATAGAGTCTAATTCTATTGGCTTTCAAAAGCCAATAGGAATTGTCCAGGCTGTCTCTGCCCTGCTGAGCCCGCCAAAAGTCCCATTCTGCAAACGGTGCTGCACCAGTTGAGTAGTCCTCGACTTACGACCGGTTGAGTAGTCCTCGACTTACGACCAGTTGGGGGTCGCGGCATTAAAAAGGTTGAGAACCACTGTTATAGACTGCTAAAAGGTCAGAAATGCAAGGTGGAAACTCTAGAGATGATGGGGATTTCTCTGTTTCTCATTAGGACTCTGTTGGGGAGCCCCTCTATATGCTCTTCCGGGGTATCAAGCACCAAGTAGACAAGGGTCCTGTTGACTGGATAACTGGGAAGGCCAAGTACACCCTGAATGACAACCGACTTCTCCGAGAAGACCTAGAATATCGCACACTGGTAAGGGCCGGTCATGGACCTCTCGGGAAGAAGCGCCCAGCTAGAACCAATGTTGGACCACACAGTTGGCTGCATGCTTCTAGCAAGCATCTTCAGAGTCCGGGATGCTTCTTTCCCATCTCCATCCTCTTCCTAAGAATCTTCCCATTCTTAGCAAGTGGTCCTTTTCAAGCTCAGTACAGGCAGTCCTCGACTTACAACAATTCGTTGAGTGATTGCTCCAAGTTAACAACAGCTCTGAACAAAGTGACTTATGGCCGTTTTTCTCAGTTACGACCTTTTCAGCCTCCCCATACTCATGTGATCAAAATTCAGATGCCTAGCAAGTGATTCGTATTTATGAAGGTGGATGCGTCCTGGGATCACGTGATCCTCTTTTGCGACCTTCTGACAAGCCAAGTCAGTGGGGGAAGCCACAGGCACTTAACAACCGGGTTACTGACTTGTCAGCTGCGGTGTTTCGCTTAACAACTGGGGCAGGGAAGATCGTAAAATGGGGCAAAATTCATTTAGCAACTGTATCACTTAACGACATTTTGGGCTCAATTGTGGTCGTAAGCTGAGGACTGCCTGTAGATCAAGCCAAGTCTTCACCTTGGCTAAGCAGACATAATATGGGATGGCAAATGGTGCGACTCTTCTTGCCTGGGCTACTCCAACCTGTTGCTCTCCGTGGGATGTTCAACTTTAATTCGCACATTGGATGTGCAGTAACATCATTGCACAAATGGCCTGATTGCATAAAGATGTTGTGACACTATACAAGCACAGTAAGTACGATAATTGGATTTGCCGTGCAAATCCTGGGAGCTGAAGCCATAACACACCTAGACTGGAGAAGACTGTATTAAAGCATGAGCATCCAGCTTCACTTTTTTTCAGCTTAAGTAATATTTGATTACTTTAATAAGGCTGGGTTCACGTGCTGAACTGAGATGAATATAATACAGTTCCTGATGACATAGTTCCCATAGCACATGTAAACAAGGACTGGATTCCAGCACTTACACTGAATTACAAATTACCAGACCCATTCTCAGCGAGTCTAGCAAATTGTGATGATGATGATGATGATGATGATGATGATGATGATAATAATAATAATAATAATAATAATAATAATAATAATAATAATATAAACCGATTATGGAAAAGGCAAGCAAGGGTAGAACCAATAGTAATAGGTGCCTTGGGTGCAATCCCAAAACAATTGGAGTACCACTTGAACATCATTGGCACTGACAAATTCACCATTAGTCAATTGCAAAAGGCGGCCTTACTAGGAACTGCTTCCATCCTGCAACGATATCTGTAATACCATCAAACATCCACATCTGCCTATGCCAGGTCTTTGGTAAGGACTCGATAAGTAGACAAAAAATGCCAAATCCAGTCTGAACATCTGGCTGATTGCGATGATCAATAATTATGATGATGATGATGATGATGATGATCTAATCCAACCCCTTGCTTAGGTAGGAAATCCAGCATGCTAAAAGTGCACTCCCAAATCCCTACTTTTCTAGAAAGATTGTGCAGAGTGAAAGTATCAGAATCTTACCCGCACACAGTGGTTCTCTTTGAAAATGAGCCTTCTCTCCCCAATGCATCCATCTTTGAGGTTTAATTGGAGAAAACAGTTTGTCTACAGAACTAGCATGGTAGAAGCAGTCTTCGACTTACAACCATTTGTTTAGTGACTGTTCAAAATTTCAGTGGCACTGAAACAAACTGACTTATGACCCTTTTTCACACTTGCCCAGTGTCATGTGATCACCTTTTGCAAACTTCTAACAAGCAAAGTCAATGGGGAAGCCAGATTCACTTTACAGCCATGTTACTAACTTAACAACTGTGGCGATTCACTTAATAACCGTGGCAAGAAAGGTTGTAAAACTCATTTAACAGCTGTCTCGCTTAGCAACAGAAAATTAGGGCTTAATTGTGGTCGTAAATCGAGAGCTACCTGTATATTGCTTTGGAGCTAGTTTGATAGAATTCATTTCCCCATTAATCGATAATTGTTGTTGTTGTTAATTGCGAAGTCGTGTCCGACCCGTCGCGACCCCATGGACAACGTTCCTCCAGGTCTTCCTGTCCTCTACCATCTTCTGGAGTCCATTTAAGTTCACACCTACTGCTTCAGTGACTCCATCCAGCCATCTCATTCTCTGTCGTCCCCTTCTTCTATTGCCCTCAATCTTTCCCAGCATTAGGCCCTTTTCCAGTGAGTCCTTCCTTCTCATTAGGTGGCCAAAGTATTTGAGTTTCAACTTCAGGATCTGGCCTTCTAAAGAGCAGTCGGGGTTGATCTCTTCTAGGACTGACCGGTTTGAACGCCTTGCAGTCCAAGGGACTCGCAGGAGTCTTCTCCAGCACCATAGTTCAAAGGCCTCAATTCTTTGGCGCTCAGCCTTTCTTGTGGTCCAACTTTCACAGCCATACATTGCAACTGGGAAAACCATGGCCTGGACTATACGCACTTTTGTTGGCAGGGTATAATCGATAATTACTTACTGAATAACTTTTGGGCAATTGGTATCTCCCTCTCTAATCCATCTTTTAGTCAGGTTGGGATGGGGTAGGGCGAACAGAAAAATTGGATCAAGCATCCCAACCATCTGAGTGTTGAATTTAGCCTCAGACAGATCAGTCTATTAATTTAACTGCTTTCTTGTCAACTAACTCTTTTCCTGAGATAAAATTCTTTAGTGGCCTCCCAAAATCAGATATTCTCAAAGCCAGTGATGGCGAACCTTTTAGAGACCGAGTGCCCCAAAACCGCCCCGTCCTGCGCCCTACCTTGCCTGCCCGCAGGACCACCCACCGCCTCCACGGCCCACCGCAGCAGATTGCCCAGGCAGCCCAGCAGCGCCATGGTGGCCACCGCCTCCACCTGCACCCCACAGCATCATCTGCATGCGACAGGGTGCGAGGGCAGAGTCTTGTCCCCGCTGCCTGGCTGCCATGTCCTTGGTTTTGCTACTCCACGCGGGCCGCACCCAGGGGCAACTCTCCTCCAGGGGGGGCTGCTGGTGAGGAGGGGGCCATGAGGGAAAGCGGGGCTGCGGCGACAGCGCGCATGCCCACAGAGAGGGCTCTGAAGGCTGCCTCTGGCACGCGTGCCATAGCTTCGCCACCACTGCTCTAAGCATTCAGTTTCTGCTGCCAGGTGTGAGAACAGTGAAAAAGCAGTAGAAGTGAGAGAAAGTGTGTAAGTCTCTCCCCACCCCCCAAATTCATCTGCAGTGTCACCTATCCTGCTTGTACCACTGGATATTTTTTCAGTGATTTTCATTCTGGCCAAATCATATTCATGACAGGGAGTGGAGAGGGAAGCCACCCTCCCACCCTCCTTTTCACTGGCTCTCTGATAGCTGATCACATCATTTCCATGCTTGCATGGCTGGCACATACCAACTGGGTCACGGGGGAGGAGTGTTGCATAAGCCATGAGCCAAATCAGTGACTATGAGGATAAAAGGGAAGCAACGTGTACCTCCAATTAATTAATTAGTTCGGTTCTAATCTAAGACAACAGAAGGAGCCACCAGCACTCCTGTGGTTGCCAGAAGCTAAGAAGAAGAAGAAGGGGAATATACTGAATCATTTGGTCTTGATTTCTTGTTTTTGCAGACATTAACTGCGCTGTCGCAAGCAGGGAACACAGGGGGAGGAACAGAGGGCAGCCAGGGAGTGTTGGTGAAGGGTCTGGATTGCGACACAATCACCCAAGTGAAAGAGAAGATCCTGGACCAGCTCTACAAAGGGACACCTTATTGCCATCGACCTGACCCAGACTCGCTTGACTTGGGTGAGTCAAAGACTGCTGGAAGGGCCACCTTGAGTAAGACCCCCCCCCCCAAAGTGGGAGGTCACTGGCCAGTGTCCCATGGCAGCACTGTCCAGGCTGCTAGGAAACTGCACAGCAGTATCCCATCCGTTTCCGAAGCAATCCAAATGAGCCAATAGGAAGGCTCTGAGGGAAGGATCACTTGACTTAACTGTAGCCAATGGTATGCTGGATGAACAAATGTGCTGCTCCCACACAAGTTGCTTTTTGTCTTGTATGTGTTGACAACAGAATGGCGGTCTGGGCTGGCTGGGCATCTCATCCTCTCTGATGAGGATGTGACTTCAATCGTCCAGGGCAGCTGGAAGAGGCTCAACACACTGCAACACTATAAGGTGAGGGAAGCCCTCTTACTTTTATGGCCCTTTCTGCGGCGGTTAGCTTAACTCGGGATAAGACCAGCTTTTGGCCTTTTCTCAGTAAGTATCCTTCTGCTCCTGGAACCTTCCAAAAGGTAAGAGGGTTAAGGCAAGGAGTCTTTTGGTCTTCTCTGCCTCAGAAGTCCATGAAAATACTCTCCCTTAGAGTTAGACTACAGGGGGCCTAGCAATTAAGATGCTGGGCTTGTTGACTGGAAGGTTAGCAGTTTGAGACCCAATCACCGCATGACGGGGTGAGTGTTCTGTCCCAGCCTACGTGAGTGGTTGTTAAACTCACAAGGAGGTTGGAACTGTGTTATTATTATTTACAGACCTTAAAAATGTCCAAAGGCAAAGGCAAACAAAACACAAATTCAGTGAAACTTGATTTCTTCCAAACGGAAATTGTCCAAAGGCAAATGCAAACAAAACACAATTCAATGAAACCTGATCTCTTCCAAATGGTTGCCTTCAGCCACCAGCACCTCCCACACCTTCCCTTTTATTATGCAGCCTAAGGCGTGGCTTCCTAATGCCTTCTCCTTTGCCTTTGGAGCCGCCCCATTGCCTTCCTCTGTCCAACTCTCATTGCCTGTCGGCGTTTGCAAGCATCCATGATGTCTTCCAGCTGTGAGTCCTCACAGTCTGACTCAGCCTCCCAGCACAGCTGTGTCTCAGCCTGAGCGCGAGTAGAGGGGCCAGGCTCCTCGTCAGACTGTAAATCTTGGAACTCATCAGAGCCTTCTTCTGACTCTGATGTCACTCCAGGCCCCTCCTCCTCCTCCTCTGATTCCCCAGACTCAGCTATGGGTCCACTGCCTGACGAGGAATCACAACAGTGAGCTCCTGTTACTTGCCTCAGCTCCTGCCCACCTAGCAGCTCAAAAGCATGGACATGCAAGTAGATAAATAGGTACCACATCAATGGGAAGGTAATAGCATTTTGTGTGCCTTGGCATATATATTGCCATGACCATGGAAGAATCTTCAGACATCGCTGGCTCCCTCAGCTAGGAAATGGACATGAGCACTGCCCTGTTAAGTCAGACACGACCGGACAGGGAAATCTATACCTTTTGTTAGTCTTCCATTTACTAACTGTTCAAAATTACGGCGGTGCTGAAAAAAGCGACTTAATGGCTGATCCTCATACTTTACCACCATCCCAGTGCCCCCATGGTCACATGATCAAAATTGGGGCGCTTAGTAACCAATATGTATTTTCAGCAGTTGCAGCATTGTGGGATCATGTGATTTTTAAATTTTCTTAAAATTGTTTTCTTTTATTTCCGGTCTGTATTATTTCTATAAATATTTGCCATTTGCAACTTTCCCAGATAGCTTCCAGCAAGTCAGTGGGGAAAGCCTGATTCGTTTAACAACCCCATGGTTTACTTAACAGTGATTCACTTAACAACTTCGGCACAAAAAAAAAAAAGCTTGCAAAATTGGCCGTGATTCAAAACAACCACCTTGCTTAACAACAGACACTCTGTTCCAGTTTGCGATTATACGTCAAGGACTATCTGTACTTACAATTATCTTACTATCAGACCAATTTTCCATTGATCCCAAATATGATTTCCCCTGACTAGAACAAGCTTTTGAGGTGATCAGGCTGAAATCTTGTTCCTCATCTGCTACTTAATAATTTTTTTAAAAGGAGACAGCTTCTTGTGAAAAATTGTTCTTATGCTAAACTTTGATCCACCATTCTGAAATGTAGCCAATGGGCTTTAGTTCCTGCAGATGTATCTATCTTGATTTCTGCCTGCCATCATTTTCCTCAGCATGCCTGGCTGAGGAATTCTGGGAGTTGAAGTCCACAAGTCATAAAAGGGCCAAGTTTGAAGACCCCCTGCAATAAAGTATATGCATGTGAAAAGGCACTCTGAGTACTGCTTTGACAGTGGAAAAGCAGGATATATGCATAAATAAATAACTAGCTGCCATTAACAACAAATGCTGTGATCAAATCAAAAAGGTTAATTTTAAAAATAAATTCTTCATAAGGAAATCTTGACCCTAAGTATTTTGGAGTTAAAGCCTGTCCTGTCAATCTCCAATCGTTTTAAATTATGGATACTGCTGAACTGGGTAGATTCTACTTTAATTATATCAAAAGCCATATTATGTCATATAGGTTATATCACATTAGCACACACAAAGAGATAAGAGGGTGTTAAGTGTCTAATCTCAAACGCCAACTTCCAAATATTTTTTGCTGAAAAGCAATGCAGCATGATGTTGAGTCCCGAAAGCGGTTTAACCCAAAATTTTTGTGCCTCCTCAGGTGCCTGATGGAGCCACGGTTGCACTGGTCCCTCGTATGACCAAGCACCTTCCCAGGGAGAATCAGGATTACATCCCTGGAGAGAGTGAGTGACCCCTCCAGTTCTTATTTGGTTATTGGGGGAAAAGCAGCTTGGGTGGACTGAATGGACAAAGGAACAAAATGGACTGAAAGTTAATTACCAAACCAGTTTGGAGTAGCAAGTTAATTTAAGAAGAAAGAAAGAAAAAATTGTTCAATTGAGAAACTGAGCAGCTGCCATCTGATGATCTACTTGCAGGGGTTCTCAACCTTGGCAACTTTAAGACTTGTGGACTTCAACTCCCAGAATTCCTCAGCCAGCTTTGCTGGCTGAGGAATTCTGGGAGTTGAAGTCCACAAGTCTTAAAGTTGCCAAGGTTGAGAATCCCTGATCTACTGCCAATCATCCAGAGTGGCCTTATGCTGGTTTGTGTTTTAGAAACCCCAATGCTGGAGGATGCGGATGAGGGTGGCATAAAGCTTTGGCACCTGGTGAAACCGACCGAGGAACCTGAGCTGCCTAAACATCGGCGAGGGAGCCTGCGGGAACGGGAGAGAGCCAAAGCGATTCCAGAGATCTACCTAACGCGCCTCCTTTCCATGAAGGTAAGAAGAGATCCAGTTGTTAGTTCTGCTCTTATTTATTCCCAACAATTCTTTCAGGCTTTATGTCCATGGATGCAATCTTCGGAGGAAGCCCTGTGGAAAGAATAAGACTTTCTTCTCAATAAGTATGCACAGTATTACAATGCCGGTCTACTTTCCTTGACTTGATCTCATCCACACTGTTGTTTACTGGGAATTTAATTGGAGGGCAAATGGAACAGGTAAAAGGAAGCATTTCAACACATTGGGCATAACTGCCCTCTGGGATTCTTTGATACATGGTGTAGTAATAATGTTAGGAGAGCTGAGAAGCTCCCCAACACAATATACTTCTAAGGCAGTGGTTCTCAACCTGTGGGTCGGGACCCCATTTGGGGTCGAATGACCATTTCACGGGGGTCACCAAACAAGGCTGTCCGCCATTTTGTTCCCCCTTTTCTTTGGCCACACCCCTGGCACCCGGTGATGTATAACTGGTTGGGGGTCACCACAACATGGGGAACTGTATTATGGGGTCGCGGCATTAGAAAGGTTGAGAACCACTGTTCTAAGGGCTCTGTAGGAAAAAGTATTTAAGATAGATGCACATTTTTGCTTTCCAACTCTGTGATAGAAAGATTTCTTTATTAGTGGAGATTAAGACAAACAACAACAGATAATTTGGCTTCAGAGATCCTGTAAAAAAAAAAAAATCATACAGGAAGTGGCCAGCTATTTTTTTCTTCTCTTCTTGATTTATCACAGGGGTCTCCAAACTTGGCAATCGTGTGGACTTCAATGCCCAGAATTAATTCCCCAGCCAGCATGTCTGGCTGAGGAATTCTGGAAGTTGAAATCCACAAGTCTTAAAATTGCCACCTTTGAAGACCCCTGGATTCCGGCCCGCAGAATTTGTGATTTTCTTAGCCAGTTTTCCTTAGATCAGAACTACGTGGTGAGATCTTCTTTCCCATAATGGGAGAGTCTATAACATCTATTGGCTGGTTCTGTGCTGTAAATTTATCCTAAGCTTTCCTTCAGGGTCTTCATTGCTCTTGTGTTTGTTGGCCCCAAAGAGAACTGTGCCATAACTTGGTCCGATTTGTGCTATATTTGCTTGTAGGGGACGCTACAGAAATTTGTAGATGATTTGTTCCAAGTGATCCTCAGTACCAATCGCCCTGTCCCTCTGGCTGTGAAATACTTTTTTGACCTGCTAGATGAGCAAGCACTGAATCATGGGATCACAGATCCAGAAACCATCCATATCTGGAAAACAAACAGGTAGACAACCAAAACTACTGGAAGCCGCTTCTCAAAAGCTTAATGTCTTGATTGTGCTATTTATTGGTTTGCTCTTCATTTCCCCATAGAAGATCATAACCTCGTAAAACTCTGCTGATGTCCAGTCCAATATCATATCTGGATTATTAATAATCCTATTTTACAGTTCGGGTATATAACACTCAGAAAAGTATGGACAAACCTAGATGTGATGGTGAATATGGCACCAGTGGGAGGAGGTTTATCTGTAAGACAGAACAATTAGAAATTTTGTAGGCACTGCAATTGGGGGAAAATAGGGTAAATCTCACTGTTTCATGTTTTATAGGCTTTGTTAAATAGCCTGTAAATTGCACTAGAGAAATACTTCACATCATGAAACTGGCATGTTTTGCACGTACAATTATAGTGTAACTGAGACTTAATTCACTGGCTGACTCATGCTCCCAGGGAATTTCATTTGTAGACAGCTGCAAACATCAGTATGATGGCCTGAGCTTCATGACATCATTGCACAAATGGCACAGTTGCATAATGATGTCATGACACTACACAAGTACAGTTAAGTATGATAATTGTAAAATGGGTCAGTCACATGACCGACCCAGTTTTATATTTTTTTGTGACAACTTTACATATTGTGCAGTTGTAAAAAGGCCTCTGTGGTTGTTAAGCAAACATAGCAGTTGTTAAGCAAACCAATAGTTCATTATTGGGCACTTTTCCCCTCAAAACAGAGGTTTTTGGCAAAATTGTCATAAAACATGGCCATGTGGCCACAGGATACTGCAGCCTGGTTGCCAAGTGTTTGAAATTTTGACGGACCACGGGGGGGCTGGACATCAGAACTATAAATCCCTGTCATAAGTACCCCCCCCATGTAGGTCTGTTGCGACTTCAAACAGTTGCTAAATGGCCAGTTATAAGTCGAGGACGACACGTACATAACTGACATCATTTGTATCATGATGTTGTCGTGAACATGTCATCTGCCAGCCTCTACCTGTTAGCCATCCTGCCGAGTGCTATTGACTGAGGGTTTTTTTTCTTCCTGCAGTCTGCCCTTAAGGTTCTGGATCAACATCATCAAGAACCCCCAGTTTGTGTTTGATGTGCAAACGTCAGATAATGTGGACGCTGTGCTCTTGGTCATCGCTCAGACCTTCATGGACTCCTGCACCCTCGCTGACCACAAACTGGGCCGGGTAAGCCTGAAAGAATGCAGCTTAGAATGAATGTGAAGAGAATCCGGAAGCCGTAACCCCCAAGTGGTTACTTGCTGGTGTAAGAGGTGTGTGGTGGGGTATCCAGGTTTTCCCTCCCAGATAGGCTGGTTCCATATTTTGCTCTATATTCTGGCAAGATCTCAAGGAGCTAACAATAAAAAGAATTCAATAGCACCTTCTCTTGCGGGTATATTGTCTCCTCCTGGTATAAAAGCCGCAGCCTTTTCTTAAAGGGAAGATGCTATTTTATGAGCATTTGTGTAACTCAGGGGCCTTCAAACCTGACCCTTTTATGACTTATGGACTTCAACTTCCAGAATTCCTCAGCCAGGCACTCTGGCTGAGGAATTCTGGGAGTTGAAGTCCATAAGTCATAAAAAGATCAAGTTTGAAGACCCCTGGTGTAACTTGTCACCTGTGGTTGCTGTATTTTCATGGACATCTCTTAGCTGACACTAGTGATGCCAACAATGCTAAGGAGCACCCCACCCATTTTTCCAGAGGAAGATTCAGAATAAGAAATGGAAGTATTCCGCCGATCCCTCCGGTTACAGCTTTGTCTTCCTTTCCTCCTCACTCCCCTTGAGAGAGAGTGTTAATTGTTTTCATTAGGCGTAAAACTTTTTGGGCCATGAAATTAATGTCTTGCTCTTTTTTTTTTTTTTTTGGGGTGGCCTTTCCAGGATTCCCCAATTAACAAGTTGCTCTACGCGCGAGACATTCCACGCTATAAGCAGATGGTGGAAAGGTAAGGAAGGAAGATTCAGAGGGAGGCCAGATGTATCCAGAGAAGGAGAACAGGCGGAGGATAAGCTGGATGTAACAATAAGGGGGGGAAATTATTTCTCTTCTGCAGGTACTACGCAGATATTCGCCAAACCATCTCGGCTAGTGATCAGGAGATGAATTCTGCCTTGGCGGAGCTATCACGGGTGAGGAGAGCCCCCCAGCTGCTCCCTTCTCTTTGTGCCATTCTTCGACACAGCATCGGCGTCCCTTCTTTTTGTGATTTGATTACAGATAGTCCTTGACTTATGATCAGTTGCTTAGCGACTGTTCGAAGTTATGACTCACCTGGAAGAAAGGGAGTTACAACCCAGTTCTTTTTTTTATTTTTTATTAAAAAGTTTTATAAAAATTACAATATCAACCCACCCCCCAAAAAAACCCTCTCCTTCCCCCACTTCCCAGAGCTGAATATAGGCTTACAAATATGTTAATCATAATCTAACATTAGCCAACTATATAAATAACCAAGTCCATAATGCACTTTAACTCCCCTTTAACATAAGTATAAACAAATTAAAAGTGAACATAATAATAATGAGAACATAAACAAATTAATATCCTAATTATTAAACAATACAATCCCCAAATAGTTAAACAATACTACTAAAAATAATAATAATAATATCATAATAATACTCTAAAATTCACTCATAGACTAAATGAAACTTCGTTCTGATGTCCCGACGGTCGATCTCCGCCAAGGTCACATGAGCACACTTCAGGCGCTTGGCAACACAGCCACATTTGTCATCGTTTGCAGCACCCCACAGTTACATTACTGCATTTCATCACATTTTTGCCTAAAACTTACTTCCAGTTTTTGGCAAAACTATACCTGTTTTGAGAACCGTTGGTCCTCTTGACCACCGCTACATTTGCTTAATGACACGGGATTCATTTTTTTCAACCGCTGCAAAAAAGGGTTGTAAAATCAAGTCAGTCAGCACCCACCATCACCGTTGTAACTTGAAGACTACCTATACGACAATGCCTTGTAGCTGGGGCTCTCGTTGAAGATCATTCAGGAGCTTCAGTTTCTCAAAATGAAGCTTCAGGGAATTGGCTGATAAAATCATAAGAAACCACTGTCTGGCAGCCATTTTGGTTGCCAGCCATTTCTCCATCTGGTCAGAGATTTCTAATGGCCTGAATGGCTGCTACTGCTGCTGCTGCTGGTGAAGGTATCGCAAGGTAGTGCAAAGAACCTCTCTTCTTTATGGACTTGCTGAGGCTCTTTAGTCATTTTAGGCAGTTCCTTAGATTTCCTCCCCATGTTAGTGAAGCAAGTGTCAGATGTCTCTTCAGGCCAGGCCCCATCAGGCCTGTCAGAGGACTGAAGGCTAAAACATATAAGGAACGGTTACTGGAATTGGGTATGTCTAGTTTAATGAAGAGAAGGACGATGGGGGACATGATAGCAAGCTTCCAATATCTCAGGGGTTGCCACAAAGAAGAGAGAGTCAAGCTATCCCCCAAAGCACCTGAAGGCAGGAAAAAGAAGCAATGGGTGGAAACTAATCAAGGAGAGAAGCAACCTAGAACTAAGGAGAAACTTCCTGACAGTTAGAACAATTAACCAGTGGAACAACCTGCCTCCAGAAGCGGTGAATGCTCCAACACTGGAAGTCTTTAAGAAGAGACTGGACAGCCATTTGTCTGAAATATTATACCATTTCAGACAAATGGCTGTCCATTCTCTTCTTAAAGACTTCCAGTGTTGGAACATTCACAGCTTCTGGAGGCAGGTTGTTCTACTGGTTAGTTGTTCTAATTGTCAGAAGATTGTAAGTGAGGCCAGGCTGCTGAGCACCTGAATTTTTGTGCTGCAATGGCTATAACTTCAGGCACAGATTGTAAGTCTATTTTTTTTTTACCACCATCATAACTTTGAGCGGCCATAAGTCGAGGGCTACCTGTAGGACAGAATTAAATTGCACTTCCTAGCTCCCCTCTCCTGGATGTAGACTGTGGTTGCCCTATAGCAGCTTGGGAAAAGACATTACAAAGAAAACTAGGATTAGTTCAGATAATCCACAGGCTGCAGCCATAACTCCGGTCGTGTCGTCCTTGTTCGTTCCTTGGCATCTCCAGCTAAAAGCCTCAGAGAAGATATGATGAGACAGGCATGAAATGGAGAAGAGGAGGCAATTCATCTGCCTCAGTGTAAGGGAGACTGTGACTCTTTTGCCACCTGGCCTGCCCAGCATGGAACTTGATCTACTGTACTTTGAACATGGCTTGGGGAGACTTTGGCTCTCATTAACTAAAAATAGTCGGTGTCTCTTACTTACAGAATTACTCAGGTGAACTTAATTCCTTGGTGGCTTTGCATGAACTTTACAAGTACATCAACAAATACTATGATCAGGTGAGAGTATTTTCTTTCCAACTTGGGGGTTTATTTTTGATGAGGGGGGGCCAGATGTAGAGACCCACACCCATCTTCCCTATTCTGATTGGGGTGACAAATGAGTGCAAAAAAAAAGATTGTGGCTCTCTTTGGGCGCTCTAGTGGCAAAACAATATCTTCAGATTATATTCCACCAGAGCTTGGAGCATTGATGGCTAAAAGGAAGCAAGTCCTTTTTAAGCAGTCTGCTTCTTGCATTCTGTCCAACTGAATTCAATAAAGTTCCTCTCACTCTATGCCCCAGACATCTGTTTTCATACTTCTCCTTGGCCTATGAAAGGGTCAGTAAAGAAAGGAAATCTGGAGATCCATTTTGAGCCCGGGGGGGGGGCGGAATCCAGTTCTCCAGATCTAAAAGAGCGCATTCCACAGTTTGAACATCACCATCAAAAAGGCCCCAGTGCTAGCAGATGCTGGCCCCGTATCAGGCAAGGAAAACACCCAGAAGAGGTCAGTTAAAGCTCCCCCGAGATTTGGAAAGGTTTTTAGATGAACTGTCCCATGAGACACGTCTCCACAGGCAAGAGAGGCATTCCCTCAAATATCTGGGCCTGATGGTGAAGGCAATCCTTGGTTAATAGCTCCGGTTCTGCCCACAGATCATCACCGCCTTGGAGGAAGACCCGATTGCACAGAAAATGCAGCTGGGATACCGCCTGCAGCAGATTGCCGCAGCAGTGGAGAACAAAGTCACAGATTTGTGAGGTGTCCAAGGGACAGACGGCTAGAAAGAAAACAGACGGCACCCACTGCCGTCCCAACCGATGCTCCTCACTGAGGTGGAGAGAAGCACCAGCAGATGGTCAGAAAATGCCAAGGGCAAGGAGGTGCCAGAGAACTACTACTTTTTTTTTTACAGACTCTTTTTTTAAAAAAATAACACTTAAAAGTAATGATAATAATGAACCGTGTGCCCAGAAGCCGAAAGGCTCCGCCAGATGAACTGAGCCATTTTCAGCCAGGAGGCCAGATGTTATGAATGGGCCAAGGGCGTTAGAGAACAGTGCAGCTGTGGGAGATGCTGGATCTTTACACACACAAATACACCCCACCCTGTGAAGAGTGAGGTAGGAAACTGAACTCTCATTGAGCTTCCTACGGACTTTTCTTGGATCCCTATTGGCTTAACACAGGGAGATCCCCCACCCTGCCCTTTTTGCTGCACTTGGGAGTCTTTTCTTAACACCCAGCGAGACCTACCTTCCTCCAAATTATGGGGGACGAGCTAAGACAAGGCACAACGGATGAAGGAAAAGGCCAGAGGAGGGCAGATCCAGCTTATTTTTCCACCATACCCACTCAAGATGGTCCTTGAGTTCCCTGGGCGTGCCTTCCTGTAGCTGCTGCTTCCGGCCCTTGCCTGGTTCTGCTTTCCTAAAAGCACAAACAACACTGGTACCCCCATTGGCCTTTGCCTTCCCAACAGTCGATAGGGGTCACCCATTTGCTCTGCAGAAAAGAGGCAAGGCCTACAGGACCGTCAAGCTTTTGAGTTCTTCCCCCTGCCCCTTTGCGTTAGCACTTCTTGAGTAAACATCTGCCTTCTGAGAATTCCTTCTTCCTAGACCCCCAACTCACCCTTCTTCCCCAGTTAGAGACTTTCCCATCTTTTTTTCAGAGGTTTCTTGGAAGGATGACATAGCTCAGCGATGGCGAACCTTTTAGAGACCGAGTGCCCAAAAACTGGCCCCGCCCCTGCTCCACCCCCTGCCCCGCCTGCCCACAGGGCCACTCACCGCCTCAAGGGCCCGCTGCAGATCACCCAGGCAGCCCAGCAGCGCCATGGTGGCCACGCCCTCTGCCTGTGCCCCACAGCATCAACTATGCGCGATGGGGTATGAGGGCAGAGTCTTGTCTACATTGCCTGGCTGCCATGTCCTTGGCTGCGCTGCTTCGCATGGGCCACACTCGGGGGCGACTCTCCTCCAGGGGTACTGCTGGTGAGGAGGGGGTCACGGGGGGAGGCAAGGCTGGGGCAACGGCATGTGTGCCCACAGAGAGGCTCCAAGGGCCACCTCTGGCACCCATGTCCTAGGTTCACCACCCCTGACATAGCTGGTGATTTTGCCCCTTTGATTTTCTCCTTCACGCTGGCAGGTTTTGCTATTTGTAAGCCTGCGGCTGTCTGGCCCCATTGGTGGCTGTGCCCTTCTCCTGTCTCTTTGAGAGCAGCTAGATTTACAGGCATTAGCAGATGATAATGTTTATCTTCATGTCATGACAAGGACCGCCTGCTGATTTTTGTAACTTAATCTGCTATTAAAGAGCCTGGAGAAAAAGCCAAGAAGAGCCCCCCTCTCCCCCCCCCTTTTTTTTTGGCAAGCTTTATTCTGGTTAAAATTAAATTTCAGCCACAGGTTGATGCATTGCTTAATTGTTCCCCAATCCTTTCTACTAAGAGATGAGACAAGCACATCAGCACTCTTAATTTTTTCTCTTTGCCTCTTTTGCTTCTGTTACTAACCCAAATCCAGAAAGAAAGAAAAAAAACCCCATGCTCCAGTCAGCTATGCTCTGATAGACTGGGATTTTTGCTCATTAGTCGTTTGTTCTATTAGCAGGAATAATTTCATTTTGCCATTTGGTTATCACAGGCTTCAGACCTCTGCAAAACCTCTAGCAGCCCTGCAGTCTTTTGGATGAAATTCTGCACAAACAGGTGGAAATAGAAGAAATGCAAATTCTCTCTCTCTCTGTTGTAACTATAGGCAGCAACTAGCTTTTATTGCTTCTAGCTCTGGTGAGATACACTCATGCCAGCTTTAGAGATCAATCGTTTTTCTAGAATGTGGCTCAACTTAAAAACAACAACAACTCCATATTGTATTTTGGGGACAAAAGTAAGTTGATCGCTTGGGGAGCAAACTAGATGTCATGTAAGAAATGTCTAAGCAGCATACTTGCAAAGACTTTTATTTATGTCACTAATTAAAATCAGCTACCAGAGAGAGGGATTTGGATTGAATATATGGACACTGCTGGGAGATAGTTAACCATTCTGCCCCGTGCAATTTCCTAAATGAAGGCAGCCCTGACGTGGGACTGGGGGAAATGCGAGCGCTGTCTTGAGCTGATGTATGTTTTTACACATCCAACCAAACATTAGCTTCTAGGCAGGGAGATTTAAAAGAGAATCTCACGAGGTAGTAAGGAAAATGAGCCACCATTTCAAGTTTTACTTGAGGTCACCCATTCTCTCTTCTAACTCAGGGGTCCCCAACCGCCGGTCCGTGGACAGGCACCGGTCCGTGGCATACCAGCAACCGGGCCGTGCAAACAAGTGAAGCCCCATCCGCTGGATGCAGGCAGCACACGAAACCACACCCCCTCTGGTCCGTGCAAAAATCTTTCTCCACAGAACCTGTCCCCGGTGCCCAAAAGGTTGGCGGCTTCTGTTCTAACTATTTTTGAAAGTTGATCCTGTGCCATAGCTGACTTGGTTCCAAAAGAGTTAACCCCCTAGAGCCCAATGAATGGTAGAAGTAACATCAGCTTGAGCATTTGTCGTTTAAATCTGTTTAGCCCTCATCTTCCTGGATGCCTTAAGCCGGCCATTTATCAGTCCGCCTCAGCTTCATGTTAGTAATATGCCAACAATAATACTGATTTATCCTACTTAGCATTGGAAAGAGCCGTTCAGATTTCTTAGGATTCTCAGCCAGCATGACTAGAAGAGGAGCAGCATTTGGGAAGGACTGGACTACGAATACTAGGGCTAAACTAGCCACAAATTTTATCCATTAATACATAAAATACATAGAATCCCACAATATGCACATCTAACATTAAAAAAGACTTTGCGAGTTAGCAGTGTTATGTTGTGTGAATCTAGCCAACTGAGGATTATTCAACAAATCATGAGTAACCAAACTATGGCTTAGTATGCTGTGGGATTCAAGGCAGACCCACACCGTCAGTCCTTTAAAGCAGCAGTCTCCAAACTTTTCAGCTTGGTGGACTGGCGGAGGTGAGGGAATGGTTTTGTGCATGCATACCGCTTTCAAAAATGCTGCTTCACACACTGTGTGTGTGGGCAAGAGTGTGCTCACCCACCACTTCCGCAGCCCAGTTCCAAACGGGCTGTGGACTGACACTGGGCTGCGGACCGGGGTTTGGCACCTCTGCTTTAAAGTAGACCAGATTAGGATGTCAGAGTTACAAATGGTAATGCTCTTTAAGGTTAATGCTAATGTTACTTTTATCTGACAGTTGGCTTGGTTGCAGCACTTCCTCCTGTTCCTTCCTCCTGTCCCTTACACATAACAACAGTCCTCTTACTTCTCATTCACTTTGGAGCAGCGGTTCTCAACCTGTGGGTCGCGACCCCATTTGGGGTCGAACGACCATTTCACAGGGGTCGCCAAACAACGCGATCCGCCATTTTTTTCCTCAGCTGGCGGCACCGCGCATGCGCGCCACGCATACGCAGCGCGTCCTTATGACCGGGGTCGCCGGTATAAAAAGGTTGAGAACCACTGCTTTGGAGGAAACCATTCTCGGAGCATTACCTTGTATATTCGTATAGTCCAGGGGTCTTCAAACTTGGCCCTTTTATGACTTGTGGACTTCAACTCCCAGAATTCCTCAGCCAGGCATGCTGGTCTAGTCCGCCCATGACGTGAAAAAGTGATCATGTTCAAGCCAGCTCTAAACCTTTGACTTTGATGGTTTACCTCACAAGGACACCAGCTGAGAGCTAGAACTGAAATACTCAAACTCCATAGGGCTAGTTTCCCTTGGTATAAGTCCTTGACATGATCATTTGTTTAACAACTATTCAAAGTTACAACAGCACTTAAAAAAAAGTGGTTTACAACCAGTCCTTGTAACTATGGTGCAACCACATGATCAAAATGCAGGCATTTGACAACTGGCAGGTATTTAAGACAGTTGCGGTGTCCCAGAATCACATGGATGCCTTAGTAACTTTCCTCCCACAGGGGGCATCCAACAAGCAAAGTCTACGGGAGGGAACAGATTTGCTCAAGGTCTGCAGCAAAATAAAAAATGTAAAATTGGGCACGACTCACTTGGCTTAGCGATGGAAGCTCCGATCCCAATTATGGTTGTAAGTTGAGGACTACCTATTAAATACTAAACTAGCCAATGACATATCAGCCAGGTTAGCTGTGCAAATCCAATCCATGTGCAATTCGGGTCAATATGAACTACGTTGTGTCGGAGATCCCAATCTCTGTGTATCTCAAGGTTGAAAATGTAAACCGAAGAGCACTTTTGGATCAGACCTCAAGTCTTATCTGGGTCAATATTCTTTTTCTCCTTAATGGCGAATCTAATGCCTCAGGAGAGCTCATAAAGGGGAAGCCCACAGTTATTCCCTAGCTAAGGGGTCCTCAGCCTTGGCCACTTTAAGACTTGTGGACTTTAACTCCCAGAATTTCCTCTGCGGCCAACTGCTTTTTCAGAAAGAGATTAAACACTACAACTGAAGTTAGCTTTTATGTAAATAGGAATTGTATATATTAAAAAAAATCCCATGTCAATGGGAATTCATTCGATGCCTCTAACAGCACACAGGACATTTCTGTACTTTGTTGTCCCCCAAATCAAATCACCCACAACAGGACAGGAAAGTGTGAGAAAGGCATGGAATATCCCAAAGGTGCTTTTTTTCAAGGACTTTTCCTTGAAGATGTTTCGCTTCTCATCCAAGAAGCTTCTTCAGCCCAGTTGCCTCTTGAAAAAGCATCTTTGGGATCACCATGACCTGGATGACTGAGAATCTCCATAGACAAGGCACGGAATAGCTTGATCTGAGCTGGGAACACTCAAAATGGTGGATGCTATTTTGAGCGTTCCCTGTTACAGATCAAAATAATTCCTCATGCACCTCCCTCTCCTAATAGATGCAAGTGAACCTTAATGGGTGCTCTTGAAGCCGAGAGAGATGGAGAAGTTGCATCATCCCCTCCTTTTCTTGGCTGGCCTTTGAGGGGTATTTAAGAGCCGCCTGAACCGCAGAGACGGGTAGGTGATAATGGTTTAGTTCTCATGTCATGGAAAGCTTCCCCTGCTGATCATGCTGGACCACAACGGGACTTGTTTAACAAAATAAGGCTGCAGCTGCTCCCCTCTTTCACAGCAGCAGTTCTGTTTTAGCAGCAAGTCCAAGCGTGACACATTATTAACTTACCTCCAGCAAGGTGTGTTGTTGAGTTTTGGGGGGTTTCCCCATCTATATATAGGTAGTCCTCGACTTACAACTTTTCGTTTAGTGATCATTCAGAATTACAACAGCACTGAAAAAAGTGACTTACACGACCGTTGCAGCGTCCCCATGGTCACGTGATCAAAATTCAGACGCTTGGCAACTTGCTCATATTTATGACGGTGGCAGTGTCCTAGGATCACACGTTCACCTTTTTTGCGACCTTCTGACAAGCAAAGTCAATGGGGAAGCTGGATTCGCTTAACTGTGTTGCTAATTTAACAATTGCAGTGATTCACTTAACAGCTGTGGTCATAAAATGGGGCAAAACTCATTGAACAACTGTCTCACTTAGCAACAGAAATTTTGGACTCAACTATGGTCAGGGACTACCTGTACATTACAGGAAGGATTTCCCACCGTGGAGGCTACAGTTAGGAGAAAGAAAATGGCCAGGGCTACTGAGGAAAGTGCCCCCCAATCCTAAATTTGGGGAGAGTTGCAAAGGTGTTACTGCTTCTATTTTGACCCTTTTGCATTCTGAGCCTATAATCTGCCTTTTCTTTTTTTTTTCTTCATTCTGGTTCAGCTACTTCCTATTCTCCTGTACAAATCTGCTCTCTTAACTGACTGGAGGATTAGGTCATTATTAATCTGAAAAGCTTGATGGACAACCCAGCCTGGTTTTGTTATGATTGTTGTTGTTTCACAGTATAATGTTATTGTAGATACTGCTCTGAGCAAAGTAGGGATTTTTATCATGAAATGAGAAGTTTCGTCTGTAAATAATCAGCTTAGATTCCAGATGACTTTTATTACAGAGCAAAATTCTTACATGGTAATTCAATAAACTTTAATATACAACACAGAATGTGGCTCCTCCTCCTTGTTGACTGGCTTCCTTCAGTATGCATTAGATCTTCCAAGGGGGCTGTGTGGAAAAATCAGTGATTGGGTTTTTTACTGGATTTATTTTTGCCTTTTGTGCAGAAGATATCCATAAAATTAGCAGATAACAGGGAAGAGCATCAGCATACTTGCACTAAGTTTTAATGTAGTTTATCGAATGTATGAACAAGATATTGTAATTGCTGACTGCCTTTGACATATTTATAAAGCAATTGCTGTAATTTTGACCAATAAAACAAGACTTAAAGTAGTCTATGTGCCACCATGGTTTGAAACAATCGTGGATATCGCATTTAAAGCAGGATATTGATAGTCTGAAATCAACTCTTATCAAGAGAAATCAAACAAAACAATATTTTATTGCTCGGCAAGAAATGATTAAGAAGCAGTGATTCAGTTTAATCACAGTGAGACACAGTATGGTTTAGTTTTGGCCTATGATGGGTGAGCTGTTAATTTTGACTTTATAAACTATGTCTTATGGTTTAGTGTCCCAGAACTATAGGTGACTCCTAAAATCCTTGGGTATAGCCACAAATAATTATTTATAAAGGTGTAATTTTTAATGTGACAGATGTGGGAAAGTATAAAATATTTGATTTTTGAGATTGTGTGCCATCACGCTGAAATCAACTCTTAGCAACCATATAGCATGACAATTTATTCCTAACTCATTTTTCAAAACTGCCACATCATCACCACCATAACTGAGTCTATCCTCTTGCTGCTGATTGTCCTTTTCTTCTCTTTCCTTCCATCTTTCCCAGCGAGCTACATCTTCACACCATGTGTTGAAAATAGGATAAGTTAAGCCAATTATTTGTGCCTCAAGGCAAAACTCGGGCTTAATTTGTTTCATGATCCATTGATTTGTTTTCTTGGCTGTTCTTAGTCTTCCCCAATATCAAAGTTCGAAATTCAAAAGCATCAATACTCTGAGTCCCATCCTTCTTCAAAGTCCAACTTTTGCTTTCATAGACTTTCACAGCTTGCATGATCCTGATTTTTGTAGGTATAGATCAGGGATCTTCAAACCTGGCCCTTTTATGACTTGTGGACTTTAACTCCCAGACTTCCTCAGCTAGGCACGCTGGCTGAGGAATTCTGGTAGTCCATAAGTCATAAAAAGGCCAAGTTTGAAGACCCCTGGTATAGACACATCACAGCATTTAAATATCTTTTCCAGAGTCCCTCATGGTTGTAGAGCTAGTCTGTATTGTATTTCTTGACTGTTGTTCCTTCAACAGTAAAGTAACAAGCAGCCAAGAAATACAACAACAGACTAGCACTTGTTTTGATCCTAAAAAGCAGAAGCTATTCATAGGATGGGAGAATAACCATATTATCTGTGTTTCATTGTAAGGAAACCAAATTTAATTTGGGTTTTGGCTCCTTCCTATGGCAATTTGGACTGCAGATTTTGATGTAGAAAAAGTTGGGCATTGCTCAATCCCATCTGTGGCCAATTAAAGTGCAATCAAACATGCTACCACTTACTATGATGAGAGAACTAAAATTCATCCATCTTAATGTATTTGAAAGTCTCAATACATAATGGCATAAATACATTTTCTATTGTTTTAAATGGTAGGACACAAACTCATATTGTTTTTACTGTCAGGCTGTATACAAGTTTTATTTTAATTATCATTACCATTATTATAATTTAGTTCCTAATTACAAATAGGAATGCCATTGATAAGCTTCAAATAACCTTTTCAGATTATTCCACTCTAATTTCATTTGTTCTAGTCTAGGATAATCTTAAAGTTACCAGATCTTGACTGCAAAACTGCCCAGGGCCACTGCAATTTCCCTTCCCCTTTGCCGCCATAAAGCTCTATAATTCATGTAGCTCTAATAAACACAAGCTTGCTTCGAGGAGACGTTACCAAGCATCACATACACCTTCTTGCCTCCGTGATAAACTGCTGACTACAACTTTAATGAAGACCGTATGGGGCCAAGCGCTGTTTTACGAAGCGGCCCGCCCTAATCCTTCGGCGTTGCGTTAAAACCTGCGGAAACCACATTCTCCGTCCGGCCGTGAAGCGATTTTTCGTACTAGCGCTTGAAGCAAAGCGATCCGGGGGCTCGACCGGCAGTCGAGGCTCTTTGCAAACGGGCGAGAGAAGACATCGACAGGCAGGGATATGGGGGGGGGGGCAGCTGAGAGAGCATTGATGGACATAGTCGGCGAGGCAGGGGCGCTTTTCCCGCCAAAGGATCCTTTCCCATGGCGTCTGAGCGATCTTTCTCCGCCTGGCCTGGTTTAGTCGGCGCAGGCGCCGGTACGCTCCGCTTCAGACCTGACGGATCCCCTCACCCCGTGAGCTGGGATGCGCGGGAGGAGATCCCGGCGTGCTGTCATTGGACAGCAAATTGTTTGTCTGACTCGTTTGATTTTTTTTTTTTTTAACTGCACAACGGATTTGAAAAACAGCACCCGGGGCTCTTGCGGGCTTTTCTGCCTCGTCAAAATATGCACAATGACGGGTGCCGTTCAGCCCCGTAGTGTAAATCCGGTGTTGTTTCAGACGGAGCAGCAGCTCCCGGTTCAGCAACAGTTGAAAGTTACGCGGCTGCCACATTTAGGCTGCCAAAACCAGATGATCACGAGGCGGCAGCCGAGAGCTTCTGTGTCCCTTTTTCACCACATAGTGGCTCCACGGGTTTTTCCCCTGCTAATCTAACGACCTTTCATGATGCAAGACAGCCAGACTGTACGGTATCATAGTTCCGAGGTTGGGCTAGAATAACGGAGACCTAGTTTCAAGGCTGCTCTCATCTGTGGGAATTCATTAAGGGATTTAGGTCAGTCATATAAGGAACGGTTGCTGGATATGTGTGTGTGTGTGTCTGAGACATGATAGCAGTGTTCCAACATCTCAGGGGCTGCCACAAAGAAGAGGGAGTCAAGCTATTCTCCAAAGTGGAACAACCTGCCTCCAGAAGCTCTGAATGCTCCAACACTGGAAATTTTTAAGAAGGGACCAGAGAGCCATTTGTCTGAAATATTATAGGGTTTCCTGCCTGAGCAGGGGATTAAACTAGATGACCTCCAATGTCCCTTCCAACTCTTATTGTTGTTATTATTATCATTATCATTATTATCTTTTCAGGCCATCTGAAAAGGTCGTTAGGATAAAACGAAGGGAGATCCATACTTTGTGCTCTTGGAGAAAAATGAATAACTAAAGCCGAGTGGAACAGAGTGATATAAGGTTTCTTCTGCTTGAGCAGGGAGTTGGACTAGAAGACCTCCATGGTCCTGTCCAACTCTTGTTAATTCTGTTGTGTTTTTGTTATTGTTTTTTTTTTTGAGCTGTGCAATGCAGATGTTCAGAGGCTCCTCTGCCAAATATCTAGGGTTCAATATGTCAGTGAAGACTCAGTCATCCAGGCCAAAGGTATCTAAAGGTTGAATCATGGCAACTGGACCTAACTTTGTTAATCTGAGATGTTTCGTTGCTCATCCAAGCAACTTCATCAGTCAGAGCAAAACTAGTTGGACAGAGGGTCAGAATCATTGGAATATACCGATCCTTGTCACAGCAACTTCAGGAGCTTCTACCCAAAAACAAAATGGGCAACGAAACGAAAGTTTGGTCCAGTTGTCATGATTCAACCTTTAGAGATATCCAGGGTTCAGATATCTGAAGTAACCACCAGAATCAAAGTCAGCTGTAATTTTTTAATTTTTTTTACACCAAGGGGTATAAGGTCTAGGTATCGCTTGGGAAACGTTGCCATTTTGATGTAGAAAATAATAGTACTAACAGATAGAATAAAATGAGCATCTGAAACTGTGCATATCCAGATGGGTTTTCCTCCCTAAAAAATGTTTGAAAAATAAGATCTGCTCACTGCTGCCCCAATATCTGCAATCCACTGACTGCAATTCCACACTCAGCCAGAATTGCCCAACCCAATTTGGCAAGTCCAGCATGTTGTGGAAACCCAGCTACCTCGTAAAGGAAGGGGGCTTAAGGAGTGGAGGAGTTGGCAATTATTTATTAATTTAATACATTTATATGCTGCCCATCTCACTGTCCAATATTTCAAGTTACAACCCAGCTGTTCCCATTGGCAAGAAATGAGGTATTTTTCTTCTCCGATCAGGATCATTTTCAAACTCAATCTTTATTTTGCCAGCTTCTCCCCTTATACCAATTCTAACTGTTCTATTTAGTTTTTATAGTATTATCCTGCTGACAGATTGACAGAAAGACAGATAGTCCCTGGACAGTCCTGAATCCCTTTACATATTTTCTTCAGCATTCTTAGCATCTAAATGTGACCTGCTATGCAAATGCTTCAAAACATGGTTTATTTAACCATGATTTGCTAAAACAAATTGTAATTGGCTCAGTTTCCCTGTAAACCACAAATACACTAAGCCACTAATACATTAAGGCCAAAACTAAGCCACCTACATTTTGACTGAGCATAATTATGAATTTGACCATAACCACCAACCCAGAATCAAAGGTCACCCAATAAAAATGAATCCTGGGAGAATCGGGAGAAACATATTTTTTTAATACATGTAATTAAGCACCACACGGTGCAAAGCTAGCCACCACTTTGGATGGTTGCCAAAAATGGGTTGGGCCAGTTGATGAAAGTCCTCGAGGTGTCTATGTTTATTAGCCATGATGTTGATGTATGATGCCCTTTTGGAAGCCCTCTGCTAGGAGGCTAGTGGGCTTCTCTGTGCAGTTGGTTGACTACTCAAGAGAACAGCCTGCTGGATGAAATGGGCCAGGAATCCGATCCAGCAGGGCACTCCTTATTTAGTTATGACACAAGCATTTAGCACCATACACTTGTGTAGTGTGGACACAGTTCCCACAAAACCCCAGGGAGAGAGATACTTTATTAAAATGGAGAAAGTTCATGCAATTGCCCAACTGTCTTGAGAGTAAAGCCATGCAAGCAAATGTTTTATCACGCCCCCATCAAAATCTGGTGGACACTTTTTAGACTAGATCAAATAAATTGGGCTACACTGGACAAATCTGTCTTTAAAGGAACATTTCGTCCCCTTCTGCCTTAGGGAGATGCCGTGACCCTGTTCAGCCAAAAGATCACGTCACACTATTATACTGGGGTTTCTTGACTGCTGTAACCTTTTTTTTTTTTTGAAGATATAATTTGAAACAGTTGATTTTCAAAATGGTGGCTGTTTTTCTTTTGAATATTTTGTTCCTTTGGCTGTTGTATTTTTAAAGAGATTTGTATTGTAAATCAAGAAGCCCCCAAAGATAGCTCTTCCAGGAACTTGGTAGGGGACTTTTGAGAAGCTAGCCCACGTGCAAATCATAGAAATAACACACACACACGCGCACACAGAGAGAGAGAGAGAGAGAGAGGACACTGATCTGATTCATACATGCTAAATAATTAGCTTTAGTAAAACCAAGGGTTATCATATAAACAAGACATCATTGTTTACACACTATGTAAACTAAGCCAACAAAAAACAAGCCACATTATTGGTAAACATAATGTGGAATCTACATCATTCCTAATACTCACAAAAAGAATGATTCCCAGTTTGACCTAGTGGTGAAGGCACCAGGCTAGAAAGCAGGAGACTGCGAGTTCTAGCCCTGCCTTAGCCATAAAAGCCAGCTGGGTGACTTTGGGCCAGTCATTCTCTTTTGGCCCAACTCACCTCACAAGGTTGTTGTGGAGAAAATAGGAGGAGGAAGGTGTGTTGGATATGTTCACTGCCTTGAATTATTTTTTTAAATAATAAAGGCAGGATGTAAGTATCTTAATTTATTTTTTAAAATCATTTTAAGGAGACAATCCCCTGCCATTATAAGAATGACTGGTGTTTTTAAGTGGCAGGGAGGAGAGTCCTGAATCTGCCAGCCCAACCACAATTTCCCAGAGAAGGATATTGTAGGTGTGTAGGCCTTTGTGCTGGAGTGAGATCTCTGCATATGGGCTCTGCATGTCTCTCTCCTCTCATGGACACACAGGAAAAAATAGCTCTAAGGATGAAAGTCAGCCAACTGTACAACGTAAAAGTTTGCATTTCTATCCTGGCTATCTGTAAATACTGATCTATAAATACCCACCCGGGAGAGTCCAGATTTTGCTTTGGCAGCAAGGCAGCAACAGAGCCAGGAAAATATTAGAGAGCAAAGCAGGAAGCCATTGCAACAGGTGCAGAGCGATGAAAAAGAATGGGAAATCGAGAACTTCCCAGCTGTCCTGGCTCTGAGCTGCCCTGGACTTGAGCCCTGGATCTACAGACTTGAGCGCAATCCAATCCAAACTCTCCCTCATTGACACAGCTATGCCAGGGGATTTGGGACGACCCACCCCTCCCACCCTCTCTCTTTCCAGCTGAGTTTCTTTCCAGAGACTAAAAAGAGAAGCAGGCAAAGCTGCTTGGATAAAAATCCCCAAAGCTCCAAAGCCTGGCAGATCAGGAAGTGGAGTTTCCCCAATCTGCTCTTGAAGGGTGCATCTGGAGAATGAGCTGGGCTACACCCTGACTCTGCAGAATATGTAAGTTTCATGCATTTGCTGGATTTTAGCGGAAGATAATGTGGTTCGGCTCCAGGAGCTGTTTCCAATCTTAGGAAGACAAAGATGGATCGCTGAGAATTTCAGAGACACCTGGGTTACAGCTGGCCTGGTTTTGACTAGCTTGGAGGAATACCCTTTTTTCTTTGGGGGTCAAACCTCTTGATTTTGCTAACTACATAGATTTCTTTAGCAAATATGGGGGGGGGGGGAAGTCAGCCACCTCAGACAAATGGCAGCCCACTCTATGCTCTTTATTGGGAAGTCCACTCGCCATCTAGTGTGCTTGTTAATGGCGAACATTGGGAGGAAATAATGTACAGGGTTAGAATGAATTGTGCACACTCAAATGTTCTTAATCACAATTTATTTATGGAATGTATTGATTTATCAAATAACTTGATCAATAAATGATCGATCATATTGATCGATAAGTGATCGATCATATTGATCAATGAGGGATCAATGTCTGGTTTTACATTTTATAGTGTAGCAAGTAGCTTTAGTAGACTTGATATTCAAGAGAGAATGTTTTAATACTGTCTCCATTTTAACATTAAAGCAAAGGTGATTTTGGGAGCAGTTGTTTTGTATTCAATTGATAAAACCCATTTTTTTAAAAAAAAAAATCAAGAGCTTGTTTTTTTTAAAGTTGACTTTTACTCCGAAGGACATGTTTGCAGTAAAAAAAAAATCAATTAAAAAAAAAGAACAAGTCCTTGAGTTTTTTAAAAATGGATTTTATTAATTGAATACAAAACAACAGATACATATTGATGATCTGTTTAAAATCTTGTGACCTTCAATGGGTTACAGAAATAAAAACACAAACAGCACAGCAATATTGATTAGGATCGTGAAACCATTGACAAATATTATTTTTAAAGGTTATATAAATTGATGCTCATAATTTAAAACTGTATTTAATGGACATTTGGATATAACAGAGCCTCCTCTGTCAATGCTTTTTTAAACTGAAGGTTTATTACATGTATCTCATGATTTAGAGATGAAATAGCTCTAGCCCCAATTGGACAACCTGTATTTCCCAATGTTATTCCAGATTTTCTTTCAAGCCAAGCCCTCCCTCCACCAAAGGCTGAATATAGCTGAATAAATAACCAGAGCAGATTAAACCTAGAATATGTGTGAGAAGGGTCTCTTTCTGCTTTTCTGGACATGGGGGTCCAAGTTGACTCACAAAAGGTCAGATCAGCCAAGCTTCCCAGCAGGAATGCAGGAGGCCTTTCCTTGCAATCTCTGCTAATGTGTTTGATGATCCTCAGCCAGAGAACCCAAAGAACCGAAAGACTTGGGTTTGGCTAGTCTAAAGAAAAGAAAAAATAGGAGTGACATGATAACAGTATCTGAGGAGCTGCCACAAAGAAGAGGGCATCGAACTATTCTCCAAAGCACCAGAAGGCAAGACAAGAAACAATGGTTGGAAACTGATCAAAGAGAGAAGCAACCTGGAATTAAGGAGAAACTTCCTCACAGTAAGGACAATTAACCAGTGGAACAGCTTGCCTTCAGAACTCGTGGGCGCTCCATCACTGGAGGTTTTTAAGATGAGACTGGACCGTCACTTGTCTGAGATGGTATAGGTTCTCCTGCTTGAGCAGGGGGCTGGACTAGAAGACCTCCAAGGTCCCAGCTCTATTCTGTTCTAACATGAGATCTTATCCTGGTATTGTTCCAGCTCTCTGCAGCAGGGAGCAATGGATGGCTAGACTTGCCCACTATCATTTGCATGCAAATCCTCGAAATAACTCCTGCTGTGACCTCCCCAGCAGGCCTATTCCAGAATTCAAAGAAGTAGAAGTAGGCTAATGGATGGAATTAAAGTTATTTTAGAGTTTGCACCACAGGTTTCAAGTATTTCTCACCTCGCCATGGCAGAAAACCCTACTTCCTTTTTTTTCTGCCATTATGTTTGGACAAAAGGTCTAGGCAGGCTGCAACAGAAGAAAGTCAGGAGTTGTGTGTAGCCATGAAACCTAGATTGATCACCCCTGGTAATCATTTTCATCTATTCACTTAAATGTGTAGCTACCAGTATGCTTTACAAGAGGCTGGGAATTGCAGGGGTGTGTGTGTGTATGTGTGTGTGTGTGTGTGTGTGTGTCTTTTCTTGCTCCTGTTGACAACCTACAACTCACTGGGTTGAACTCCTTCTGCTCTTAGGTGTAAAGCCTCCTCAGCCTAAACAGATCCAGGAACCCTCCCCTACAAAGGGTGGCATCCTGACATGGAGGAACCTTCCCTGACATCAAGCGAAGGTGAGTTGCAAGCTTAGCCTTGGATCAACCCTTGAGGTAGATGGCAGGGCCATTGGTACATTCGGAAGGAAAGGAGTCTCTGCGAATTTTACTCTGCTAGTCACTGCCGCCTCTAGGGGGCGGTGCTCATCTCCATTTCAAGGCTGTGAGCCAGCGCTGACATTTTCACAGTCGTGGCCGGTATGAGGTCTGGGAACATTGTCACCTTCCTACCGAAATGGTACCTATTTATCTACCCGCATTTGCCTGCTTTCAGGCTGCTGGGTGGACAAGAGCTGGGGCAAATAACAAGAGCTTGCACCATCACCCAGTGCTCGGGTCTCAAACCTGGGCTGTTGAATTACTACACGACAAGTCCAGAGTCTTAACCACTGAGCCATTGTGCTGCCATAATCAAAACCAGGACAGTATTTCTAAATGTGAGCAGGTCAGCTGACTATCTCAAAGGTAGGTAGGCAGGCAGGCAGGCAAAAAAGTTCATAAAAGGGGGCAAAACTCAACAACTGCCTTGCTTAAAAATGGAAATTTTGCTTTAAATTGTCATCATATACTGTATACTGCTGGTGATGGTGACAAAGATGGTTTTAACATTTTTAAAGCGGCATAAAAGTTTCTAACGTACAGGTAGTCTTCAACCTACGACCACAACTCAGCCCAAAACTTAAGTTGCAAAGTGAGAAATGTGCTAAGTGAGTTTTGCCCCCATTTTATGACCTCTCTTCCCACATTTGTTAAGTGAATCGCTGCAGTTGTTAAATGAGTAACACGGTTGTTAAGTGAATCTGGCTTCTCCATTGACTTGGCTTGCCAAAGGTGATCGCATGACCCCGGGACATTGCAACTGTCATAAACGTGAGTCGTCGAGCATCTGAATGTAAATCACGTGACCATGGGGATGCTGCAATGGTTGTGTGAAAAATGGCCATACGTCACTTTTTTCAGTGCTGTTGTAACTTGAACAGCCACTAAGTGAACTGTGAAAAGTCAAGGAGTAGCTGTATTATAGACATTGGCTGGGGGGAGACAAAGCCTGCCAGAGGAACACTCACCAAGAGTCCCATCCAGCAGGCATCTCCCAACTGGGGTTTATTTTTGCTTTCCTACACAGAAACATCCCCCTCTGGCTTATTTGATTTGGATTCAATATATTGTCTGAACCACATTAATGTGAGATGCAAACTGCCAAACTGTTTGCTTGGTGTTGTGTGGTTGTAGTTATGGCTACTTCAATAGACTTTAGCTAAACAATTAACCAGTGGAACAACCTGCCTCCAAAAGTGGTGAATGCTCCAACACTGGAAATTTTTAAGAAGAGACTGGACAGCCATTTGTCCGAAATGGTGTAGGGTTTCCTGCCTGAGCAGGGGGTTGGACTTGATGATCTCCAAGGTCCCTTCCAACTTTATTACTATCACTAAATAAACCATCTATAGTGCAACTTTTCTTCCATCTCTTTCTCCCCTCCTCCCCAATCCCCTCACAGGCATATAAGAGAAATTATTAACGCAACTTCTATAATCTGTGCTCACACGACACATATTTATTCATGATTTATTCAAGCCAAAGCTCTAGCTTGCATTGAACCATTAAAACAACCGCAGGGAACATATGCTAGGCAAAAATATAATACAATAGTCCTAGACCTCACATTCCTATAATCATCACAAAAAATACATGGCTTAAAAGATTCAACAGCAGGCTCCCCACATAGACAAAAATGTGGTTGTGATTCAGTGTGCAGTACCCACACAACCTTAGAGAGACAAGATAAGCATAATTAGCAAGATCGCTAGGCATTTGAGAATCTGAAAAAGTCCCTTAAATTATCTTCACATTAATCTCATTGCCGAAGGGGCTTCTTGTTATTCTGAAGTATATATTGTAAAAGTAAGCAACCAGCCTTTTGATGTCCCTGACTTACAACCAGAATTGAGTCAAGCGTTTTTGTTGTTAAGCAAGGCGGTTGTTAAGCAATGCAGTTGTTAAGTGAATCATGCTGTCTTTAAGCAAATCCAGCTTTTCCCATTGGCTTTGCTTCTCGGAGGCCAGCTGGGAAGGTTATAAATGGTGATCACATGACCCAGGGACGGTGAATAACCGTTGTAAATACATTCCAGACACCGAGCAACCAAATTTTTCATTGAATGACAGTGGGAATGCTACGCTAGTTGTCACATTTTTCAGTGCTGTAATTCTGAAGGGTCACTAAATGAATGGTTACAAGGCGAGGACTACCTGTAATAATGTGGTGATTCCCACTTCCACCTTTTTGCAGGCGGCTACTATCCGGTGAAGAAAGGAGAGACATTCAATGGAAGATACCACGTGGTCCAAAATCTGGGCTATGGGTTCTTCTCAACAGTCTGGCTTTGCCAAGATGCTGGGTGAGTAAACAAAATGACCATTTTTAATTAATCTAATTAATTTTTGATAATTCACATGAATTGATAAGTATGCATTCTAAGTATTGCAGAAGGGTTATATAGCTTGACGGAATCGTATTTCTGGCCTGGAAAATAGTTTTAATTCTAGTGTGAGTGTAAGAGAAGATTGGTGTCCAAAAGTGGGAGTGCCAGTTCCTCTGTAAACCTTACAGAGAAAATACAGAGGTATACCACTATCCCCTATTTTACTGTTACTAGAGTATATGGGTTTCCTTAGAGCAGGGGTGTCAAACTACTGGCCCGTGGGCCAGATGCGTCATGCTGAAACTATGCCCACCCCATTGCCGGCAATGCAAAACGTCACATGACGTTGCGAGTTTGAAACCCCTGCCTTAGAGGGATTATATTAAATTTACCTTCCTCAATTTAGTAATCTTCATGCTGACTAGAGAATTCTGGGACCCTAATACTTCTGGGAGATAAGAGTTTGGAGAAGCAATAGCAATAGCTGTCAGGTCCCCAAATCCTTATTGTTTTCCCTGCATACGTGCTCTTGTTTGGGGCCTGCCATTCTGCCGGGAGGGGGCGGGAATTTGCTTTCGCTTGGGATAACTTTCGCTTTCTGCTTTTCCTCTCCCACCCCTATCCACTTGAGAAAAGATTGTGTCTCCTTTATTGGGGAGACAGTTATGGAGAAATGAAACTGGAGAAGACCTTGAGATGTGCGCCAACTGCACCAGTTACCCAAACACCGTACCAATAGGAATTAGACTTAAATACCACTTCACAGTGCTTTACAGCCCTCTCTATGCGGTTTACAAAGTCAGCATATTGCCCCCCCAAACAATCTGGGTCCTCATTTTACCAACCTTGGAAGGATGGAAGGCTGAGTCAGCCTTGAGCAGGTCAGGATTGAACTGCTGGCAGTCGGCAGTTTGCCTGCAATACTGCATGCTAACTACTGCGCCACCACAGTTCTGTGCCACCATGGCTCACTGAGAAGTACTCAGGCTGGCAGACAAATTGTTCATTTTTTTAAAATTAGTTTTTATTAAAGTTTAGAACTAAGGAAAAAGGAAAAAGTGCAAGGAAAAATATTTAAAAGAAAGAAAAAATAAACATAGTAAAGAAAAAAAAGAAGATAGATATAAAGAAACAAATTCTCCCTTCATCATGACAAGTAGAAACAATTTCAGTAACTTAGCACCTTCTCCAATACTATTGAAAATAGAATGAAAAGTCTCTTCTTCCTGTGTCTCAACTCGTGTCTGTAAACAAGCCTTGTAATTCGTCAGCAAAAAAATCCACTAAGAGTTACCAGAAACAACATATACATTTTAACCTCAATCAAATAAATCAACTTTATATTTTTTTCTTTTTCTTTTAATAATCTTCATCTCTAATCTCTTTAAATAGTCCCAGAACTTCTTTTCATATTCCTTTAGAACTTTAACATTTCTTATTTGTAAATCCAAAATAAAATTATCCAAGTCACTTTTTGTGATTTGTTATTTGCATATCCTTTTTAATTATCAAGTCATCAGCTAGTTTTATTTGTAAATCCAGTGTGACATCGTTTTCCATATCATTGTAACCTGTCATTTTAAAATTAGAATCAGCCTCAGTCTGTGTCTTAGCCAGTAAAACCAGTTCCTCTTCTATAATCCCTTTTGAATCCAGTTTTATGATAGCAGACAGTCTTAAGAATAATTTATGAGTGTGTTGTTCCCAAATATCCCTGAATTCTTCCAAAGTTAGTATACGTTGCTCCGTTCAGCATTAGTGGGCCTTTTCTCCTCATTTATAATCTTTGCTTCTTTCCGGTTTCCTCCAACATCCAACCTTCAAAATCCCATCTTATCATGTTTTTTTTAATCAATAGAATTTTCCCACAGAAAGGATTCTTGTAATTAATTTTAAAACTCTTATTTCAAGACCATCTAGCCCCTTAGTTAGTTTTAAACTTTCCAAAGTGAACATTCTAATCATCCTTTAGCTGCTTATTCCAAACTAAGATATTTTAAGTCCTTAAGCTTGCATAAAACTTATTTTGCCAAAGATTGAAGGAAACCCACTTGGTACGAGGAAACTTGCTTTTCTGAAGATTATTTATTTATTTAAATATATATATATTTATATGTATATCCTCACCTCTTAACAAGCTATTCCCAGAAATTATTAAGAAAGAAATAGGTAAATCCAGTGTTCTTTTGAAAGGCAAAAGTGGCACTAATTCAGCTCCCAGGGCTATAAACTCACCAGAGATTGCTGTCTCACAGTCTCTGAGGAGCTACTGCCTGGAGTGCTTGTGGGCAATCTCTAATATTCTCCTTGTCTGGGGAGGAATTCTGAGAAGCCGGTCTATTTGCTGGCTCCTCATTCGACCACGGTCATAAGCTCTGCTCTCAGCAGAGTCATCTTCAGTTCACCGTTTCTTTCCTAGAAGTCAGCAGAGAAATCATTTGTGAGAAGCACACGTCAAAGATGCTTTTATTATGCAATCGTTCTGTCTCATTCAGTAACCTATGGACAATCCAGGCCATGTTGTTTTCTGTCAGTAACTGTCAGGCCCAAGAACCAAGGAAGACACATAGAATTACTTCAGAGCAGTTTCCTTTATTGTTCTTCACCTCCAGACAAAAATCTTGCCTGAGTAAAGCAGCTGTTTGCATAACTATACATATATTCTGAGAATTGTTAGGGAGGAATCTTCTTAACTCTCTTTCTCCCGAAAGCTTTGCTGTCTTTTTGCCCTCTGGGATGCAGCCACTCCTTCCTACATTCCATCACAGTAATATATGTCTTCCTATTTCTTCTACTATCTTTTTTTTCCTTCATCTCAAAACAATCCATCAAGCCGGGAAGGATTGAATAATTGCACAGAGACATTTGGTTGAAGGTGCTCTGTGCTCTTCATCTGAAACAACCTTAACCCATCAATGGAAGCTGGGAACTAGAAGAAAGGCTGAAGAGCATGGCAATGCCTTTCTTAAACTGGCTGGAAGAGTGACTTAGATGTAGTAGTACCTTTTGGGCACCAGGGACCAGTTCCATGAGAGAAAGGTTTTTCCATGGACCAGAGAATGCGTGGTTTTGTGTGCTGCCTGCATCCCACAGATAGGGCTTTGCTTGTTTGTGTGGACCGGTTGCTGGCATGCCGTGGCCCGGTAGCGGTCCACGGACCGGAGGTTGGGGACCCCTGTAGTAGTATGTGGGAATGACCTTGGAAAACAGAAGGGGAAGGGATGCAGTCAGATAAGAGACAGTGTAGCCCACAGCTGCAAAATGAGTGAAGAAAGAAACTGAGAAGGATACCCCCTGCCCAGGTACTCAAACAAGAGATCTGTTCTTTCAGACGTGCAAGATTCTATTAATGTAGCCTTATAATAGCATAGAATTAACTCAACTGATTGTGTTTCCTGCCTGGTCTACCTGAGTACAGGGAATAAGTTCATATCAATCTACAAGAGAAAATAGAATTCTAGACTTTGCTTCCCTCGAATAGCTCAGTCCTTAAATTAGAGAGTCAGTGCTGGTCTGGCATTTTTCTCTGGATTCAGCCCTCAGGGAGGTTTAGGGAACCAGATATTGGTGCTTATGGGCGCTGAAATCTTGGGAGCAGAGGAAGTACAGATCTGAGAGATTTTCCCTTTTTGCAACAGAGACATCCTTAATAGCCACTTCCTCTCCATGGTGAGATGTCTATCTTGCTGTAAGAAAAGAGCAGGCTGAGCTGGAAGGGAGAGTTAAACATGTCATCAGTTTGGAATCATTATGTTGCCACAAGAGGCACAAGTCCAGCCGCCACCCCCATGAATTTTGTTGACCCTTATCTAGTGCCAATTTAGCTTTGACTGTTACTAGATTCTTGTGTATAGATAGAAATGATAAACTCTTCTGTGCTTTGAACTCAATGCTCCTGGTGATTTGCATCTGACACCTGCCTAGCACATTTTCCCCTCCCACACATCTATTTCCTACTCTCTGTTTGGCAAGGAGATATATGTCCTCTTGTACCTTACTAGCTACAGCATCTATCCCCTTCAATATTCAGTTCTTTCAAGGAAGCCATTGTTTTGTAGAACCACGGCCACCACCATCATACCCCATTTTATATTTAAAGGTTGCCCTTTGAAAGCATGCTTCATTAATGAACTTCCATAGCCAGATGGGGAAATGTAAGTCAAAGTCTGAAACAACGGCCAATGGAATTCAGAACAAGACAAAGCCAAGAAAAAAGATATTTTATTCTGTCCTCCTCTTAAGCAATGAGTTTTATTTCAGGAAAAAGAGGTGTGTGGCTGTGAAGGTACCCAAAGGAGGGGAGAATTTTGCTGAGGCAGCCCTGGATGAAGTCATGCTCCTTCGCTATGTGAGTATCAACAAATAACAGAATTACAGAGCTGGAAGGGACCTTGGAGGTCTTCTAGTCCAACCCCCTGCTCATGCAGGAGGCTCTATACCAGTGCTTCTTAACCTTTTTGAAAGAATCGCCCCCTTGAGCCAATGAGGAAGTTGTCATCGCCCCCCCTCCCCCAACATAACCTCTCAATCACAACATAGGAAATAATTCTTCAGTTTATGCAAATACTTTTTATGTTTTCTTTAAAATTGTCATCAGGACATATCGATGCAAAACAAAATTCCACTGAAAGCAAAATTCAATTGCAAGAAAGTGAAATGCCCAAAAAGAAAAACAGTAACATTTAATGATTGAATTATAAGCGAAATTTAAGACGCAAAAAGAAATATAAAAAGGGTAGAGGCTGCTGCACAACGTGCATGAAGATAAGAGATGCGTATTCACATATGTACGGCGTTCTGTCCTGAAGCTAGCTGGAGGAACATTTGAAAACACAATTCAATCCACTAATAGCGAGCAATCTGATGTTTTTGTACGACAGATATGCAGCGATTCACTGTATGAACTTCTTGCTCCATCGCCCCCATATCGCCCCCTTTTTGTTCCTTTGCCCCTCTGAAAAACAAAATCGCCCCCTGGGGGGCAATATCGCCCAGGTTAAGAACCACTGCCCTAGACCATTCCAGACAGATGGTTGTTCAATCTCTTCTTAAAAGCCTCCAATGATGCAGCACCCACAACTTCTGAAGACAAGCCATTCCACTGGTTAACTGTCCTCGCTGTTAGGAAATTTCTCCTTAGTTCCAGGTTGCTTCTCTCTTTGATTAGTTTCCACCCATTGCTTCTTGTCCTGCCTTCTGTTGCTTTGGAAAATAGGTTGACCCCCCTCTGCGTTGTGGCAGCGTCTCAAATATTGGAACACCGCTATCCTGTCATCCCTCGTCCTTCTTTTCACTAGAGCAGACATACCCAATTCCTGCAGCCATTCTTCAGGATGAATCAGGATGAATGCAATCTGAATTCCAATCTTGAGATTCTATAGAGCAGTGTTTCTCAACCTTGGTAGTTTGAAGAGGTGTGGACTCCAACTCCAAAGTGAAGTCCACACCTGCCAAGGTTGAGAAACACTGCTATAAAGGAATGCAGGCAACCTCTGACCCACAAGCAGTGGTGGGGTTCAGCCAGTTCGCACCACTTCGGCAGAACCGGTAGCTAATTTTTTGTTGCCCAGGACCAGAACAGACTTCTGGAAGTGGCATCCGCACAGAGAACCGGTTGTTTACATATTTGAATCCCACCACTGCCCACAAGTCTATTTTGGCCTATCAGAGTGACCTATCTGGCCTGCAGAATCTCTTCCTGATCCTTTGTATTTTCAACTACCCCACCATTTTGCCCACATTTCACTCACCTCTCTTGAGCAGGTGATGAGGTCAAGGCATCAGGAGGATCAGTGAACAGCAGAAAGTGGGAGGTGTCTATCCAGATGATCCTGCTAGCTAGTTCATCCCGCCTTGATTCACAAGGCTTTTTGAGACAGGCATTATTCTTCTCCAATAAAGGTACAGAACACCTGTTGCCGACCTGTTATTTCTAATCTACAGCAACTGCAGCCATTGTGTCTATGTGGTAGCTGAGCATGCAATGGGCAGGTCTACCTTTTCTGTGCTCCATAAAGGACAAACTGGATTTTTCCAGGGCCTGCTCGTGTATATAAATCTAGATTCCAATTATGCCTAAATTACAGACTGAGGGAAGTTCAAGAGACTCTAACAACGAGTAATTTGCATAAGTTCTGTACAATTATACAGCTGGCAGGAGTCATTCAGTCCAAACTTTTGTTCAGTGAAGGAATTTAAATTAAAACATCCCTAACAGATGGCTATCTAGCCTGTTGGAACACATCCAGAGAAGTACAATCCACCACCTCTTTGGTACTTAGTCTCCCTGCTAAGTTGCTCTTACATTTCCAGTTTTTTTTAAACCCTCAGCCAAATCTCTCTTCCTGGAAGTTAAGCCTGCAGTTCCCTGCTTTGCATTCTAGGATGACAAGGGAAAAGACTGTAGCTTTCTTGGTTGGGTAACCCTTCTTCTTCCTCTTTCGACAGGTGAATAGCAAGCGGAGGAAAGACCGAGGCAGTGATTGCATCATCCACCTTTTGGATGATTTCAAAATGGTTGGAGAAAATGGCTTCCATATCCTTTGGCTGTCTCGGGAGATTCTTAGTCATCCAGATCATGGTTGTCCCAAAGGTGCTTTTTCAAAAGGCAACCCGACTTGCAATCTGACTTCTGATTTCAGCACTGAAGGAGCTTCTTGGATGAGAAGCGAAACATCTTCAAGGAAAAACAAGTCCACTTGCCTTTTGGGAAGTCCTTTGGTTGATAGCCCAGGAAGCATGGGGCCACCAGGCCAGCCTTGCATTTTCTGAATGCATTCTCCCCCAACCGAGTGTCCTCCTGCGATGGACTACAACACTCCTTATCTGATGGGAACTGTAGTTCCATACATCTGGAGAGTTTCAGGTTGGGGGAAGTAACATTGACAAGGCTACTGGTGGCTTCTGGGCACAGGAGATAGTTTATTTATTTACTCACTCAGTTTCTATAGCCAGTCAATGATTCTGGGTGGCTTACAATTCCCAAAGAAATATATTACAATCAAAAATACTAAAAACATTTTAAAACATTAAAAACATCCAAATTAAATATACATAGGAGCAAGATACTTAGTTACCAATGTAGCCAGGAAACGGGGCCCTTAATACGTGCAGCCACCCCCCTCTCCAATCACGGAAACATTGCCAGGTTTTTAGGGCCCTATGAAAGGCTAACAGGGTTGGGGCCGTTCTAATCTCTGAAGGGAAGCTGTTCCATAGAGCAGGAGCCACTGCGGAAAAAGCCCATCTTCTGGGACCAAGGCCTGGACAATCAGTAAAACAAAAGACAACAAGATACACCTGGCCGATCGGTAAAATGGAGGGCAAGAAGAAAAATATCACTTGATTTTTTTATTTATTCAGTGACAGTGCTTTTACGTGGTTTGCACAGATTCATTAGGGCAGGGGTAGGCAACTTTGGCTCTTGTATGACTCGTGGACTTCAACTCCCAGAATTCCTGAGCCAGCGTGGCTCAGCATGGAAACCTCTCCCTTTCCCCTCAGCTTGGCTGGCTCAGGAATTCTGGGAGTTGAAGTCCACGAGTCATAAAAGGGCCAAGGTTGCCTACCCCTGCATTAGGGAGAGGAGATCTCCTCTCAGGCTCCATTTGCAAGAGATAAGGCCCACAAGGAAAGGGAGTGGAGGTGAGGATGCAGAAAGTGGTCGGAAAGGTTTCCTCTTTCTTGGAACGAGTCCCCAGAGAACTGGGCTGAAAAAGGTTCTGGGCTAAGCGCTGCTGATCAGGTGACAGCTTGGAAAAAGCCCAAGAAGACTGAACCCGTCAGAGAGGTGATGAAATAGCACTGCGGCTGTTCTCCTACATCTATGTGGCAGCTTGACAGAAGAGCGATTTCTCTGCCAGGGCAGACAGTTTGAGGGAAGAGCCGCATCAAACGTTGTTTGTCCCTGACAGGGTGCTTGACTAAACATGGTTTCTCTGTTCCCTCCTGTCAGTGAATTTGTGGCTTTGGCTGGAAAACTGCAGACAGGCAGGGGAGATCTTATAACTTTCGTTTCAATAATTTACCTGGCTGTTTAGCAACATTTCAACCTGCTGCAATCCCAAAGGAGTCTTGGAGGGTGGCATAGGATAGTAGAAGAAATCAAAATTACATACCGAAGAGTCAAAACATTATAATGGTCAATGTAATCAGGGATTCCTGCAATGGGCATCCACCCATTCATGGGAACAGATTTTAACACAATAACAGAGTTAGAAGAAACCTTGGAGATCCAATCCCTGCTCAGGCAGGAAACCCTATACCTGGGGTAGGCAACCTTGGCTCTTTTATGACTCGTGGACTTCAACTCCCAGAATTCCTGAGCCAGCCATGCTGAGGGGAAAGGGAGAGGTTTCCAAGCTGAGCCATGCTGGCTCAGGAATTCTGGGAGTTGAAGTCCATGAGTCATAAAAGAGCCAAGGTTGCCTATCCCTGCCCTATACCATTTCAGACAAATGGCTGTCCAGTCTCTTCTTAAAAACTTCCAGTGTTGGAGCATTCACAGCTTCTGGAGGCAGGTTGTTCCACTGGTTAATTGTTCTCACTGTCAAGAAATTTCTCCTTAGTTCTAGGTTGCTTCTTTCCTTGGTTAGTTTCCACCTATTGCTTCTTTTTCCTGCCTTCAGGTGCTTTGGAGAATAGCTTGACTCCCTCTTCTTTGTGGCAGCCCCTGAGATATTGGAACACTGCTATCATGTCACCCCTTGTCCTTCTTTTCATCAAACTAGACATACCCAATTCCAGCAACCGTTCCTTATATGTTTTAGCTTCCAGTCCCCTAATCATCTTTGTTGCTCTTCTCTGTACTCTGTCTAGAGTCTCAACATCTTTTTTCATATTGTGGTAGCGACCAAAACTGGATGCAATTTTGCAGAACAAAAACCTTGCCTCGAAACCTCCATAGCCTTGGGTTTACCCTTGACTGTCTCAGTTGGCATTTTATGGGATACCATGCTAAAAGGTTCCCCTCCCATCTCCATGCCCCACCTCCTCCTTTTAGAGCAACTTCAGGATTAGAGGAACGTTCTCATTTAGTGGATCCCTGACTTGGCCCCACATGTGTGCTTAGTGATGGAGCTGCTGGGACCTTCACTGCAGACTTTGCTGAGCATCCGAGGCTACCAAGGCCTCCCTCTGCCCTTTGTCAAGAAGGCCATGCGCCAGGTGAGTAGAATTTCACGTGAGAGCTGAAGAATGGAAAGAAGCAGCTTTTGGGGAGGGCGCATCACAATCTGCAGGGTGGCAGGTGTGGCATTGTGATCCCTCATCACCACCCTCCTTTGCAGGCCTGTACACAATGGGTAGGGCTTCAGTCACAATACTACACCTTGCATCTTGCAGATTTTGACACATACACATATACAGCACACAGTCATTCCCTAGCCTTATGGATTCTGGGTTGGTGCTACACCCTGAACCAAGAGTCAGTGCCTTAAATTTTTGGGAATCGTACTGCCCAGAAGAACTAGCTGGTTGCCTATTCTCTTCCTCCCCCCCCCTCCATGGAATGGAAGCAACTTCTAGCACAGGGGTCCCCAACCCCTGATCTGTGGACTGCTACTGGTCCATGGCCTGTTGGAAAGCGGGGCATGCAAGTGGCAGGCGAGTGCACAAAGCTCCATTTGCGCATGTGAGGGATTAGGTTGTGCATGTGAAACTATCCCCTCCCACCACCCACCACCCTCTCCCTGGCTGCCATCTCCACTGCTGGTCCACAGAACCGGAAACATTGGGGACCGCTGTTCAAGCAGATTCATAACTGAGGACAAGGTATCTCTGCTCAACATTGGTTATCTGCACAGGGATGAGCGTTTGTTTTGTTTACAGGCTGTGCTGATCTTGAATGTGTTTAAATCATAATTGGCATAATTCACTCAACAGGCTAAGCCGGAAGCAACGGCTAACAAACCACAATGGCCATGCCAAAACCAATCAGCCACATTATGGCTCTGGTGCCTAAAGCTAGTCACCGTGGGGAAAAAGCGGAGTCTCTGGATGGCCATTTTAAACCTGCTTTCCCTTGATCCGAATCAGAGGCCTGAGAAGAAACAATTTAAACACAAACGAGTTTTCAGAAATAAACAGAGGCAAACCTTTTCTAGTTAACAGTGGGGCGGGCCAGTCTAGAGAGTGCATAGAAGCAAAGCAGAGTTAGAACTGGTTAGTCTTGCGGTGGTTAAAAGCTATGCTTAACAGTGAAAGAAGGGCAAACTGCTGTTATCCTGTGGTCAAGAAAATTATATGCCCTACCAAAGATCACTGCCAGGGATCAAGTCTGACTTGTGAGTCGTTATCAGTGCATAGAATTTGGGCCACTGACCGCCTTTCACATCTGGCTACTGCAGATACTCCAAGGTTTACATTTCCTGCACAAGGAATGTCGCATCATCCACACAGACATCAAACCAGACAACATCCTGCTGTATGTTACCGAAGAAAACCTGCACAACATGGTTTCTTTGCACCACAGCCTGGGAGGAAACCACAAACCCAGGACAGGAGGTACGTTTGGGCTTGGGAAACAAGGCGTGGGGAAGGTAGCAATTTCTAAGCACCACGTGCTCTCTCGGGAGTCTCAGGAGCTCCCTGTAGGGAGCACGTCCAAAGCCAGCAAGCCTTTAGGCCAGTGGTTCTCAATCTTTTTAATGCCGCGACCCCCAACCGGTCGTAAGTCGAGGACTACTCAACCGGTCGTAAGTCGAGGACAACTCAACTGGTGCAGCACCGTTTGCAGAATGGGACTTTTGGCGGGCTCAGCAGGGCAGAGACAGCCTGGACAATTCATATTGGCTTTTGAAAGCCAATAGAATTAGACTCTATTCAAGAGAGTCTATTCTATTGGCTTTCAAAAGCCAATAGAATAAAAGTGAGTAGCACAGCTAAGGAAAAGGGGAAAAAATGGCGGACTGCGTTGTTTGGCGACCCCCGTGAAATGGTCGTTCGACCCCAAATGGGGTCCCGACCCACAGGTTGAGAACCACTGCATTAGGCACAGCGAAGCATTTCCACTGTGTAGAAGATGATGGGAGAGGCAGACAGGACAAGCTTCATCACAGCTCTTATCAACATCTAATGGTGGGCTGGAGATCAGAGACCAGACATCATTCTGCTCTTGGACAATCCTCCCTGTGGCCGCCTGCATTTGGAGTCCAGCTCCCATCTTCCCTGACGATTAGCCATGCTACCTAGCCTGAGTCTGAAAGGACCTGGAATCCATATTCAGGAGGAGGGCTCTGGATCCCCAGCCTTCTTTTAGACAGGAAGAACCAGTATCCAGAGGCAGAGAGACGTGCAGCATTTTTAAATCATGCTCTGTTCCATGAATGATTTCACTGGATGGCCTCCAAGGCAGGAGAGCTACCACACTTTGGCTGCAAGAGATCTGGACAACTTCTTTGCTGTGATCTAGTGGCTGTTCAGATTTTGCAGCCTATAATATAGGGTAGCTTTTGTTTTGAATATCACTCATTCCGTTTATCACAGTGGTTCTCAACCTTTTTAATGCCGCGACCCCCAACCGGTCGTAAGTCGAGGACAACTCAACTGGTGCAGCACCGTTTGCAGAATGGGACTTTTGGCGGGCTCAGCAGGGCAGAGACAGCCTGGACAATTCCTATTGGCTTTTGAAAGCCAATAGAATTAGACTCTATTCAAGAGAGTCTATTCTATTGGCTTTCAAAAGCCAATAGAATAAAAGGGAGTAGCACAGCTAAGGAAAAGGGGGGAAAAATGGCGGACTGCGTTGTTTGGCGACCCCCGTGAAATGGTCGTTCGACCCCAGATGGGGTCCCGACCCACAGGTTGAGAACCACTGGTTTATCAGGTACCCTACGGCTCTCACATGGCTACCAGAAACCAACTACATTGTGGACTGGTTTTCATTTTACAAACTGTGGTTACTCTCCCAGTCAAAAAACCAAAACAACAACAACACAAAACCCAATCACGGCTCACTGGTTGAACGCATCTTTGGCCACAAAGAGGCCCCCGCTTTGATTTCTGGAATCTCCCAAGTTTTTAAGTGACAAGGATTCATTATGTATTGCATTTGTTGCATCTATACAGTATTGTATATTTCTCTCCGGCTGAACTCAAGTTGGAATAATAGCTTGCCATCTGAAAGACATGGTTCAAAAAGGGGAGGGACCGAGGAAAACCAATCAAGTATGAAATCTTTTTTCTACTTGGTGAAGATAAAGGCAGAAAAGCTGGTTTGGGATGGGGAGAGTTTAATGGCAGCTGGTCCCACCTGAACTGCAATGGGACAGGGTGCTTAAAAAAAAAGAGGTGGTGATTAGGTGATTGTAGGCATCACCTTGACATCTTGGCCCTTCCTCTGCAGATCCCCCAATTACAGCTGCAACTGGGATCGATGCTACTATATGACAGATTTGAACTGGGGTTGGAGGTGCAGCTGGACCTCCAAGAAAGATCTTCAGCTGATTTCTTTGTGTGGCTTTTCTCTAGATGGCCCAGCACCTCTTCTGGACTGCTGCAACCTAATGAAAATGGGAGTGAAAATTGCAGACCTGGGAAGTGCATGCTGGAGCGTGAGTTTATATACCAACCTCTCTCTTCTTGTGCTAATTTCTTTTCCCCACATCTGAAAACAGAACTTTTTGAATGGGTTCACACTTTGTGCTATTGGCCTGGTGCCAAAACTGGCCGGACCCACAGAACCCTGTAAGCCATGGGTCCCCAACCCCCGGTCCATGGACCAGTATCAGGCCGTGGCATGCCAGCAACCGGGCCGCACAAACAAGCAAAGCCCCATCTTCAGGATGCAGGCAACACACAAAACCACACCCTTTCCGGTCTGCGGAAAAACCTCTCACCATGTAACTGGTCCCTGGTGCCCAAAAGTTTGGAGACCTCTGCTGTAAGCCATAAAATGTAGCTTAGTGACTTAGATGCCTGAGATGACTTGGTAACTAGAACCTGTCAATCCTGGCTACAGACCAACTAAAAAAAATAAGAGATAATGGTTCTCTAGCACAAACTTGGCAACTTTAAGACTTGTGGACTTCAACTCCCAGAATTCCTCAACCAGACATGCTGGGAGTTGAAGTCCACAAGACTTAAAGTTGCCAGGTTTGGAGACCCCAGCTCTAGGATCAGAAATGGGAAAAGTGCCCTTGCATCCCTAACTTCTTCCAAAAGTCCACTTAAGTTCAGCTTTCTACAGAGAACACCTAGGTACTCCTGGAAACTCAGCAAAACCATTTGCTGCCAATGCCCCATAGCAATTGATTTTTTGGTTCGGCAAGCTTCCTTTCAACATGGAAGGTCCATAAAATCACATAAAATCATATAATCAGGGGTCTTCAAACCTGACAACTTTAAGACTTGTGGACTTCAACTCCAAAATTCTTCAGCCAGCCATGCTGGGAGTTGAAGTCCACAAGTCTTAAAGTGGCCAAGCTTGATCTCCATGAATTTGTATAATTTCATTTCTCAAGATATAAAAGCCAGTTATTGCACTTTGGGGCATGTAAGTTTTAAAAATGATGTATGTACGCGTACTCCTCAACTTACATCATCCATTTGTTTAGTGACCGTTTGCAATTACCACACCACTGAAAAAAGTCACGATCAGTCCTCACCCTGATGACATTTGCAGCATTTCCACAGTCATTTGATCTAAATCCAGACATTTGGCAACTGGCATGTCTTTCCAACTGTTGCCGCATCCCAGGTCACGTGATCACTATTTGAGACTTTCCCTTCCCGCTTTCTAACAAGCAAAGTCGATGGGAGAAGCCGGATTCACTTAACAATCATAGCAAAAAAGATAAAATTGAGTGGGACTCACTTAACAACAACCTTGCTTGGCAATGGAAATTCTGGTCCTAAATGTCAAAAGCCAAGGACTTTTTTTTTTTTTGTTCTGAATCCAGCAGTAATCAATGCCACTACAGCAGTGGTGGGATTCAGTCAGTTCGCACCATTTCAGCAGAACTGGTAGTTAATTTTTTGTTGCCCAGAATGGACTTCTAGAAGCGGCATCCACACAGAGAACCGGTCGTTCATATCTTTGAATCCCACCACTGAATTACTTACAACAGCTCATTTAGTGACTGTTTAAAGTTACCACGGCACTGAAAAATGTGGACTTAGGACCGTTTTTCCCAGTTAACGCCTGTTGCAGCGTCCCCCACGGTCACATGATCAAAATTCACACGCATACCGACTGACTTATATTTATGACAATTGCAGTGTCCTGGGGTCACGTGATCCCTTTTGCGACCATCTTATACGCAAAGTCAATGGGAAAGCTGGATTCACTTAACAACCGTGTTACTAACTTAACAAATACAGTGATTCACTTAACATCGGTGGCAAGACAGGTCATAAAATGGAGCCAAATTCATTTAACAGCTGTCTCGCTTAGCAACAGAAATTTTGGACTCAATTGTGGTCATACGTCAAGGACCACCTGTGGTTACCCATGAGTTTCAGTGTTGCTTAGAAGTGCTTAGAAGTGAGAGCTAGGGTTTTTTTCCAGATCTGGTTCTAACCGCTAGATAGCAATAGCAAAAGCACTTACATTTATATACCGCTTCACAGTGCTTTGCAGCCCTCTCTAAGCGGTTTACAGAGTCAGCCTATTGCATCCCCTAACAATCCGGGTCCTCATTTTACCCACCTCGGAAGGACGGAAAGCTGAACCGGTCAGGATTGAACCTCTGACAGTGGGCAGAGTTAGCTTGCAATATGGCATTCTAACCCCTGCGCCACCATAGTTAGAATCCTGCCGCTGTCTTTATAAACTTCTATCCCACCCTTAGAATACATGCTTACTCAGAAATAAATCTATTAACTATGTTAATGGAACTTCTGCTGAGGATTGCAGCCTTAGTCACCCTTTCTTGTAACTAAAGTCTTAAATCTAAACACTTCTGCCTTTCTTCAAACAGATGGCTCTCTAGCTTAACTGTACAATAAATGTGGTGTTCTTTGAGGATCTTACAGGGCACATGATCCTGTCTAAGCACACCCAGTCCTTGGGATGGTTGGCTTACTAGAGCATCACTCGGATCTAAAGGGATGTGTGATGATCCACCCTCAATATCTCCATTGTTTGTTTCTTCTATTCCAGTACAAACCATTCTCCCAAAAGATCCAGACCCAGCCCTACAGAGCTCTGGAGGTTCTCCTTGGATTAGATTACAGCACCCCAGCTGATATCTGGAGCACCGCCTGCTTGGTAGGAAAAGACTCCTGGCTAATCTTTGTAGCAGGAACGCCATGGTGATGCTGGCCTGTGGAATTTCAGGCATCTGTTTAGAGCTGAACCTGGGAGATAAGCTGATTACCAGAGATAAGACAATGGTGGCCAGTCCCTGGAATGTCTTCTTTTATTTAGTCTTATTTTCAGTGTTCAGCCAGTCCCCGATTTACAAACGGTTGCTTGATACCCTATCTGAAAAAGGGGACTTACGACTCAGATCTGAAGTTCCGTAATGGGCAGGTTCCATTATGGTCATAAGTAGAAGGTTACCTGTCATTGTCAGGTATCTCTTTGTGCCTCAGGACTGACACGTTCTAGGACAGGGGTAGGCAACCTTGGCTCTTTTATGACTTGTGGACTTCAACTCCCAGAATTGCTGAGCCAACCATTCAAGTCCTGCATTAGCCAGGAAAGCCAGCTGGCCCAAGGTCACCCAGCTGGCTTTCATGGCTTGAATTCACAATCTCTGGGAGTTTTTAGCTTGGTGCCTTAACCGCTGGACCAAACTTTGCTTTTTGGAAATTGCTGGGTGACTTGGGCCAGTCACTATAGCTCAACCCAACTCACCTCACAGAGTTGTTGTTGTTGCTGTGGGAAAAACTTCAAGGGGAAGATGTGTTGTGTGCGTTTGTCACCTTGAATTATTTGTAAAAATAGTAAAGGCAGGATACAAACAAATAAATTAAAAGTCAACTGGGGAAGCCAGATTCCCTTAATGACTGTGTGATTCACTTAACCGTATGATTTACTTAGCAGCCATGGTAAAAAATGGTCATATAATCAAGTCCAGTCCCATGATGACTGCACTGACTTACATCCAGAATTCCGGTCCCAATTGTTGTAAGTCGAGGATTACCTCATAACAAAATGAAGGATTGAAAGAACAGATCTCTAACCCCGGTTAGCTTCTTCTCAGACCTGTGACAGTGACGTATTGGGATTCCTCTGGTGTGTGATATCGATATATTGCTTAGGCAGGTAATCTAATCTATAAAAAGGGTAAGACAGCCTTGGCCACCTCAACCTTTTGATATGCAGGCAGGAGGGTCCGGTTAGAGTTTGAAAAGGAATTAGGGCAGCAACAAAAAGCCTTTTTTGCTTCCTCTTGTCCTTGATGTTCACAGTAATTTCTGGGAAATGCAACTTTCATTGTTACCAGTAAACCTTTGCATTTACAAGAACAAGAGAAAATGTGTTGCTGGGCGTTGTTTGTATCATTTGAATCGGCTTACAGCCAATTGACTCAAGGTTCCTTCATCTTGTAGGCTTTTGAACTGGCAACTGGAAAGCACCTTTTTGAACCTCATGGCAGCCAGTGTTTTTCCAGAGACGATGGTAGGTCCACACGTGCAGCCTCTTTTGCGAGCTCATCTCTTCCACCTAAACCGGGGGTAGGCAACCTTGGCTCTTTTACGAATCGTGGACTTCAACTCCCAGAATTCCTGAGCCACCCATGCTGAGGGGAAAGGGAGAGGTTTCCAAACTGAGCCATGCTGGCTCAGGAATTCTGGGAGTTGAAGTCCACAAGTCCTAAAAGAGCCAAAGTTGCCTACCCCTGGCCTAAACCTATACCTGGGCTCTGCTTTTTTTATGCCTTTCAGATCACGTGGCTCGGATCATTGAACTTCTGGGCAAAATCCCACCCAAAATGGCTTTGCTTTGGCAGCAGACATCAACTTTCTTCAGCAGGCAAGGTGAGGATGCCAGGAAGGAGACGGGAAGCAGGGACATTCCCCCCCCACACACACCATCCTGGCCTTTATGAGTTGTCCTTCTCTAAATCCATCCAAGTCCAATATTTTATTTGGCACGGTTGCTAGCGGTATAAACTCCTGAAGCTTGGACGACGCTTCAGTAACGGCCTCCTAACTGCTTCTTCTTCATCTCCTTCGGCAGGGGCTCTTCTCCGGATGTCCTGGATCTCTTTCTACGACCTCCCTCACATCCTCACGGATAAATACAGCTGGCCAAAGCCTCAGGCCTCCCATTTTACCAGTTTCCTCCTGCCCATGCTGGAGTATGCCCCAGAGAGACGGGCACGGGCTGACAAATGCCTCCAGCACCCCTGGCTCAGCCACTAGGGCTGCATCTTCAGACCTCCTCTGCCACTCCAGCTGAGATACAGGTAGTCCTCAACTTACGACCATTCGTTTAGTGACTGAAGTCCCAACAGCACCGGAAAAAGTGACTTATGACCATTTTTCACACTCGCTGCAGCATCCCCGCAGTCACCTGATCAAAAGGTGGACACTTGGCAACCGGCTGCTATTTGTGACGGTTGCGGTGTATCCTGGGATCACGGAATCCTCTTTTGTGATCTTTTGATAAGCAAATTCGATGGGGAAGCCCGATTCACTGCAGTGATCCACTTAACAACTGTGGCAAGAAAGGCTGTAAAATGGGGCAAGAGTCCCCATTAACAACTACTTTGCTTAGCAAAGGAAATTTGGGGCTCAATCAAGGACTACCTGTATTGGAAAAGTAGGCAAATCTCCCCTTCATAACAATTTCTTTAGGACCAAACTAGCTATGATGTTAGCTGTGTGAATTCAGTTTCCCGTTTAGTATAAGGTACACTGCAGCTTTCCAGTACAGAGAGCAAAGCAGTGGTGGGATTCAGCCAGTTCGTACCGGTTCGGTAGAACCGGTAGCTATTTTTTTGTTGCCCAAGTCCAGAATGGACTTCTGGAAGCGGCATCCACACAGAGAACCGGCTGTTCACATATTTGAATCCCACCACTGGAGCAAAGCAATATATATATTTTTTCTGTAGGCCATAGTCTTCCAAGCGCTTTCTTTGAAACGAAGACAGCAAGTCTGGAAAAGAAAGGTTGGGTGATTTCAGATAGAGGAATTTTAACCATATCAGTCACGATCAAGCCATCCTAGCATCTCTTCTGCAACATTTTTTTCCTTGGGAAGAAAAATGACAAAAGTCGCAGGAGCAACAAGGGAGGGTTACAAATAGGAGATCTTCTGTAAAAAATCTATGGCTGAGCCAATCGCAAAGTTAAAAAAAAAAAAGAGGAACAGAAATAATTAAATTGCTCTTTCTCACTTTCCACGGTTCTTGGACTGCCCGAACTTGCTCAATCTTGTAACATACATAACAAACACAGGCATCATCAACCACATTTACCATCTTAAATATCATTGCTTGTTTGGTTTTTTTATATATATACATTGGGATGGAGGCCAACCACATTATGGCTAAGTAATCCCAGACAATCTCTGCTAGGGAGAGGAGCTTTCCTTTGTGGGTTAGTTCAGCTTGGTGTTCAGCGTTCAGCTGTTCTATCACAATGAACAGGGCTCAACCTATTCTGCAAAGCACCTGAGGGCAAGACAAGGAGTACTGGATGGAAAATTTTCAAGAGAAATCCAACCTAGAAATTTCCTGAAAGAACAATTAATCAGTGGAACGACCTGCCTCCAGAAGCGGTGAATGCTCCAACCCTGCAAGTTTTTAAGAAGAGACTGGACAACCATTTGCCTGAAATGCTATAGGGTTTCCTGCTTGAGCAGGGGGTTGGACTAGAAGACCTCCAAGATCCCTTCCATCTCTATATTCTGATGGCTGGGAAGTTTTTTTTAATGGCATCACAGCTTTGTGCACACAAACTTTCTGCATCAAACACCTCCATGCCATGACCCTTAAGAAAGAGATGTTTGCCTAGAGTGCAGTGAAGATGCTTCTAATGCAGCCACTTATAAGTTATAAAAGTAGTCCTCAACATATGACTGGGTCTCCCCTGTGGTCTCATGACCACATTTTGGGCATCCGGCCCACATTTACAACCATTTGCAGCTGTCCTGCAGTCACATGATTGCAATTTACAACAATTAAACCGGTGTTTACTTTCAGTGTCTGCCAGAAAAAATGCCCCCTAGCGAGCAACGGTTTTGCTTAACCATTACTAAACCCGCTTAATGTCCTTGATTTTAGGAAAAAATATTGTAAAATCAAGTGGTGACCCAGTTAACAATCGTCATATCTGCTTATTTGTGTCAGAAGCATCACAATTAAAATGAGGCATGCCATATGACATAAAACTTAAAAAGTATAAAATACAAGGTTACAATATGTACAAATTAAAGAGAACTGGCCCAGAAATTAGCAACATTAGTTGCTTTTTGTCATGCTGCCATGAAATCTTCCAGTGTACACTGATCGGGACACAAAGGGCCAGTATACCTAAGTGTTGTTGTCTGCATGTCACCACAATAGCAAAGAACAGAATCCATTGGATAGCCCCAAGTGTCTCTGGATCTTGTTGCACCCGTCATGACGGTCACTGAGACCTCAATTGTATAAGTCACAAGTCAAAGACGACCTTCACCTGTCCTCACCCACAACCTATCCTCTGTTGTAGGAACAGAACCCATGGTGTTAAAAGTAAGAAGAAGTCTTGTAGCATTCTTCCCAATCAACCAATCTTATTAAAAGGTCTGAGCTTTTCTGAGCTTCATCTTTCTTCATCTGATGCATAGAGTGGCTAGACTGCTGTAGGCTTTCAACTGGGATAGCCCTGTGGTAACGTGGTGGTTAGAATGCAGTATCTAACTCTGCCCACTGCCAGCAGTTTGATCTTGACCGGCTCAAGGCTGACTCAGTCTTCCATCCTTCTGAGGTGGGTAAAATGAGGACCCAGGTTATCGGGGGCAATATGCTGACTCTGTAAATCTCTTAGAGATAGCTGTAAAGCATTGTGAAGCGGTATATAAGTCTAAGTGCTATTGCGGTGGTGAGATGACATGGGAAAAGGAAGACAGATTGGATGTGCAATTGCAGATTTCCTGAGAGACAGATTAAGCATAGCTTAACAATTCACCTTTGTAATTGTTGAAAACCCCTTGGGTTTGTTGGTAAGCATTTTACTGTTCCTGCTAATTTTGCATGATGTTTCCCAGAAATTCTGGTATCTCCATCTGTACCCTTCCCTGATTTAACACACTGGTTTCAATTATATGAAAATAAATAGCACAGCATTATTAAAGACCAATCACTCATAATGTGAATCCAACATAATGACTAATGGAAAGGGCAACAAAACAGATACTAACCTTGCCACGATCTCCATTATGTTTCTCTGAAGCAATGTTCCATTTCTGCCATTTTTCCTCTGCTACATTCAGAGCAGTTTTTCCCCTTTCTTTAAAGTTTTCCCCCCCACATTTTTGTGACTGTCTGAATGCTTATCTCACTGGAACTTCTCTTTCTTTTCATAGAAGTCCCTTGGACATGACAATCAGTCAGAGATCTCTTAAAATCCACTACTGGTATTCCCAAGTCTGATTGTGATATAGCTCAAAATATGACTTGCTTGTCCGTTGTAAGAAAGAAAGACTGCACAATATATACTAATGACCCACTGGCCCACAGAAGTGAGAAACAGGTTGGTGATCTTTGTATTGTATCAACCAAGGGAAGAAAAACATGTGGGCAACAAAAGATGACAACGCTTGAAGCAAATGAACCGCGATTAAGCATAACAAAGGAATATTTGCTAAAGTTCTTGAACTAAAGAATTACACGGAGAAAAAAATCGCTCTGTAATTAAGAATCCATGTTCTTGATCTTAGTTTTGCTGCTTCTTCCCTCCATCCAAGACTTTCCCATAGCTTTGGCATCTTTCCCTTCCAATTTACCCCCAACAGCATGCATGTGCATACGGGATGACATGCATACATTTTTTTTTTCCTGTCCCAGCATGACCTACTTTCCAATCCCCCTTAAGGGATTCATGTTGCAGGACCTTCCAGTTCTGTCTGGCCCCAGGCTGTTTTCATCCAGCAACTGGCTGCAAGGTCAGAAGAAGTGCAGATTGGCGTTCCATGTCAGAAATGAGAAATGACAGGAGTCATCAGACAACTCATCTCTTTTATCCATTTGAGCAGTCATGTGTGTGTGTGGGGGGGGGGGGAATCTACTTGATGCTGAAGTAAAATGCATAAGTGATCATTACTTTCAGAACGAACTGCAGTATTAATGCCGGGCTCTAAGGTTGAGCTAAAGGACTGGGTTTGCGCTTTGCAATACATCATAGCTTAACCATGGTCTACTGCAGTGTTTCCCAAACTTGACAATTTTAAGGCATGTGGACTTCAACTCCCAGAATTCCACAGCCAGCGTTGCTGGCTGTGGAATTCTGGGAGTTGAAGTCCACATGCCTTAAAATTGTCAAGTTTGGGAAACACTGGTCTACTGGATAACTGCAAATTGTGAACATGTTCATTTGAGGCAAAACACCCTGGCTTACAATATTTCTATTTGACATTAAACCCAAAGCAAGCAAATATCACATGACTTAGCATGATGCCAAACCCTGAATCAGGATTAAAAATCCACTGGTTGGTGTTCATAACAACATGTTATACCCAAACAATAAAATTATAATAGGACAAGATTCATTCGGGAGAAGAGTTGGAGAAACTTCCTGACAGTTAGAACAATTAATCAGTGGAATGACCTGCTTCCAGAAGCTGTGGATGCTCCAACACTGGAGGTTTTTAAGAAGAAACTGGACAGCCATTTGTCTGAAATGGAATAGGGTCTCCTGCCTGAGCAGAGGGTTGGACTAGATGACCTCCAAGGTCCCTTCCAACTCTGTTATTCTGTTTTCTTTGATATGAGGACAGACTGAATTATTTGGAGTTTCTTAATATAGAAGAAAATATGATAAAGGCTGCAGTCGCACAAGGGTTCCCACCAGTGGTGGGATTCAAATACGTGAACAACCGGTTCTCTGTGTGGATGCCGCTTCCGGAAATCCATTCTGGGCCCAGGCAACAAAAAATTAGCTACCGGTTCTGCCGAAGTGGTGCGAGACGGCTTAATCCCAGCACTGGTTCCCACCACAGACTAAACCTGGGTTACAAAAATACAAAAATATGTTCTCCACCACATTATGACTTATCCTAACCATCTAATGCACACAAAGGGTTAAGTCAACAACTAGATTCCGATAAGAGGCTGAACTTCAAATTACCCAACCCCATTTTATCTTGTGTTATCCACCCATGTGCCTCTCCTGGAATTACTACAGAATAATCTTGGCCTGTTTGTGCCTTTAAGTGAGGCTGTGTACCGAAGGACATAGTTTCAACAATGAGCCCATTGTAAATCTACTTTCAGGCCCCCCCCTGTTTTTGCCTGGCTTCACCCCAGGGCACTAAGGGCAGGTGCAACCAGTTTTTCCTATTTTCAGCAGAAGCCAGGTGTGCAAGTTAATTGTCTGGCCATGTGATAACCACACTCCCGTCTGGGCAATGTTTCCCATTCAAAGGCAGATGAACAAAACAAAAGGAAACAACACAAAACAAAAACACCCAGAGTGTTAATAATGAACCAGACCATGTTAAGTTACTGCTTTTTTTTTTTTAGACTTGCTTGAACTTAACATCAAGAATTATTAGGATTGATCTAGAGCAGTGGTGGTGAACCTATGGCACATGTGCCAGAGGTGGCACTTGGAGCCCTCTCTGTGGGCACACGTGCTGTTGCCCCAGCCTCGCCTCCCCCAATGAACCCCTCCTCACCAGCAGCCCCCCTGGAGGAGAGTCGCCCCCGAGTGTGGCCCACGTGGAGCAGCGCAGCCAAGGACATGGCAGCCAGGCAGTGTAGACAAGACTCTGCCCTCACGCCCCATCGCGCACCGTTGATGCTGCGGGGTGCGGGCAGAGGGCGTAGCCGCTATGGCGCTGCTGGGCTGCCTGAGCGATCTGCGGCGGGCCCTGGAGGTGGTGGTGAGTGGCCCTGTGGGCAATCAGGGTGGGGGATGTGGTGGGAACGGAACAGGGGTGGGGCAAGGAGTGGAGTGGGGTGGGGCCAGTTTTTGGGCCCTCGGTCTCTAAAAGGTTCGCCATCACTGATCTAGAGGCTACAAAATACTTACAGTTTTTGTCGTTTTGTTTAGTCAAACATAAACAAATGGCTGATAACTCAGGTAGCCCTTGACTTACAACTATAACTGAGCCAAACATTTCCGTTGCTAAGCGAGATATTTGTTAAGTGAGTTTTGGCCCATTTTACGACCTTTCTTGCCACATCTGTTAAGCGAATCACTGCAGCTGGTAAGTTAGCAACACGCTTGTTAAGTGAATCTGGCTTCCTCATTGACTTTGTCAGAAGGCCACAAAATGGGATCACATGACCCCGTGATATTGCGACTGTCATAAATATGAATCAGTTGCCAAGCGTCTGAATTTTGGTCACGTGACCACGGGCACACTGCAACGGTTGTTAAGTGTGAAAAACGGTCCCAGGTCACTTTTTTCAGTGCCGTTGTAACTTTGTACCACCACTAACCGAATGGTTGTAAGCCGAGGACTACCTACACTTATAGTGGGATTTATGCCCCACTCTATTGGCAATAGAAACTAAACTGCCTTGACTTTTAAGCAATGCTAACATGGTTACTGCTTACCTGGTGATTGCCCAAGTATTTTCACAAGTTATAAAACTAACTCAGGATTTCCAGTTGCAATGAACTGTACATGGGGGGCGGGGGATATGAGAGGAGACACTGGAGCCTATTGGACGAATGATTATCTGATTTTTTTTATTATTACTCAACAAGGTAAAGAGGAATAGTGACCTTGCTTCCTGCTTGCTTTCTTCAGATGCACCTTGAGTAAAATTCCACCATTTGTCCAATTCCCATCCAGAAAAAGCAGGATGCAAAAGCAGGTATGATATTTTAAGAGAAAGTGGGTGAGCAATGGGAAGAAGAAAAAAAAAACCCTACCAATAATTGTCCAATGTTTGAGGGAAGAAAATGTTGTGATTGTGAAAGGGCAATAGCTGTTCCTAGTGCAGGGGTCCCCAACCTTTATAATGTGTGGACTTCAATTCCCATAATTCTGGGAGTTCTGGGAGTTGAAGTCCACAAGTTATAAAGTAGCCAAGGTAGGGGATCCTTTCCTAGTAATGTGGAATAATGAACAATCACTAGAAGAATGATGTGTCTGCATAATTACTGGAATAGTGCTGTGTTAGTAGTATGTGACTAACCTAATGTGCATTGCACTTGGATACAATGTATGCAGCAAACTCTCCATTGTATACAGGTGAGAAAGGAACCTAATGTATTACAATGTATATTTCAATGTGTATTTCTTTGTTCCTGAGAAAAGGAAAGTATAAAACTGAAGTCTGAACCCGCCCTCGGGGTTCAGAATTGCTGGTTGCTATTGCTTCTAAACCTGCACAATAAATCTCTCTGCTAAAACCCTCTGGAATTCCTAAGAATCCTTTCGTTTTCCACAAGATTAGTGTATACATCTGGCCACTTCTGATCACTCAACCCCCTCTCCCTGGAATGTGGTAAGCCACAGATTTACTGTGGTCATGAAAGACACAGCCACTTCATCTTCTGCCCTGATCATTTGAATTCTTTCTCTGGGCCAAGTAATAATCTGGTTAGTACCTAAGTAATGGTTTGTTCCTTTTGTGCCATCGAGAAAGAACATAGTTCTTAACAAGGACTGATAAGTGATGGTTACTTCTGTTTCTAACTGCGTAGTTGCTCTCTCCTTCTGCAGTACTTGATCGTATGCTCATCCTCTCCCTTTGGCAGTGCAGCAGAACTGGGATTTAGCATGGATGTCTAAAGAAAATGAAAAATCTCCTTGCCTTCTGCCTGCTCATTCAGCTTCTCAGTTTGAAGTGGGAGAGAAAATAAATGAACAACATGCAGAAGCTAACAGAATAACAGAGTTGGAAGGAACCTTGAAGGTCTTCTAGTCCAACCCCTGCTCAGGTAGGAAACCCTATACCATTCCAGACAAGTCATTGTCCAATCTCTTCTTAAAAACTTCCAGTGTTGGAGCATTCACAACTTCTGGAGGCAGGTTGTTCCACTAATTAATTGCTCTGTCAGGAAATTTCTCCTTAGTTCTAGGTTGCTTCTCTCCTTGATTTGTTTCCATCCATTGCTTCTTGTCCTGCCTTCAGGTACTTTGAAGAAGAGATTGCCCCCCTCTTCTTTGTAGCAACCCGAAATATTGGAACATTGCTATCATGTCACCTCTAGTCCTTCTTTTCATTAAACTAGAATACCCAATTCCTGCAACTGTTCTTTATATATTTTGGTCTCTAGACTTCTAATCATCTTTGTTGCTCTTTTCTGCACTCTTTCTGGAGTTTCGACATCTTTTTTACATCGTGGCAACCAAAGCTGGATGCAGAATTCCAAGTGTTATCAAGGCATCATAAAGTGGTATTAACGCTTCATGTGATCTTGATTCTATCCCTCTATTAATGCAGCTTAGCACTGTGTTGGCTTTTTTGCCAGCTGCAGCCACTGCTGGCTCATATTTAAGTGATTGTCCACTAGGACTCCTCTTACAGAGGTTTTTTTTCCCCCTCTCTTGCTATAAAGTACAGGCTGGGTGATTCCAATCATCATTACTCATATTACCCAGAATGGCAGCTCTGGAGGGTGAGTGAAGAAACTGGCTGTGTACACTCTGTGTACACTCTAAGGATCATCATTTGCTCAGTTGAAACATTTTTCAGAGTTTGCACAACACATTAAACCACAGGCTGATTACAAGGGATGAATTTGCAGAGCATGCTAAATAAAATGTGGATGGCTAAGTTCACACAACAGATGCAGTCTCTTGTGCAAATTCAGCTTCTTTATACAGCTATGTTAATAACACAGCCATTATTATAAGAGCCACCTGGATGTAGTGGTTAAGGCTACTTTTACCTTTATAGCAGGGGTCTTCAAACTTGGCCCGTTTATGACTTGTGGACGTCAACTCCCAGAATTCCTCAGCCAGACACGCTGGCTGAGGAATTCTGGGAGTTGAAGTCCACAAGTCATAAAAGGGCCAAGTTTGAAGACCCCTGCTTTATAGGCTATCAGCACTTCAGAGAACCGTATTTTTCCAGATACATTGGACTACAACCCCCATAATCCCCAGCCTGCTCCTGGAAATCCACGTGGAACCCGACCCATTAAAAGCGAACCGCGCCCCGCTACGGGCGCAGACAATAGTTGTCATGGAAGGAACTGGCAGGACTATTGGTCACAAAGCGATGACGAACGGAGCACGTTATCATGTCATTGGTCGAGAAGCGAGAGAAGTGGCCAATAGGTGGGCAGAGCGCCGGCAGCTGTAAGGAATGGAGTCGCAATCGCCCGATTCGGACGCGAGCGTCGATGAGTCTCTCTTTGCTCTCTTGCTCGATCTGGGGATTCCGGAGGCTGCAGCGCGGAGGGTGGGTCGTCTTTATCAGTGGATCGGAATCAGGCGTGGGTTGGGATCCATTCTGTCTGATTTATTTCTTCCTGCAATCTCCCCTCTTTCCCCTCTTTCCTTGCCTCCAGGCTCTGGCGCTCACCGGTGGTCATTCTGCTGAAGCAGCGGCGCAGCTTTACTTCAGCAGCGGTCTCGATTCCCAGGTATCTACTTACAATCTGGATTTCCGTTTCTGACCCAGTTAAAAATCAGGTTCTGGCCTAGCTCGTTTTTTTAATGTATGCACCATCAGGCTGGGGCTTGAAACGCGATCAGCAAGCCTATCCTACAAATAATTTGACAGCGTTTTGGATAATGGTCAATTGCTTTTATTTACGCCCTGCTTGGTTACCCGGAGGCAGAAATATTTTCCTTCAGGAGATAATAGATCTAAAAAGGATTTATATATTTGTAGAGATATCAAAAACTCCGAATTACAAACCTTAATTGAATGGGGGAGGGGATAGCCTATGTATTGGTGCATTTCCAGAACTGTATGGATGTTAATTTGTAGTAGCAAAGCAGCAAAAGTCTAGTGGCACATGAAAGATGAACATATCTATGATAGTATCAAATTTTCTGGCTGAGAAAGGTGATGTTATTACAAATGACCCTTACTTTAATTTAAAAAAAGCTACCACCATCTCTGTGTTCTGAATAGCTTTGTTTGAAGAAAAAAAAACATAATAGAAAACACTTTAATTTGTATCCAACTTAGAATTAATTTGCTTGGAGCAGCATGAAGCAAATAAATAAAATGTGAAACATGCATCCGCAAGTCTGTCCCACATTTTAAAACTAAGTATACTTATAATTTAATTATCTAAATTTCTTCATAGAATTATAAATCACCTATAATTAGATGATGCTGTTCGCTAGGGATGAAAACATGTTTCTTAGATGTTAGGAAATAAATGATTTGAAATGTAGATCAAGGCTTGAATTGCACACATATTCTGATTAAAGGACTATATCATTGTACATGCTTATTTACATAACAACACAATTACACAGACTTAAACTTAGTTTAAATGTCAAAATTCACTTCCACCAGGAAATCTGTGGCCTCTCAATTTTTCAGAATGTCACCTAGTTTTCTACAGAAGCAAAGCTATCTATGTGCAATTATTCCAAAACCAATTCAGGAGTCAGCAATATCAAGGCTTTTTTTTTTTAAAAAAAGGACTTCTGAATTACACATTCCTTGAGAATCATCTGTTCTTCCTGAAGTGGCAGGAAATACTTCTCCCTGTCCCCAGGAAATATTTATAATTTGGAATAATTATATAGATGGACTGTAATGATACAGACTGCAAGAGCGCAGCAAATATGATATGCACATTAACGGCTTGAACCTTACAAATTACAGGCATTATACTATTTATGAATAGTGTAATTTATTATATAAGTCTCAAGCAGATTTTTGTTGGTGTGAACTGTAGAGATAGGGGCCAGGTAGAGGTCGTGAGCAGCAAACTGTCCTTCCAATGCCTATGTGCCTCTTCTCCCTACATGATCTCATCCATTCACATCACCATGGCAATGTGGGAAACTACCCCAGGCTGGCACATGATATCAGCCTGGTTACATCAACAGGATGTGGTAGAAACTGCTCCCTGGCTGGGGCCTCTTAAGGATTGGCAAGGGGTTTCACCAATAGAATTGCTGTTGCTATGCTGATGCCATCTTACTTTATGCTATTTGAATACCGTATATAAGGCAATAAACACTGCGAAAGCGGTCAGCCATATTTGCACCCTGCAATGACTGAGCACTGATTCCTACAGTGAACAAACCTGTCAGCAACTCCAACCTAGAAGGTCCCTGAAGTTGGGAGAAAGCATGCTGTAAACGCTTTCTCTCAACCTCCACTTGCTTATTGTTCACTGTTGTGCAGTGACTGTGTATGGTGTGTACTGTAGTGACTGTGAATGTCTGGAATTAAGGACAAGAGTGATCATAAACCAGTGGTGGCGAACCTAAGGCACGTGTGCCAGAAGCGGCACGTGGAGCCCTCTCTGGGCACGCGCCATCGCCCCAGCACACATGGTCTCTAAAAGTTCGCCATCACTGGCCTAAGGCCAGCCAGCCTGGAGCCGCCATTGGGGAGCCCACCATCCCACCCGCCAGAGACCCCCTGGATCTCCCCCAACCCTGCCCGGCTCTCACAGGTGTCCCTCCCCTAAGCAACATCAAGGTGGCCATGCCCACCCCAGCCATGCCCACCCAATCTGCCATGACTACTGCAGCCACACCCATCCAGTGGCCATGCCCACCCAGTCTACCAAGCCCACTGTAGCTGCACCTGCCGAGTGGGCCACACCCACCCGGCACCCGGCGATACATAAGTGGGTTTTGGGTTGCAGTTTGGGCACTCGGTCTCTAAAAGGTTTGCCATCACTGTCATAAATCATTAATGGAATACAAGGGGAGAACATCTTGGAATATAACCAGTTCATAAATAGAAGAATTTTTCTACTGTGGTGTATAAGATTAATAACATTGTAGTAGTGGCATCTATTCTGCTGAAGGGGAGGGCAGAATACAGTTAGTCCTTGACTTACAACAGTTCATTTAATGACTGTTCAAAGGTATGACGACGGTCCTGAAAAAAGTGAGTTATGATTGTTTTTCACACATACGACTATTGCAGCATCCTGATGGTCACATGATAAAATTCAGATGCTAGGCAACTGACTCATATTTATGATGGCTGCAGGATTTCCCAGGGTCAGGTGATCACGTTTTGCAACTTTCTGACAAACAAGGTCAATGGGGAAGTCAGATTCACTTAAGAACTGTTGCTAACTTAACCGCAACAATTCACTTAACAACTGTGGCAAGAAAGGTCATAAAATGGGGCAAAACGCACTCAACAGCTATCTTGCTTAGCAACAGAAATGTTGGGCTCAGTTGTGGTTGTAAGTTGAGGACTACCTCTACTTCCTATTGTTCTTTTAAGAAACTCAAAGTAGTCCCCATCATTATTTGTGTTCCTCTGCACATTATCCGACTGATCTATGAATAAGGTAGACATAGAGCTCGTGATTGGCCAAGGATTATCCTATGAGCTTCATGAAGGACCAAACTTGGATGTCCCCAGTCGTAGTCTGATGCTTTAATATCCCTCCTGTATGATTTCATATATACTTCGTTAAACAGAAAACTTTATTACTGTCAAACTCTTTTCCAGGATGAAGATGAGGCACAGGGCAGCGATGTCAATCTTCTCCCAAGCAGACACCACAAGATGGTCTTTGTGGTAAACATGGAACTCTCCATGGGAACTGGAAAGGTAAATGCTTCGGGTTATTATTGCCTCCTAGTCTTTTAAACTGACCCTAATTTTTTATCTGATTTCATTACTGAGGGGCAAATCCAAGGCTGAAACCAATAGTCTTTTAGAGCAGGGGTAGGCCACCTTGGCTCTTTTATGACTCGTGAACTTCAACTCCCAGAATTCCTGAGCCAGCATGGCTCAGCTTGGAAACCTCTCCCTTTCCCCTCAGCATGGCTGGCTCAGGAATTCTGGGAGTTGACGTCCACGAGTCATAAAAGAGCCAAGGTTGCCTACCCCTAATTTAGAGAATCATTCTACAACTTGAAAAGCTTTTGAAAACCTTAGTCCGTTTTCTTCTAATATGACAAATGTGAAAACTGTGGCTCAGTAACAAGTGTGAATAATGGGTACTTAAGTCCTCTGAGTACAGGCAATCCGCAGTACTAAGTCTGCCTAAACTTCATATTAAGATTGTCCAACTTAAAAAAAAAAAAAAACCCTTAGTTACAAACAGGCTGCTTATTACTAAAAACGGCAGACAGTAATAGTAATAGTTGTAAAGTTGGAAGGGACCTTGGAGGTCATCTAGTCCAACCCCCTGCTCAGGCAGGAAACCCTACACCATTTCGGACAAATGGCTGTCCAGTCTCTTCTTAAAAACTTCCAGTGTTGGAGCATTTACTGCTTCTGGAGGCAGGCTGTTCCACTGATTAATTGTTCTCACTGTCAGGAAGTTTCTCCTTAGTTCTAGGTTGCTTCTCTCCTTGATTAGTTTCCACCCGTTGCTTCTTGTTCTGCCTTCAGGCGCTTTGGAGAATAGCTTAAGTCCCTCAGCATTGTCCTTCTAGCACCGAAGCCAGGCAGTGCTTTCAGGAACCGCCGAAGTCACATATTTTTAACATACAAGCTAGTTTCAGCAATTTCTGAAAACAATGCATGGCTTTCAGTGGTTCATCTGTTGAAGAAAGGACAAAGTTGTCCACAATTTTCAGTAATAACCCAGTCCATTTGTAAACACAGGTTGTCCTCGATTTACAACCACAATTGACCCCAGCATTTCCATGGCTAAGCGAGATAGTTGTTAAGTGAATTTTTCCCCATCATACGACCTTTCTTGCCACAGTTGTTAAGTGAATCACTGCAGTGTGAAGTTAGTAACACGGTTGTTAAGTGAATCTGGCTTGCCCATTGACTTCTGCTTGTCAGAAGGTTGCAAAAGGTGGTCACATGACCCTGGGAGACACTGCAACCGATATAAATACAAGCCAGTGGCCAAGCGTCTGAATTTTGATCACGTGACCATGGAGATGCTGCAACAGTCATAAGTGTGAAAAGCAACCATAAATCACTTTTTTTTCAATGACGCCGTATCTTCAGTTACTAAATGAATGCTGTAGAGTGAAGACTACCTGTATGAGTTCCAATTTAAATACAAATTCAGGTTGAGGACACACTTAGGGAATGGAAAATCTTCCTAACCCAGAACTGCCTGTATTGTTGATCTATGTTTACAAGATGAATTTTGTCAGGATTTCTAACTAGACTCCTACATATAACTTGCAGGTAATGAATGAGTCCTTCCCGAGGGCAGGGGTAGGCAACCTTGGCTCTTTTATGACTCGTGGACTTCAACTCCCAGAATTCCTGAGCCAGCTAGGGATATTGCAATAGCACTTAGACATATACTGCCCCATAGTGCTTTATAGCACTCTCCTGACAGTTTACAATGTAGAAGCATTATTTGCGTATTGCCCCTAACAATCTGGATCCTCATTTTACCAATCTCGGAAGGATGGAAGGCTGAGTCAACCTTGAATCAAACTCCAGACTGTGGCTGAGTTTGCCTGCAATATTGCCGTCTAACCACTGTCAATAGGGGCAGCAGAATAATTTCAGCAGAAGCAAGACAAAAAGTTGTTCTCCCTAATTTGGGGTGTTTTCCTCCACAGATCGCTGCTCAGGTGGGACATGCAGCCATTGGCTTGTTCCAGCTGGTGCATGAAAAGCCAAGTCAGAGGGACATGATCAACCAGTGGGATGAGCATGGGTAAGGAAATGAGACTTGCCATCTTTTCCAGGATTCTGTTAAACCTAGTTGATATATGTATGTATGTATGTATGTATGTATGTATGTATGTATGTATGTATGTATGTATGTATATGTATATATATATTTATTATTAAAAATAAAAGCGTGATTTCTGGGTAAATTCATCTTCTAAGTAACCAGTAAAAACGTGAACACCAGGAATATTATAAACTAAAAAAGTTTAATACCATCACCAATCACCAAGCTTTTGTCAGAGACTTCTGACATAGTCAGGGTTAATGCTGGTCTATGGGAGAGCTCCTTTATAGGTAAACCGCCGTTTGCACCCGGCTTCTGGACCTGGTCACAGGTCCTAATTGGTTTGACTGCGTTCTAATTATAGCTTTCACATCGATGACTCCTCTTTTCTTGCTTCCCCTGCCTGTGTGTATGCTACTGCTTACTTCCGCCTCGCACTGCTCCGCCTCACACTGTGAAAGCTATAATTAGAACACAGTCAAACCAATTAGGACCTGTGTCGAGGTCCAGAAACCGGGTGCAAACGGCAGTTTACCTATAAAGGAGCTCTCCCATAGACCAGCATTAACCCTGACTATGTCAGAAGTCTCTGACAAAAGCTTGGTGATTGGTGATGGTATTAAACTTTTTTAGTTTATAATATTCCTGGTGTTCACGTTTTTACTGGTTACTTAGAAGATATATATATATGTATGTATGTATGTATGTATGTATGTATGTCAATAATATCATTAAAAATGTGATTCCTGGGTATACTCATACTGGTTCGTTTTTTTTAGTGTGTGTGTGTGTGTGTGTATATATATATATTGCATTGGTTTATATTCAGTTTACACAGGATGGAAAGCTTTTGTTTTACAAACTACAACAGCTGGCTTCCCATAAGATGCAGCTAAACCAAAAGCAAATAAACCACTTAATGGCTCAGTGTGTTGCAGTAAACCACTAAACTGAATGAGCACAGTTTAGGATTAAGCAACTTAAATTTCCAACTGGATGAGTACACGTGATTGTGCTAAAGCTGATAACCAAGGTAATAAAACAGCGTGTCTGTGTTAATTTAATATAATAGGATGTCTGGCTGGGGACTTCTTGGAGTTGAAGTCCACACATCTTTAAGTAGCTGAGGTTTGAGAAACCTTGCTGTAGGCTATAAAGAATCTTGAAAGTGTGTCCAAACTTTTCTGCCTCACTTCATGCTAAAGAAAATCAAGACAAGAGTTATTTTCAGCTTTTTTTAATTTGCTTCGATTCCTGGACCATATGACCTTTTCTACAATTAATGGTTATTCCATACTTTCCTCAAGGCCGTTCCTTTATATTATACAAATTAAGGTGCAAACAAACCATGGCTTCGGGCAATACGGGATTCTTTAGCTTCAAGGCCTAGGCCAGAAATCCAAAAGGGATTCTTTTACATTCAGTCTCAGTTCTGTTCATAAATGAAGCTTGGTTAGGGGGATGAATCCTCTGTCACCTTTCTGGTTTTATTTATTATTTTATTTATTCTGATACAACAATGCATCTTGGTTGCACAGTGGTTAGAATGCAGTATTGCAGACTAATTCTGCTGACTGCCGACTGCCAGCAGTTTGATTCTCACCGGCTCAACATTGACTCAGCCTTCCATCCTTCCGACATTGGTAAATTGAGGACCTAGATTGTTGGGGGGCAATATGCTGACTCTGTAAACCATTCAGAGAGAGCTGTAAAGTACCATGAAGCGGTATATGAGTCTAATGCAATGCTACTGACCTTGGCTTAGTATGTGGTATAAGCCCAGCTGTTTTAGTTTGTAAACCACAATTTACAGCAGACAACATTGTGTGAATTAAAGTCAATTATGTTCATTGATAAAATTTGATTCAATGGGTTATAAGTACTTTTAGGGTGGCACTTTTAACTTGTTGCCTTGTAGGGGCCTGGGCTGGTAAAATGGTTAAGCCCCATTTGAGGACCTCTTTTTGGGGGGATCTAAGGACAAAATTACTTGTGTAAACCTTTCAGTAGGCCCTTAAGTCAGCTTGACACTTGGGAAAAGTGGCTTAAGAGATGAAAGGGCTTCTAGATGGTTTTTGTTGTTTTTAATTGCGAAGTCGTGTCCGACCCATCGCGACCCCACGGACAATGTTCCTCCAGGTCTTCCTGTCCTCTACCATCTTCTGGAGTCCATTTAAATTCACACCTACTGCTTCAGTGACTCCATCCAGCCATCTCATTCTCTGTCGTCCCCTTCTTGTATAGATGGTTTTAGCCCCATATAAAGGTTTAAGATCCAGAGATTTGCCTCTCCTAATCCAGGGGTGGCCGAATGGAACAACTCGCCATAACCAACTTACCACAGCTGTCTTGCCAGTCAGTTCGCTGTGGGACAGCTCTCCATGGCCAACTCACCACGGGCAACTCATCACAGGACCATTCAACAATTCAATTTAATTATTTAAAATAATTAAAACATTATTTTAATTTTTGTCATTCATGTTTCATTTTTGGCATCCTTTCTTCAATGATCCTACTCCACCATTTCTTCGATATTAAAATAACTCTTGTCCCACAGTTATCCCAAATGGAGTGCAGGGACCTTCTTCTCTGGTTCGTTTACTATGGTGGTTGGTTCATACATCACGCTAAGTTGTTAATTGACCTTTAAAACTCAGTTTATATAAAATGTTCAAATCCATTTGTCTGGAAGTTAATGGGTTGGTTTGGCCAGTCAAAAGGTATAGACTTCAGCATATATATATGCATATGTATATGTGTGTGTGTGTGTGTGTGTGTGTGTGTGTGTGTGTGTGTGTGTATATATATATATATATATATATATATATATATATATATTATGCCTGGGAGTCGCATTTTTACCAATATTTTGAACATATATATATATATATATATATATATATATATATATATATATATATAAAAATGTGAATCCTGGGCAAACACATATCAATAAAATATAGAAAAAACGAACACCAAGATAAAAATAAAACAAACCTGTTTAATACAAACAAGTTTGTAAGTAAAAGAGTTACCAAGCTTTCATTGGCCCGACTGCCGATGTCATCAGGGTTGGAATGCTAGGTGATTAGGAAGCTTGCCTATATAGCTACCTGTCTCTGCACCCGGCTTCTCGAGCTCGTAATCGGCCCATTAGTTGTATTAATCTGCAATGTGCTAAGTTGATTCACATCCGGCAGCCTGTTGGTGGACCCGGTGGTTATGCTCAGATCCTCCATTACTTTTCTAGCGTGCGTGCGAGTGCCTGGGGGACGGCTGTCAAGCTGTCTCTGCCCCCTATCTCTCCCCCCCTCATTTTGGGACAATATCTCAATCTGCATTTCAAACGCCCTGTAGGGCTGTCATCTTCCCCTACGGCTGCCGTTGTCTCGCCCGCAGCTCTCTCTGTCTTACTTACAAACATGTTTGTATTAAACAGGTTTTATTTTTATCCTGGTGTTCGTTTTTTTCTATATTTTATTTATATATATATATATATATATAAGTTTTTGTCCAATTGTGTTTATAATTTGTTTCAGTTAGACTCATAGCCAAGAAGACTGTGTGTAGGTCTTACCATGAAGTATGCTTTGCCCTTCTTAGTGCAAAGAAAGTTGTGCTTCAGGGAGTCAACACAGACCAGTTGCTGGAACTGCACGCGCTTGCCCTGAGTCTAGAATTGCCAACCTACCTAGTGCAAGATGCCGGAAGGACACAGGTAAATCAGTTATTCTGAAGAAAAAAACAATTTTAACTCCAAAGATGTCTCCTGAACCAAGCAAACCGCCTGACTCTCGTGTTTTGAAGGGAGGGTTACAATTCATGCCGTAGTTTATGAGTCACGCGGTCAGAGAACATTTTCAGAACCCGCGAGGAAAAAGCTTGAAATCAACTGGTTCAGGAAAGTGCAAATAAGCTGCCAGTTAGAAGAATGTAAAGACTGTGCAAAGAGTGAGGAAAAATCTGTAACATTTACTCCAATCTAAGATTTGTCTAGTAATCCATTCTTACTTCATATTTTCTTACTAGCAAAGCGGGCTGAGGAATTCTGGGAGTTGAAGTCCACAAGTCTTAAAGTTGCCAAGGTTGAGAACCCCTGAGTTAGAACAATCAGCTGGTGGAACGACTTGCCTTCAGAAGGTGTGGGTGCTCCAACACTGGAGGTTTTTAAGAAAGTGGACAACCATTTGTCTGAAATGTATAGGGTTTCCTACCTGAACCAGGGGATTGGACTAGAAGATCTCCAAGGTCCCTTCCAACTCTGTCATTTTGTTATTTTGCCATCCTCAAAAATGACAAAGTAAAACAAATACTTAAATGGAGTTGGATTTCGAAACTTTTTTAAAAAAAAGTTTCTTTTTACCTTGAAATACCATTGACTTCTTGAGGATATATGAGTAAGCCACGGTGCTGAAGAAACTGATTTGGATGTTTTTCCTATTCCTTTCCCTCCCCAAATTTATCCACATTCATCAGCATTTGTAACTGAAGTACTGAATAATATTAAAATGATTTTCTGCTATTGGCCTCCAGCACCCCCTTTTACAGGGATATTTCAGTTAAGAATTGCATTACATCCCCCCCAAATTCATTTACGTACCAGTGTAAATCAGCCAAGTCTCATCCCAAAGATGCTTTTTCCAAAAGGCAACTGGACTTCCTTGTTTTTTTTTTTCTTTGAAAACATTTCACTTCTGATGCAAGAAGCTTCTTCATTTCTTCAGAAAAAACCAAGCTGGACTTTTGGAAAAAAACACCTTTGGGACCATCATGATGTCATGGTTCCGACAGATAAAACTCTTCAAAGAACTTTGAGGCATTGTTTATCTTAAATAATCTTTATTCGAGCAGCATAGCATAGGGCACATACATAAGGGAAGCCAAAATCTGGATTCCCCTCCCCTGAGCACACAGTATCAAACACAATTCCCTCCTCTAATTAACTGTCATAAATCACATTCTCCAATTAGTTTGAAATGCAGGCTTTTCCTCCTTTACTCCAACCTGGCCATTTCTTATCATCTCTTATTTCAAAAGCCCTGAGTTCACCCACTATTACAATATTGTTATGTCTAACTAACTCCCATCACATTCCTCCTCCCCCAGTATCATCCAATTCTAAGAGTAAAGCATAAGAAAGAAAAAGGCTACATCTCCATATGTTGTCAAAGCAAGAACATCCAATGTTAGCAGCGTTGACACATGACATGGTGATTTGAGAATCTCCATAGACATTCAGCCAAGTCATAGTTAAGGACCACTGGGGAAACCAGAGTCGGTTTTCACAGCATCTAGAAAGCTGAGCTAGAGCACAGTGTGCTAAGAGAAGCCGACAGAGGGGAATGTTTGTAACTGAGGAGTCCTTGGTGCTCTATGAACTTGGTTGTTTTCTTGCAGACTTTTCATTAATCAACATTTAGCACCGGATGATCTTATCTAGTTTGGATAATTCTAGTTTGGATAATGAAACGTCTACAACAGGGGTGTCAAACTCAATTTCATTGAGGGCCGCATCAGCATTGCGGTTGCCCTTGGGGGGCCGGGTAGGTGCGGCCTACTAGGTGGGCGTGGATGGAATGGGTGCAGCCTACTGGGTGGACGCATCAAGGGTGCCTGTGGGGGCCTGAGCAGGAGTGGGACAGATCTGAGGGTCTCTGGCAGAAGGGGGTGGGACTGGGGCAAGCGCCAAGGCATGGTCCATTTCTTCATTCCTCACAAAGGGTGACACCTCCCCAGCATGCACCCAGGGGGGCGGGGCCGACGCGGCAGGGGCTGGTTCCTCACTGTTTCCAGATGGCCTTGTGGAGCTAAGACTGAATGCATTTCAGCATAGATGGCCACTACAAAATTGTACATTGGCTCCCAGCTGGCCTGGGCTAGGGCCAAGGCAGCGGGGGCTGTTCCATCACTGTTTCCAGGATGGCTTTGCGGGCCACATGAAATCACTTCGCTGGCCGCATCCAGCCCCCGGGCCTTGTGTTTGACATATCTGGTCTACAACAACCAAGCTCAGGGAGCACTCAGAGAAGCTACATCTATTCCAAACTCTCATTCATATTGCATGTATCCCTAATGAGAAATAAACGTCTTTTTCTTAGGTCTCAGCTGGGTCGCAGACAGTCCTTGCTATCATGGGAGAAGAAGAGCTGGTGAATCAGGTGACTGGGCAGCTAAAACTGCTGAACTGAGATGTTGTGCAATTGGGCTGTCTGTGGGATCCCTGGAGAGCCTAAGCCATCTCCTCCTCTGCCAACAACTCAAGAAACCACCGGAGCAGAACAGAAGCCCCAAGTGACAGCTCTCCTTTGTAAGAGGAGCTTCCTTCTAGACAAAGGAAGTGATAGTTCTCCTGATCCAGATTTCTAGTGGACTCTCGAGTGGGTCTGTGTGAGGGTCTGACCCCTTGTTCTTCACCATTTATAAGCAGGCTGCTCTCTCTGTACAAGTAATGCTTAGGCATTTTCCCCATTTAGTTAAGGGGAAACTGCAAGGATCATCCAAGGTTGCCTTGCCCTCCTGATGCCCTTCAGATCTATTCACATAATCCATTAACCCCAGACAAGTGTGGTCAACCCCCATCTTCCCCAAGTGAGAAAGTGCTGGTTACTCTAGTATAAATTCTCACACCGTTTGGCTATCTTGTGCCAAGAGTATCTATCACACTTTTTTTTTTCTGTGATGTGAAAAGGAACAAAAAGCGTTGCACTCCTTGAGAGCTTCATCCGACTTAACCTGCTAGGACTTCTCTTCAATGGAGGCAAAGGCTATGGTTGTTCCTGTTTAGAAGGCTGTTAACTTCTCTGTTTAGCTAGTGTATATTGTAATTGGTGGTGTCTGTATCTTATTTTTAACTTCCACAAGTGGGCTGTGTCTTGCTTTATGATTTGTGTCAGTTTCTAAGTGGCTTTGAAAAACTGGATTTTCAAAGCAACACTAATCCTATTCAGACATTTCCCTTAATAGCTGAATTAAAATTGCAGTAATAGTCATTGTGAAAAAAATGTTCAGCAACACGAAGGTCTAGATTTTCCCATCTTAAAACAGCTTTTTAATGTTTGCGTCTTTGTTCTCAAAATATTAAGAACAAGAAAAAGCCAAGATTATATAGCAGATCTGTGACAGTGTCTTTTTCTATATCTTTGTTAACGTGGTAACATTATGTTCTGGGCTTTTTCAGTGCTGGTCCAATAATTCCTTTCTTTGCCAGTACTAATTTTTACATAGACCCCAAGAGTGGTAATTCTAGATTTATGTGACTGACACTAGGAATAAAACTAGTGTGAACTGTTCTGTCATAGTTACAAGATTTTCTCTCTGGCAGAGCTCTTGTAGCTTTTAAGTACCGGGCAATTTGAAATTTAATACTTGCCATTCCCCACCCCCCGGTTTGTAGAAAACTAAGGGAATTTTTGTGTTTGTTAACTCCCCCAGCTATTACTGTCAATACAGGCTATGCATTTTGTGATTGATGCCTTGCACTCTTATAGTGCATGCTGATGAAATAGTTGTGTGCAGATGGTAAAATCTGTGCAATTTGCTGTACAAATAAGAACGCCTCTAAATCCAAGCTCCACTTGAATAGCTTTTAACTATAAAGTAGCATAAGTGATTTGATGATGGATTAGTCACAGCCCCAAGCACACCGGGGCATTGATCAATTGGCATCAACTTGCAATCAGATCATTTTGAAGGCCAGACCATCTGTTGCTTACAGGAATAGCACCATCGAGAGCTAGCACAAATATCCCATTTGGATAAGGCTGTTGTTTTTTTTTCTGCCTTCGCACTTGTCCTTCAAACCACACCATGGTTCTGTGACTTGGCCCACTACCCTGGCCTTTTTTGAGTAATATGGAGCCTGAAGCTCTTGAAGAAGAGGATGATTCCCCTTTTCTTTCCTCCAATAGCAATGTTTGTTAGGCAGTCACTCTTAACCTTGCCACTGAAGTCAAAAGTATTTTGCCACACAACGACACACATTACTGGCAGGAGCCCATATTGCAGACCAACAGGGAAGACAAAAAAAGCTGCCAGTAGGTTAAGAGCCTCTTGAAATAAAGCATGATGTTTATGGCTGAATCATAAACCCCCTGATGGTCTGGAGTGACTTGTAAGAGCAGTCCTGCTGGTAGGCATGCAATTTATTAAGTTTATGTAGCTACAAAAGTAAAGAAACAAATTGCCTCGGCTATTTAAGGCCCAGACGAAGCTGGGAAAAGAGGTGGCATATCTTCTTTGCTTTGCCTTTTGTGTTTCAGAGCATCAACTGGTTCAGGAAAGTGCAAATAAGCTGCCAGTTAGAAGAATGTAACAACTGTGCAAAGAGTGAGGAAAAATCTGTAACATTTACTCCAATCTAAGATTTGTCTAGTAATCCATTCATACTTCATATTTTCTTACTAGCCAATGCTATGAGCGATTGTGGAATCTGATGTTTGTGAGAGGGAATCCCACTTAGATCAGTACAGTTCACCTCCATGCACACTCAAGTAGAACTGTGATGATTGTTGTTACAAACTAGTCCTTCTCTCCCCATTGTTTCACCGCCTCTTCCTGCAAGAGGCTGAATTTAATCCTGCCCCCTTAACATCAGGGTGGTGCATAGCGAGGTCCCCAATCTTTTGGGCACCGGGACGGGTTCCACGGAGAGTTTTTCCATGGACTGGAGGGTGTGTGGTTTTGTGTGCTGCCTGCATGCCGCACATGGGGCTTTGCTTCCTTGTGCAGACCGGTTGCTGGCATGCCACAGCCTGGTACTGGTCCACAGCCCAGGGATTGGGGACCCCTGGTGTATAGGAACAGCACTATTCAAGCAATCTCCCTTTATATTAGTAATATAAACATTGTAGCTGTAGCTGTTACGATTTGGTGATTGCTAACAGAGGTGACATTTCACCCATTGTATGGGATTGCACTAGATACAGCTGAGCAGTAGGTAATGTGTGGCAAAGGAAATTGAAGGCTACCCATCAGATTGATGGGTAAATCAGGTCACAATGTGCCCTCTGAATATATTTCTCACTATACTTGCAGAATGCTTTTGCTGGAGCCTTCAATCTTTAGCCCTTACCCAAATTCAGCAAAGTGCGGCATAAATAATGTGGAATGTGCGAGAGCTTCCAGAAGTTACTGTTGCACAACTGCAAATATTAGAACTGGTTTTAAAAAAAAAATGCCTGTCAAGACTTGATGGATGGCATATTGTCTTGAAAGCTACCAAACAGATGTGTGGTGCACTTAGGCAAAGTGATTACAGTGGATTCTCAAGGTGTGAACTTTATTCACTGCAGTAATAATTGCATTTGCCATATGTATTTAACCAGATCAATAGTGGTCTCAACATACTGTATAATCCTGCAAATCCAGGTCTTTCCTGGTTACAAGGCCAAAATCCCACTCTATATTCGAGGCTTAACATTCCTCATCAGCTGGACCTGGAAGAGAGGATTCTTTGAAATTACAGTATGGAAACTGGCATCTTGAACAGCCTGAAAAATAATTATGCTGGTAATATTTTGTCTTTTTCTATTTCCCTGCCTCCCCATGGGCTCGGTTCATACAGCACATTAAATTAATGGAGCTAAGATCACTTTAGCCGGTTATATGAACCAAGCCACCATATTAAACTACAATTTGCTCAGTGTATTGTTTGAACAAGGCATGTGAACACAGCGATTATATCTTGTTAATCAAGGTCTAGGATGTTATCTGAACCCAGCCTTGATTTCTTTGGATGTCGGCCACAAGATAAACAAGTTATTCACTGGTAGTGCTAGACAGGATAAGGTATGTTATGTGCACACACCCAAAAACCAGTTTTCCCTTTTAAGCCAAGTATAGGCTGAAAAGTTGCTTATTTTTGCCTTGGGAGGTTAGATCTTTTAACATATTTTTGGCATTAATTTTCAGATTGATTGATTTAGTGACAGGAAGATGCTCATATTGCCTTGGACTATGCATCTAAGCCAATCAGCATTAAAAAAAAGAGGGTATATAATAGTGGAGAGATAGGCCTGCCCAAGGGCATTACTGCATGATTTAAGTGGCATCTCACCCCCCAGACCAAGGCAAGGGCATCCAGTAGCAGATTCTGGGGAAGAGCTGAGTGCCCTGAATTGTACCCCATGTATCCAATGGGCTTAGCATGCTGGTGCTTTTTATTTACGGCAATCTTTGACTCGCCTACTCAATAGACTATAGAAGAATGGTCATAAAAAACCTGAGGCATCATGCTTGATGTTAACAGTAGAAACTATATATTTGTCAAATTTATTTGGCTGCTTTCTCATTCAAAGTGACTCTGAGCAACGTACAATATAACATACTGCGAAACCAATTAAAACAGTAAACATAAGATAAAAATCGCAAGCGGGAGAACATCACACATAACATAGCCACGCATGAGTTCCAAGGCAGGGGTCCCCAACCCCCGGGCTGTGTCCCATTACTGGGCTAGCCTATTTGGAACTGGGCCACACGAGTGGCAGGCTGGCACATGTGCACGCACAGCTCCATTTGCGCGAGTGGCGATTGGCAGTTAAGCTACGCATTCATATGCGTCAGCCTGCCGCTTGTGCAAGTAGAACTGAACGCGTGCACGTGCTGGCCTGCTGCTTGTGCAGCTCGGTTCCCCTATTTCCCCCACCCACCCCAGCCGGATCACAAAGGTTGGGGGCCACAGAAAGCCATGAGGCTAATGTCACCTCAAGAGGGATGATATTGCAGAGGATGGGTGGACAAAGCCAAAATTAAAAAGTTTGCCTCCTAGGTCCCATCAGATGGAATTATTTTGCAGACAGGACCCATAGCATGCCTCTCCTGATGGACCCGTTGGAATGGATAGATATAATTGGGAAGAGGCAGTCCCTCAACCTGGCCTCATGCCAGGTCAAAATCAGCGTCTTGATTTGGACGCAAACAGGCAGACAATGCAGGTCATGAAGTAGAGATGTAACACGTGTCCTTTTAGTGGCACACATAACTGCCGCTGCATTTTGCATCAGTTTAATTAAAAAATTAGTTGCTGATAATCCATTGGGTTTTAAAAGCCCCACTGAAAAAGGGAGATTTTCCAACCCCGTTCTGAATCAGAAGCTCTACATCAGGCATGTCAAACACGGCCTGGGGGGCCGGATGCGGCCCACGAAGTGGTTTCATGTGGCCCACAAAGCCATCCTGGAAACAGTGAGGTAACGGCCCCCACTGCCTTGGCCCTCGCCCAGGCTGTCCGGGAGCCAGTGTACAATTTTGTGGTGGCCATCTATGCTGAAATGCATTCAGTCTTGGCTGCACAAGGCCATCTAGAAACAGCAAGGAACCAGTCCCTACCGTGTCGGCCCCGCCCCCTGGGTGCATGCTGGGGAGGTGTCACCCTTTGTGAGGAATGAAGAAATGGACCATGCCTTGGCGCTTGTCCCGGTCCCACCTCCTTCTGCCAGAGACCCTCAGATCTGTCCCACTCCTGCCCAGGCCCCCCACAGGCACCCTTGGCGCGAATGATGTAGAGCTGGCCATGCCCACCCAGTAGGCCATACCTACTCCATCCATGCCCACCCTGGCCACACACCCCCGCCTCCCCGAAGGCAACCGCAATGCTGCTGCGGCCCTCAATAAAATTGAGTTTGATACCCCTGCTCTACATGCACAAGTAGTCATTGACTTAGCCATTCATTTAATAACCATTTGGTGACCAAAGTTACAACAGCTGTGAAAGAAGTGACATGTCTGGGTTTTCAGCATCCCACGTGATCAAAATTTGGACGCTTGCCAAGTATTAAGGATGGCTGCCTTGACCCAGCATCATGTGATTGCCATCTGCAACTTTCTCAGCTGGCTTTGGATAAACGACAACAGAGGAAGTCAGATTCACTTAACTGCAGTGATTTGCTTAACAACTGTGACAAAAAGGCCATTAAAATGAGGTGCGACTCGCTTAACTGCCTTGCTCAGCAGCAGAAATGTTGGGCTCAGCTGTGCTTGTAAGTCGAGGACTATCTGTACCCCTGAGAGCTGCCTATTCCATTATATGGCAACGTGTATGCCCAGGTGGTTTGCCAAAATAAAGCTAAAGTACCTATTTAGTGATTTTTTTTTTTTTTGAAGACAGACGAAGAGACTGAACGGGACTTCCTGCTTGAGCAGGGGGTTGGACTAGAAGACGAAGATCCCTTCCAAACTCTTGTTATTCTGTTATTCTTTCAAAGCTATCTGGATCTGCTGCCGCCCATAAAGACATTTCAGCCACCAGATGTCTCTCCTCTGCTGGGCCACTGATTCGGTCAACAGCTGTGCCAGTTTCCTGTTCACCACATCCTGGCGGCAGCAGAGGCTCACTTGCATTGTGGGTCTGAAATGGGAGGGAGGAACATGGCTGATGTGGGATTTTTTTTATTTTTTAAAAAAGAGGGAGGGAGCACAGAAGCTCAGCCCTGCAGAAGGCAGCCTTTTAGCATTTCCTGGGTTGATCCTAAGGCCACTACAACCGCCTATTTGTATGGTGAGATGCGTATGAAAAAACACTACTGTTTTAAGAGATATCAAACTCCGTAAGCCCTTCTATTAAGAATTGCTGTACTTTCTTCTGATTTATGGGGGGGGGGCAAAATCTTGATTACACAGGCTTTTAGCAGATGAAATATCAATTCCCCTCTCAATCCCACACACAAAAACAGGAAAAAAATGTTTTCTGATTTTCTGTCTCTCGCTTTAAAAAACAGTAGCTCTCACAAGACAAAAAAAACCTGCCTTACACATATATTGCATCATGCATACATAATCACTAGCAGACTACAAGGATTTGGTTTTCTAGCCATTATTATTCTTTAAGACTGCCAAAACAAAGTATATAAAGAAAGGCATCTATAGAGGAACCCCAATGCTTGCAGAGTATTAAGAAGTGTTGGTTCTCTTTAAAGTTTTGATGCCTTAAGAATTAAGCATATTCAGTGTGCCTGTGGTAACACAATATCGAGGACACAACTATAAAGAGGGCAGGCAAAACCCTAGAAAATGGCCGGCAGAGAAAATACAGCTTGATACTATGCAGTAGCTTCCTTCCAGGCCTCATTTTCCCATTATGTTCTGTATTTTTTTGGGAGCTACAACTTCCTAACCAGCTTTCCTTCTGCAAATCTTTAAAAATACAGTTTTCACTGTATAAGGTAATATTCTAGGGCTGGGATTTCAAAGTAACATCTGCAAGCTTTTGTGATTGCCTGACGCACCCCAAGATAAACCCACAGTTCAAATTACAGTAGTACAACATCATGGCTCTGATGCAAGTCTACAGAGATCCATCTGGAAATAAACTCCAATGAGTTTAACCAGAAACCTCTTTAGTAAACATTAAGGATGGCTACTCAGCCTTACGTGGATGCAAATTTTACTGGAATGCCATTCAGGCTAAATAATTGACTCAGAAGCACCTCATTCTAATCAGTAATCCAGCAGGGTTCAGGTTTCAAGATTTCATGGAATTAAAGCAATCAAAAGAAGCTGGACCTATTTCTACATACTGTAGCTATCCATTGTTAAAGGCTTCTCATTATTACTTCAACTGCTAAAAACATTTTTTTTTTTTTTTGGCTCGGAGGTACTCAACCAAACCAGGCAAACTGCACCAAAGAGTAAAGCGGAATAAATGTGATTGCCGTGTCTTTAAAAGTAGTTTGTGCACTGTAAGAGCAAACATTTTACTTTTGATTTTACCGATTAAAGCGTAACTGAGGGAGTTCCCACAATATGGCAATCGAAGCAATGTCTGCCTGTAAGGAGAATTAGGGCAACCTCTCTATGTAAATTTCAAGATTAATCCGACGCAGCCTGGGTTCACGCAACCCAGCACGTCGTGTGAATCTAACCATATCTTCATGAGGTGCAGCCTCAGAAAGGGCCGGGCCCTGCATGGCAAAACCGAGGAGGAAAAGGTCTTACAGTATTTCAACCCCGACACGCCCATGAGGATTTTTCAAGCTGCAACGCAACGCCAAGAACTGGGGAAGTACTGCAAGTTAACCGGAAGGCTGCTCTCAAGCTCCCACTTGGTACCGAAAGGACGGGAAGCCAAGCTATCCTCGCCCCTCCCGCCGCCCCCACCCACGAAGACAGGGACATATATATATATATATATATATTTTAAATGCGGCGTCCCGACGCGAATGGCGCTTTGCCCAGGCCCGATCTCCGCCCAGGGGATCCAGAACGGGGGGGGGGAAGAGGAAGGGAGGGGAGCACCCGGGGGAAGCAGGCAATGCCACACGGGCTACCATCTTGGCTGCCACAAGGCGAAGGGGCCTCCGCAGAGCTGACCAGCGAAACAGCGTGTTTCCCACCAGCATCGACTTGCAAACCCCACGCTCAGGAGGGGAGGGGGAGAGGAGAAGGGGCGCGTCGCCCGCAGGGGGCCAAGGCACGGTGCAGCGCGGGGATCGTCGGAAAGGAGCAGCTCAGGGTCACTCGCGAAGCTTTGCGGCGGCAGCGCAAGCTCTAACCTGCCTCCTTCCTAAGGCAAACGCGCGTCCAGCATAACCTATAGCCCACACCCCTTTTCCTGGCGCGAATCTTCCCCGCAGTCCCCCTCCCCGTTCGCCTCCGGCTCTGCCACCCAGGCTCAAGCATGCGCCGTCCGCTGCACCTCCCGGAGCAGTTCTCAGTGCGCATGCACGGAGGGCTTTCCAAAGCCAGCGCTGAAACCACCCCCCCTGCTTCTCCCCCATGCCACGTGTCCCCAAGCAGCACTCGGCCCCACGTGGGACTGGCCACGACGAACCAATCAGAGGATTGCCTCGCCCTTGAGCACGTAGGACAGCAGTCCCACGTGCGCAAACGGACCGGGCTCTCTAGCGAGAGCCGTTTCCAACTCTTCCGCCTCACTCTACAATCAGGCGCTCACCTCGCTGGCTCAGTTGTGAAAGTGGGAAAAGACCCGCACTTTATTTTTATAGCTCTGCTGAGGCGGACGCGAAAGAGTGGCAGTTCTAGTAACCAATGAAGTCATGGTTCTGTAAGGCAGGGCGGAGGTTGCCCGAGACGCTCGGCTTACAGAGAGCCGAAGGGGAGGGGCTATTTTTCCTAGAGAAGGAGGACAAACGTGGCCAATAGGAGGCGGGGAAGAGTCAGGAGGTGTTGCTGAGAGAATGAAGTGGGTGGCGATCGTGCGGACAGGCCAGCCAATGAATCGACCTGGTGGGCGTGCCTGGGGCGCCCCTGGCGCCAGCGCTGGGAATCCCCGTGCGCTCAGTGCCGTTTCCGCCCGGCCTGCTGAGGAGGAGCTGTTGGCTGCTCACTGTTGCCGCGGAGGGGGAGGGGCCGTAGCTGTTGCTCTGTGGAGCTGAGCTTTCCGTCCGGCCAGCTCTCTAGGAAACGCCGTGGCGCCGAGCAGGGCCTAGCGCCGGGGGCCCGAGCAACGGGCCGGACAGGTCAGCCAAAGCAATTGAGGAAGAGGAAAGGTGCCTGCGGGATGAGGGGGCCACTCTTTGGAGAGGGGTGCTGTGGAGGGGGAGGGGCGGGAAACTTAGAGGGGGCTTTTTGCGGGATCTTGCCTCTCTTCCAGCGCTCCGACCGCTTCTCCTAGGCTCCCTGTCTCCCGCCTTCTTTCTCCAGCTGTCCCCAACCCCAGGAATTCGCGCTTGAGGAAGGATAGGGTTTTATGTGTGGTGGAGCGGGGGTGGGGGAGCCAAGTATTAAGAGTCGCTTTTCCAGGGGGGAAATGGAGCCTCTTGCATTTTTGTGGGGGAGAAAGAGGAGGAGGAAAGCAGAGGTCGTTCTCCCCTCTCGTCTGCCTCCGATATCTCTCTGCCTCTCCGTAGCCTTGGGAGGCGTCTGAGTGCAAGGAGAGAGGGGTGTGAGGGGAGAAGGCGGGGGGGGGAAGGGCTGGAGGGGGAATCCCCGCCGAGCCCCGCACGGAGGGAAGTCGGGGGAGGGGGGTGGGGCGAGGTAGGGCTGCTTTCCGTTTTGCTCCCACCCATCCCCCAACCTTCCTCGTGGGGTTGGGGGTGGGTATCCTCGGGGGCCAAGAGCTGGAGGAGAGCGGGGCGTCATGGCAATCTTGCTTTACCCCCCCTCCACCTGTCTGATTTTGAAGGGGGGGCTGGTGGAGCCAGTGGTGGTGGTGGTGGTTGTGGAAAGGGCGTGTGTGGATGTGGGGGTGGGGAGTTGCATGGAGGAAAGGAGAAGGGAATCTAATGAATGCACCGTATCTCGGTTCCCAGACGGAGTGCAGGAGGTGCCGGTGGGAACTAGCCAGGGCTTAGCTCTTTTATGGGAGATCCTGAGTGAGGATGTGGGAAAATTCCTCCTTGGGACGAGGGCTCCCGCTTCCAAGCAGCTGCTGTGCCAGGGGAAAAAAAAAAAAGTGTCTGCGGGTGCGCGTGTCGCTACTCCTCCTGTGCGAGTTCACCGCTGCCTCCCCTCGTTCCTCGCCTCCTCCTCCATGTGCTGAAGCAGCTTCCCCTGAGCTGCTCCTTCCCTCCCTCCCTCCTCCCTTCCCTCCCTGTCTGCTTCTGACTTGCTGGCTCCTTCAGGCAATGGGTGGGGGGGGAGGAGGTGTTTGACCTGCATTTTCTGCTTTCTCATGGTGCTTGTGTAGCCATGGTGGAGCACTTTAATCGTGCCTTTCTCTTTTTTTTCCTTCCGTCTGCTGTTCGAAGCGAATATTGTGGCCTGGTTTTCTTCCTTTGGTGTGTGTGTGTGTGTGTCCGCGTGTGTTTCTTATAAGGAAGCTGTATTTTCGGTTGGCAGGTCTTGATCCCAGCAGTTAACTGGCAACTCAGTTCCCTGTAAACAGCAATAGTGCTGAAGCAAGGTCGTCCAGCCTCTTGTCTCCCAACAGTTGTCCTTCATGCCAGCAGCTTAGTACTTGAAGCGGAGCTGCCTTGGGTCTTTTTTGGAATTTGAGGAAGATGGTTGGGTTTTAAGGGAAGGGGCTTGTTAGAGGCAGAGAAAGGCAAGAGATTTTCTTTAAGAAATACATTGCTGCGAGATATTTTGGTGCATACAATTAATTGGGGGATTCCTGTACTTAAGAAGTAGCTCTCTCACATCCCCTGTTTAGTGAGATCTTTGTAATAAAGAACACAGATATACTACTGAGTTTCCTTCTGCTTAGTTTTCTTCTTTAAGTAAACAATAGTCCTTGTAGGATGGCCTCCTGCAAATTCTTTCCCTGGTAGTATTTCATGTTCACAGGCAGAGGTGCAGAACAGTAGAATGTATTGATTTTGTCTTGTAGGAAGATGAGGCTGCAGCTCCAAAAATCTTTTTTTTAAAAAAAAACAAATATCTGTTTTGGCTTGCAGAAATGTTTTCTAATTGAGCTTTCTGTGGATATGGGTCACGAGGAGACAAAGTTGTATTACTTCCTTAATGGTGTGTAGGATTATCCCTTTTCACCTATGAAGGTGACATCAGACACTGCCCCTCCCACACACGAACACAGCTCGCCTAGGAAGTAGGTTTTGCAGCTGTCTCTTATAGCACAGAGGTGACTGAGGGTGTTTTGCCTTGTGTCCTGTGGGTGTGTGTTCAAGGCAGTGACAAGCAGCTAATGTTGGCTCTGGAGCTTTGGTTGCTACGTGAGAAGCTTCAATAGTGTTGGCTGCTGTCTCTAGGGAAGGACAACAGCACAACCTCCATTAGTGCTGCACTTAGGAGATGGCTGGTTCACGTACTGAAAAGGGATTCTTCATTAGGGTATGAAATTCAGAACCAGAAGATGCCTTTTCCTACTGCCTGCACAAATACTTTCCTGAATTTCATTTGGATGTAGTTTAGAAATCAAGACATGTCTTCTCTCTCATTTGCAAGATCCAAGCTAGAATTGATCAGATACTATATTTCTAAAGTGAGAGAGATGCAGTCCCTGTAGCTGCAGTCTCTATCTGACTTTACCCTCCCTCCAGTAAACAGAGAGCCAGATGCTTTCCTTATTGTTTGTAGGTCTCTTTCCTCCCCTTGCTTTGCCTGGGCCTCACTTGCCTTATTGAGAGGAATTTCTGCTTTGTGTAATGGGTGTGTACAGCAGACACACGTCTTGCGCTGAGAAGATTTTCCATTCATGGCATGTGTAGCCAAAATATGGCACATCTTGCCCTTCCAAATGTCATAAGAACACAGTCTCATGAATGTGAAGGGGAATTACACCTATCTACCTAGCTGGACAATAATATATGCTGAATCGCTTAAGCCAGGTTTTATAGCTTCCTTATTTCATAAGTACAAAATGGTTATAGTATCTTTCTGATGCTTAATGTTACTGTCCAGTGGTGAAATCTTGTAGACTTTTACTGTACAAAAGTGTCAAGATCAGATAGTTATCCTAATTTTATTCCATAGACAAATAAGGTAGAGCGGACTTTCCTAAGAAGGCTCTGATAGTTTGCTGAGGGAATTTTGATCCTTCCTTGATACTTGGTGGCCTGCTTGGTCTATCAGGAGGTACAGTGCTGAACTGCCTATTAAATGGTGAAACACAGGCCTGATGTACATGATAGGAATGGTGTAAGGGGAGGATGTCTGCAGGCAGTAATTGATATCAATGGTTTTTTGGGGGAAAATAACTTATTAAGTGATTGCAAAAATTGAAAGAATGCTAAAAAGCTTAGTAGCGGAAATACATACCTCCATTCTCTTCTTCAAAGCAGTTTCAGTGAAACCTTTGAAATGGCAGTGTGGAGAGTTTAAATTGGTGTACAGTTTTGTTTTATTGGTCAAGGCTATTGAAATGTAGTGTGTGTGGCTCCATGGTCTGTTCAAATCGAAAATAAAACTACTTATAGCATAACTTCACAGATAATTCTGTAATCAGCATCTTGATTTTAGCACACTTAAAAAGATAATGTGCAGTAAATGAGAGCCAACAAGAATGAAGCCTTAACTTTTAGAAGTCTTCCATTTAAAACTGCTATTAACCATTCCCAAGCAAATATTAAGCTAATTTCAAGGCTACAGTATTATATCATACTCTTCTTGCCTTATCTTCATATCTATCTCCCCAACTAGCAGGTGTCAAGACATTCAGTAGGGAGTTTTGTCTTCTAATTTTTATCATTTAGACAAAAAGACCTACATGAAAGAAGCAGTGACTGTGTAATTTAGGTGGATAAATACCTGGATGATAAGAGTTGTGGAATGGTTCCCTGGGATCTGCTGGATGAGGAATTTACTCCTTGAGTTGGATACCCCTGTTATAGGTTATTGCTATTTTTAATCATAATGAACATTCTTGTTTTTGTCAGCATGGCCACAAATTAACAGTTTACTAAGAAAACCAAAGTGATTCAATTATATCTCTGTTGTCATTTTATCTTTTAAATTGAATTACCTCTCTCTCCTGAAATCACAGGTACTACAATGAAAATATTACATGAAACATGAGATTATAGGCTTAGTTGATGAGGCTCATAACTGGGAGGCAGCTTGATGCCCATTGATACCAAGGTGGCTACTGATTCATCCCTGGTGCCTGCCTATTCCCCTGCTTCAGCTTTCTGCAAAGCAAAACATGAATCTTCAACTTGATATTTACAGTACTTCAAAGAATGGCTAAGGCTTCCTTAGCAATTTGAAATGGAGGATGGCTGCAGCCTAAAACTTTGTTTTAAAAAAAATATTTTGCGTCCTTGGGGACAAGGAAAAGCAGTTTTCCTTCCCCCAAAATGTGAGTATTGGGGAGCTAGACACCTTTCTTGATTATCACTTGTGAACTGGGAAACTCGCATACCGGTAGCAGCCATTTTGTAACAACATGTATTGCACTTAATATTCAAGTGTACCAACTTGTCCCAAAGGCTATGTGTGTCCTTAATAAATCCTTAAATCACCTTTTGAAGACACTGATTCTTGAAACTGTAACAATGCATTTTTTGGAACTTCTAAGTATCTTTACAAAAATTAAAATGGTAGAAACCAGTATAAATGATATTTAAAAATCATTTCTTTTCTAATGTGAAGGAATGGGGGGGACTGAATGAAATGCATAGGATTTGGAAAATTGAAAATACATTATTTATTTATCAAGTTTGTATAACCAACTCTCTTCTCAAGAAGAGCTTCACCATGCTAACATATCTTATTTATTTATATTAAAAACAATTCTGGCACGCTATTATCCAGAGAACACATTGCTGTAATGGAACTATAATATAGTAACAGAAGTACTGTTTTGGGATATTTCCTAGAGCTAGAAAGTTGATTGAAACTCACCTGTATGTCTAATTCAGGTACCTCCTAATAAAAAAAATCAGATTTATAAAATCTAAACTATAAACTGGAATAATCTAAATGGAAAATCTCAAGTAACTATTAAATACTTTAATTAAAAATGAGTCTTCAGAATTTATGACAAATCAGTTCTGAAGGTTGGCTATTTAAATTTGTTTACCTTAAAAAAACATACTTTATAGCTTTTTACATTCCTACT